TTATTATAATGAAGTTATTCCAGTATATGTGTTGGCAGGAAAATGTCCCCAATCGCTCTGTCTGGAGGGTGAGACAAACCTCATGCTGGTGTTTTTTTTTCTGACTAGCAAAAACTGCACGGTTTTTATGTACTCATAACCGATTTCATTTTCCGGCAACACATTTGCCTTCCAACCTCGTACTTGTTCCCAGGCGGAATCGTGTCATTTTTCCATTCATTCCTGCCTGTACCGGCGTTACATTGAGTACGTACGAGTGCTTCTACCCACCGATAGAACGAGGGGAGGTAGCTCAAAAGCTTTACTCCTAATACGAGGCATCTGGTCGTGGCAGACGCTGGAAAGAGTAGAAAGATCGGCCACTGATCTCAGAACATTGAAAACCGTTAAGTAATTTCGCATTTGTAGATAGGAATTTCAGTCACAGAAGGGCTTCGGCATCTGGTCTATGTAGTTCCTAGAATTTTTTTTGCGTCATCAATTTTGGTCGCGATGTGTATGTTGTCAGTGAATTTACTTATTGTCAAACATATTTTTCTTTGCGACTGTCCACGACTGAGACTGCGTGATAGGGACCTACGAGCTCCAGGAACAGATATTTCTGAACTATTTCTTCCCCGGTAAAACGTGAGTCTAAATTCGTTACTATGATATATCGTCCAATAGATCTCAAAATGAATTTATTTAGTTTAGACTTCGTATGTTTTGGATCATGAAAGGAGCAGCTGACCCATCATCCGTCGACCATCTGGCACCCATCATCCCAACCATAATCAAAAAGAGCTTCTCCGAAACAAGAGGAGGAGATATGGTACGTAGTTGTGTTCATGATTTAGATTATCCATCACAACACTGCAGCGACACCAAGGAAACAAGCCATAAAGCAACAACAAAAAGGATACACCTCTTGACACGAGAATAACACTGAACTAATGGAGTTGAATGTTACGAATAACAACTCGTGCAAAAGGATCGGACGAAAAACATAAACGACAACAAAAAGGAATTGCTAGGAACAAGTAGAATTGTAGAAGTACCGGAGCCCCTCAGAGGAGACAGAAATCAAGAGTCAAAACCAAGTCGAATAGCGGCTACAACTATCCTTATGGATGATCATCAATCGGGTTGTCCCGGTGGTCCTTATCATTCTTTGCCACCAAATAGGAACGACGCAAGTAATGTAGAAATGAGTAGATCATCTTCCACTGGAAGAGAGGCAACAGATGGCAATACTGAATCAGAAAACTTTCGGTCCTTGCCGGGCTTCTCGTTAAAAGTTGTACACCATGATGAGGAGAGGATGCCACAAAGAAATCACAAACATGGTGTCGTACCAGCCACTAATCATAGAGAATCTCCGGATACGGGAACAGCATCGAGTAGCAATGGAGAGTTTGACCAAAGGATGGCATCGAAAAAAGATGCTGATAGTGACAACGTCGTCACAGCAGCGACAACTCAAAATTCATCATCATCTTCAGAATACCATGATGCAAATCAAACAACAACAGCAGTAGCAACCACAACTTCTTCGTCGGGTTCGGGGGGTGATGATGACGATCGAGGCGAATGTTCGTCTACTATTGATGGGGGAGCTAATGCAATGAACAAAGGAAGCGAGAAATCCAACAGGGGCGAGATAGATATAGCAAATCATGATCCACAGATCAAAAAGATAGATAAGATTGTTTCCACGGGAATCAGAGATGGTGTTTCTCATCGAAAGAAACTTCATCACCAGGAGCAAGATGCTACCAAACACAAGAAGTCGTGGAGGAGTTCTACTATGAACATCAATAAACCCTCAACAGATGATGATGGCTCCTCGCTACAAGTTCCTGGTGACGACGGTTCTCATAGAATCGTTGCGATGGATACGGAAGGAGGTGTGCCTGTAAAACCAGCGACAGTTGTTGCATCTCATCTTTTCGTACCAAAAGCTTCCAATTCGTCGTCTTCATTTGCAGGATCTGCAATCAAAAGCAAAACGGAGTCACAAAGAATAACTCAAAATCAACATCATCTTTTGCTGCCGCCCCACCGAGAACCTGGGTATCACAAGATAAGGAATACGTTATATCGATTTCAGAAAAGTGAAGGCATATATGGAAACTCACATCGAATGAAGCGATGCAAAAAACGTCGTAGAGGAGGTGCGACAGATGGGTCGTCGACTGAAGAAAATATCGAAAGCGATGCATTGAAGAAGCCTCCAGTGTACACTCATCGCCAGCACTGCCGCGTGGACCGCAGCAGTAGTTCAAGTTCAAAGATAATAGATGCGAAAAACAAGCACAAGCGTAGCAAGAAAAGGTCGAGATCTAACCGAAGTTCCGCTGATACTGAAACAACTTTCGATCATGCAAGATCAATGAAAGCCAAGGATTCCACTTCGGCACTTCCTAATCCATCTCTATTAGATCAAACTGCTGGAGGAAACTCCTCAGGGAGTGGCACGGATGGAACTGAAGATGGCTATGCAGGATCTGTCTCTTCGAATGAAAATTTCTCGGGAAATCATCAACTTGGATCTGCAAGCCCATCTCCTTCAGTCACATCGTCGGAAGAATGCGAGCAAAAGCAAGAAGATCGACGTGATAATGACAATGACTCCAAGCACAAATCGTCCCATGATCCAGATTCGTCATCCGAAATCGCCGACTTCAGCTCATCAGGAAGTTCGGAAACAATGGATGAGGAAGACGTAGAAGGGAGGCGATGTAATAGCTCTCAGAAACCGGTCGTAAAGACATTTTCATCGACTCCATCGTCGCCCTCATTCTCTTCTTCGCATTATACAGATTCGGATGGTCTTGAAAGTTCCTATCTAAGTGCAAAACGCGATGCTGATGCCGAACACGAACGCATGGTGAAGATGTTTGCCCGGAAGAGAAAGCTTAAGAAGGAGGTCAAGAAGCCTCTTGCCACACAAAGAATGAGTAGCAAGCGACTAACTGTCAAGAATCTGGACGATGGTCGACCCCCTATCCTAGCTATGGGATGCGACATTATGGCTCACATCTTGACCTTCCTCCATCCTCCAGAAATTTTGGATGTGCTGACCATGCCGCTTTCATTATACTGGCGGAAAAACTTCACATTGCAGCCAGAACTATGGAGGGTGTTGTGTCTAGTAGAGCCATTCAAGGCAAACATGGATGATCCTCTCAGTCCACCAAAATCGAAGAAAATTAGATCGAGTGATGCAAGCGACGACTCCGTAATCAAGGGCGCAGGAGAAAGATTACTGGACAAATATCGTCTCCTGTATACTTCTTTTGTACGCTGTATGAAGTACGTTACCCAGATCCGAGATGATGCTGTCAACGGTAGATCGCCAGCATACATTGATTATGGAATATCTGGATCGGCACTTCATGAAGAGCCAGCCAGATATCAGTTTAACTTCAACGGCACCAATAGAAACTCCTCTGGTCCACCACCACCCGCTGCTCTTGGTTCAAATCGAAACCTACAGCTATTTTTGGCGCAAGCTAGGAACATTGTACTGAATTCTTCAAACAGCGATGCAAATAATGCAGGTGATGAAGCCAAAGCCGAAGACACTTCAGAAAACAATAGGATTGTCCCCATACTAACAACACCCGCGCGTGTCGGCACAGCGCACAAGAAGGTAAGATCATACAAATTGGATTTTGGATTTTTCCTTAGTCGCGTATACTTTACATATCTATCTCAACACACTGCATTATATCAACCGATTTCAATTGCAGACTGACAAGAGGAAAAGCAATGGTCAAGAGAAGAAGAATGGGCCAAAATTCGGGCGATCCATGATTACAAGCAGATTATTCGGCTTAGTTCCTGGAGCAGAACAGTCCAACTTGAATCTCCCGTGGTCTTGTGCAATTTATTCCATTGTAAATTGGATGGTAGCATTTTGCGACGTGGAAGGTATTCAAATTTTGTGCTTGAAGGTGCTCCCCGTTCTTCTTGAAAATGAGCAACATCGTATGACAGCACAGCATGCTGGTCTAGCTGACATTGTCCTACGTGACATGGTCATGTTTTCTGAAAGCGCGGAACTACATATCGCTGCATTTCATACCATTGTCCTTTTGGCTCGCCCTCATGGAGGAAGAGAAGGTATGATGTTTCGAACTTCTATGACTGCTGGCGGGATTTTTAGAGGGATATACCAGCAGCATGGAAAGAGTGGGATTGCAGTCATGCTAGATTCCATGAGAAGATTTCAAGACAATGCCACCCTTTCGGCCATGAGCTGTTGGGCTTTGGTAAATATTGCACTGGTATCCGACCAGAAAGCGGTACTAGTCAAACTGGGCGGCATTCAAGCCATAACTAATGCTATGTATCGCCATCCTTACAGTGCCGAGCTCCAGTTCAGGGCTCTCTTTGCTCTTATAAACCTCGTTATCCCCTCAGTACAAAATGTTGAAAACAACGATAATGGCAACGTCACCAACAACGTGAGTGAAAATAATGCCGCTGCAGTTCCGTCAGTACCCGAGCTGGGGGACTTGAATGAAACAACGGAAAGAGAAATCATTGACGAATTGGTTGGTGACATAGCAAGTCTCGTTATTCGTGTGATGAAAAACTTTTGTTCAAGCGAGGCCATCCTCAATAGAGCATGCTTGGTCCTTCACAATCTTTCTTTGACGGACGACTACCATGCTATTTTATTGTGGACTCCGCACTGTTACCAAATGCTGGAGTGGTGCATTGCCAACTTTCGAACTGATCTAATCTTGCAGCAAAGCGCCACTGGCACCTTACATCGATTGCAATCCACACTTGCTTTGGATGAACAAATGCGCTCAAGATTTACCAAATCGCTCCAAGCGCAGCAGCATCATATCAATTTAAAACGAGACTGAAACGAAGTTTGACAAATAACTGGGAAATGAAAGATGCAAACCATAGCATTGTTATGAAGAAGTTCAGATACATAATTCCTTGATCAACATAAAAATCAAAATGAATAAGATACTTGAATATTCATCGCCATTGCCTTCGAGGAATTCGATATAAATCTAGAGTTTTAAAATGTATGGCTTTATATTATATTTATGTTTCTGTGATAGCAGCATGCGGAGAAAGGATTCTATCGTTGGGGTTGGGGTTGGGGTTGATGTCTTCCAAATTTGTTGGTTTTTCGATCTTCTCTTATTCACCATAGTAGCTCTTGGAAAAGACAGTCTTTTTCCTTGATCCTCTGGTCCGTCGCGAACCCCCCATTTCTTCTTTTACTTGCCGATCGACTTCGTTTTCTAAATGTTGTAGCCCCTTCTTAACCAAGTCGTAGGAATTCCTGAATAGTGGGTCGCAAGGACCAGAAGTTGATATCAACGAGCGCCCCCTCCTTTTCGAACCTGTCTTCTTGCTATTGGTTCTTCCATAAATGTATCCCATGTGACTTTCTTTTGAACCATGCATCGAGGTTGGCGTTTGCACTAAAAGTTCCACGTCAAATTGATAACAATCGATAATGTCCCTTGGGCCAGAATAGCAAATAAGATATTGGCAATCGCCGGCATCGGATTCATTCCACATCTCAGACAATCGAATCCAAAGATCGGGCGGAAAGCCGATGCTAAACATGTACACGTGCGTAAACGGGTCAAACGTTTTGGCTTCCAAGATATTATTGTGGAGGAACATCGTGTTGCCCTGAAGTAGAAGTGAACCCGAATTTTCGTTAGCTGCAGCTTCGGCCACCTTTTCTCGCTCTTTGACAGCCGCGTTGAGGCAAGCCTTCAAGCAGGTCATTCCTAACGACCACCGATTGTGTTCCATTTCGACGCCGCACGAGAATTCCACACCCGGATATTGGGCAACGTGCAGATTCGGTTTCCCGATGCCCGATCCAACGTCAATGAAACGGCTAGACGAGGAGAACTCTGTGTTCTTGACCATGAGATCAATCATTTTCTGCATACTGTGCTTGGTGAGTTCCCCATAAATCGGGCCCGAATAGCCATTGCCACCGATGTTACCCGTAAGCTTCCGAACGATTTTGTACACCATATCGACGTTGGGAGCGGTCTGTACCAGCTCCACATATCTTCCAAATAACAGCCGTCGTTTCGCTGGTGGTGCTGATCGGGTAACGAGTTCGGAGTTGTCCTCTTGGGTGGCGGTACTGGTGGTTGTTGCGGTGGTAATTGTGCTGGGAGTCACCACACGAGCTTTACGTTTTTTGTCTGCAATTAGGAAGCCCGGTGAATCGGGCAGGGTTCCGGTCACCGCAGCAGAAGTATCCGCACTTGCTCCGATCACGTCAACCTCCCGACTGCCATCTTCTCCGAACAAAACCCTGCATGGACCTTTTTTAGCAGCTGCATTCGTAACCGGTTTGCTTTGCAACCTGAGTAGGTTCTTTTCCGTCCTTGGCTCGGGAGATACCATGAGGCCGGATTTCTCAATAGCTAAAGCCTTGGAAGACATGATCGAGGCTTTCTTCTGTTTCACCATAGTGGTACGCAAAATAGCAAACTCCTCGAACCAAAGCAGCTGTGACGATCCTTGAGCGGAATTTCCAATGCTTTGTTGGAAGGAAAACTGCAACCGATCGACCATTTGAATGCTGTACCGTACCTTGCGTTGCTTCATTCATTACTACGAATACAAAACCTGGAAAAACCCGCGCTCGCTAAAAAGAAAAAAATCAGCGATGCCAACTCCAGCACTCGTGAAGAGATGTGCTACCGGCCAGACACAATTGTAACTATTGCAATGCCCTACGTGTAGTATCGTACGAAATACTGTAGCACTCATGTGATGTTTATTTATTCCCTTCTTTCTGTTTTTAAGTACATAAATCCGTACTGTGATTTGTGACCGATATTGTACAGAATTCTTGAATTGTTTCGTACACAAGATAATTTTTAATTTTTTCAATAGGTAGTTCTACGACGGCAAACAACGTACAGCACTGGGAATACAGGATTCTCGAGAATTAACGAACATACCGTTACCAACGATCACAAACTGCCAAGAAATTACCTTCGACATCAGTCCAACGAACCAACAACAATCTGCCGCGAGTATGGTAGTTATCGAGGCAAGAGAAATCAATTCATCGATCGATATGGCAATGGAGGTAGATAGATCCAACGAAGACACACACGGTACCACCGGCCAAACAAAGCCAGTACCGGAAGCTATGGCGGACGACGACGAGAACGACACGAAATCCGAAACTTCCGATAATGCGATAACCTGTCCGTTGTTCATGACTGGTTTACCCAAAAATTTTGCCACAAATCCGCAATTGGCTGCGATTGCCAGTCTATTGGACGACGATGAGGCCACAGACGACAACAACGACGAAGACTCCGACGCTATTCAAAAAGACGAGAGACCATTGGATCGGCAAGACGATAAAATTGTTTCAGCTGATGCATGTTCGAAGAGAAATCTTCGTTCCATCAGGACGCAAAGGCGACGAAGACAACTACGTGCTTCGCCATATCCACGGCCAGCGAACGACGGCAATGCAAAGAGAAAGAATGGTTCCGTTGGAGAAATCACTCTGTTTATGAATATGTGGAAGCCTTAAGAGACAATAATGCTGTCTTCGATAGGGACACTCACGCTGTGAAAAAATTTAAGATTGAAAATATTGCACTAAAACGAATACTGAAGAGAGAGCGCGGGAGGAAAGGGAAAGTTTACGTGTAGGTGCAGAAAATCTTGCGACATTGCATCGTTTTATGCACAGAAGCACTCAGAGCATTTTTCAATGAAAAACGAAGACGAGAGTCGTTCAATCCATTCCAGCAACAAGCAATGATTCCAGATACTATTTTCATTATCTCTCAGAGATGGTTAGCTGCTTCATATCCGGATTGCAGAAGACGACTGTGTGGAAAGCTTAATTAAAGTCCCTTTCTCATAACATTCTTGTACGACAAGTTACCTCTCTGTTCATGACATGCTCCCAAAAAGTGTGTAACTACGAGATGAATAATAAGACTGAACCGTACTTTCATACCGTCCGTACTCTATCCTCTGTCATACTCGGACATGAGTACGTGCTTCTGCTTCTACTAGCATCATTATATTCAATGTCGTCTGAAAAGTACCCTAGAAACGAACTGAATGCCGTAGTATGCTCTTCGCTTCCTCCGCTACATCGTGCCGTGCGAACGGAATGGTGCCATTGCACTGTCTATCTTCCGAAACAATACAAATACAAAAAAAATACAAAATAAACCGATTTAGAAATATTTTTTATTTTTTCATTCCACTTTTTTCATACCTTTTTCTGACGAAAATCTAATCAAAAATCTAAAAATCCAAGATTCGTTCTCTTTGGGTGCATTTTACTGCAGTTTTGCTCGTATCGTTCCAAAACAGTTACATCGTCCCAGTTGTCGGAATCATGAATCATGAAGGTGAAAAATTACAATCAATAGCGGATCAGCGTTTGCACCACTTTTCCATTTCGAATAGCTTTCCTGTACTATTTTTCAACGAATATGGCATCTCGCGTGTTGGTTGTCGGGAGTGGTTGTATAGGTACGATCTCCGCTTACTTTTCTTGTAGCTCAACAAAAAAGGGATGAGAGAGCCGGGTCGTCTCCCACACATGGGCCTCGTTGTCTCTGGCATTTTAAAGAGTTTGTACGTTGCCATATTGAACGACACCGGCTTTYWTTCAACAAAGTCTAACGATCTGCTATGTATTATTTAATCTATATTTTATTCAATATCCGACGACTTTCGCAGGCCTTCGGACAGCATTGGAGTTGACAAGGAAGCGTGTTTCTGTCGTTTTACGATCGCCAGTGCACCCACTGGACAAATCAAACTGCTCTCAGGGTGCGGGTGGTCTATGGATGCCAATCTATTGCGAAGACCCTCGCGTCGATCAATGGGGGTTCGAAACCCTTGACGAAATTTATCCGCTGGCCGAAGATGCTGAAAATTCGCTCGTGGACCTCCGCCATGTATTGGCACTAAAAAAAAGGCACGAAGGACCGAGCACGGAGGACATGGTGGCCGATAATTATCACAAAGGAACAGGAGGGAGGTCTCTTCTGCCATCGTGGTCCTCCGATGCTCGTTTCAAGTTCCAAAACGTAACGCTAGAGCAGGTGCAGTGGCAAAACCAAATCCACAAGCTCCGTTTGCCTTCCCTAGCCAAGGCGCAAGAAGCTGGTTACAACCACGCTTGGTTCTTCCAAACACCAGTTGTTGACTGCCCCAAAATGATGGAGCACTTTCTGGACGAACTTACAGGGAGTAACATTTCAAAGAGTGCTGGCAAAGCAGATATAAATGTCGAAACCGGAATTTATTACCAATCCAAGGCGGAATTATTCGAAGAGGCAAAGAATTTCGGCTGTGACGCAATCGTAAATTGCACCGGAATGGGTGCATCAGAACTCTGTAAAGACGTTGAATTGGTTGGCGCAAGAGGAATTTTGATGAACTACGATCGAGAATCTTGCAAGCGTCTTGAGCACAAAGATGATGATGGAACCATATCAGCTGGAGTGAATGATCAGCTACACGATGCCTGTATTTTTGCCGACGAGGCACCCTGGGGAACACCCGAATATCCTAGCTATATGATTGTTCGGGGTGACGATATCGTGGTGGGTGGAACATGCGTGAAAGGAGACACAGAAACAAAAATACGACCACAAGAGCGAACGAGACTCTTCGAAACGGCGCGATTGCTTGGTATTGATACGAATGCTTGCCAGCCAAAAGAAGAGTGGGTAGGATTTCGACCATACCGACAAGAGATTCGGTGTGAAATTGATGACGAAAAATCCATGAGTAATGATACAGAAAATGATGACAGAATCCGATTGGTTCATTGTTATGGAACGGGAGGTAGTGGCTGGACAATCTATACGGGCCTTGCCAAAGAAGCCGCAAGGCTGGCCATGCAATAATATCTATGAATAGGACTTCTTGAAAATGGGACTGTAGTACTGCCCCTCACGGAATCAAAGCTTTAGCTGACGTCTGATCGGTTATTGCGAATATAGAGTATTTTACTTTTTTAGATCTTTCAATTTGTAACGGAATTACAGTGCTATGACTTCGTAACTTTAAATTCTTCGGAAAATACTTCTTCTGCACTTCCGAAGGCCTTTATTGCCGTCTTTAGAAACAATTTGCAAATAATCATCTTTTTCACAGCGGTTCTACCACCTTCAACCAGGAGACGTCCCGTTATCCTTTTCTTTAACTTTCCATTTTCTTCCTTATTATTTTGTAGCGTTTTCCTCCCATGATCGGAGGCCGCTGATGGAGAGGTGGAAAAGAGGGTACCCTTGTATATAGAAAGCATTTCCTCCTTTCTACTCTCTTCACTCTTGGAGAGGAAATCAACATGGGAGGTGAAATTTTCGCTCTCTCTGTGGCCAAAATGTATGGTGACTGGGGTTGCACTGGCGTTCTTGTTGCATCTTGAGTTTACCTCTTCTGAGTTGATATCCTTTCGTTTGTCGTTATGGAAATTACCTACCCTTACCATTCTCCTCCTAGATGTATTCTTATTTGATCTCGACTCCTTTCTTCGCCTTCGTTCTATTTTCAATAGATTTTGGGGGATTGATTTTGGCCTCAAGTTCAAGTTTTCAAAACTACTAGTATCTTTTAAACTCTCTCCGGTGTACTTGATAGAAGCATGGAGGTTTACACATGAACTAGCCTTCATTCTTGTTTTTTTCGGGGAAAAGGGGGCTGCTCTGAAATGCCTGCATAAGCCTTCTTGTGACTCTTGACTTGTACCCGCAATTGTATGGCATTGTTTTGTACGTCTGTTGGTTCTTCTAATTCTCGTTTCTCTAGCTCTTTGTCCTTGACCACAGAAAAGATCGCATTGACTAGCACTTTTCGCCCGTATTATACCTCGTCGACTACGAGGTAGATCTTTAGCTTTCCTCCTTGCGTTGCCTTCGGCTTTGCTACGAATTCTTCGGTTTGATCGACAGTAGCCCTTTTGCGAGGTTCTATTTGTGCTATCTCCCAGTCTATGATTTGAATAAACACCTTCGAGGTTACTGTGCGATGATACAAGGTCCGAACTTTGCAAAAATTGTATTTTTTTTCTTCGACTTTGAATTTCGTCATTTTTCTCTTCGTTGAATTGAAGTCGTTCATGGTTTCGAGTACGATCATTTTCATTCAATGTAGTTGGGATGTTGGATAATTGAGGTTCATATTCGTCCTCAACTGTTCTAGGGGGAGAAGCAGTGACAGGATCGACTTCTTTGCCATCGCCATCAACATCGCTAATGAAATCATCGTAAGCATACCTTAAGTTGTTTCTGCTACAGCTGCAGAATCTGTTAAAGCTATTGCAGTTATCAAAATAACTTGGATTATAGCCAATATCACTTGAATGGCTTGAATCTGGAATTGTACTGCTCCCACTGGTTGAACATAGACCTGAATTGCTTCGAAGCAACTTTGGTAGTTCGCAGGCACAGGTATTCTTCTTTGACGAGTATAGACGCCTTCGACTGTTCCTGACTTGAGAATAATCTTTCTGGACTCGATGGATGGTTTCTCTTTCTCCAGATGTGGTTACATCTTTCGGATGGTGCTTACTCTTGCCAGTGTTGCAGTTACCAGTTAAGGTTCTTCTATTTGATTCCACCCTCCCCTGGTCGTTTCCGTTTCTCCCTTGCGCAAGTGCTGCCATTTTCGAAAGTGAAAATTTCAATCATACAAGTCAAATAGACAAGACATTCAAATATTTCTGATATTATGTGAAGACCTGTGTTAGTATTTGCGATGGAGTCAAATAGGAATAGAGGTCGTCAAGTGGCAAACTTTGCATAACCCAGTTTTCCTGAACCAGCATGAAATATTATTCGTTGGTGCAATATTTCGTTCTGTTAGTAGTAATGAAGGAGTGTCTTTAACATCAGCTCTTCCACTGGAACAATCATTCCTTAGATATTGTAGCATTCTTTAAGACAAGTGATCACTAAGGGATCGAAAATGACGCGATTGATAAATAGGTGAGATTCGGATTCTTCTAAAATATGACCGCTATGTAATCAAAAAGAGTTGAGAACCATAATAAAAAATACTAGTATTACAGTAATAAGATTACTGATCTACGGCATAAATTTCTATTGGGCAATACTGTAGGTTAATTCCAATGATTGTWATGTCACATAAAAATATTAGTTTTGTCGATGAGGCTATCATTATTTTTCACTTGTACAGGGGATGCTGCTCATAAATCGTTCCATTGTGAAGGATGGTCGATAGCATTGACATCAATATTTTTTTAAGCCTTCTAGAATTTGAAAGTTTCAACCTCACAACTAGAAGTACGGGTTGTCGTATCGCACCGTACCATCATTTCTGAGTTCTACGGTACGTGCACATAGAACTTTCTGTAACCTGGGCTTTGAAAACATTTTGATTGTTTGCTTACTGTATTTTATTTGCTTCTCTCATCATCAACTCTACAATACTGTTGGACGTACTATGATACGTAATATGGTATCGATTACGATACTCGTACCATTCATACGAGCACGTACGTACCTTACTTCTATTTCGTTTCTCATCTTCAAAAAATGCGAACATCTAGGTACACCGTACCGGTACGTTTGTGCTGTATTTAGGTATAGAGCGAAGTTTGAGTAAAAGACATGATTTCTGATAACATCCTGTGTCATCGTTTCGAGGAACCGGAGCGGCAGACAGGTTCCAAGGCCCTAGGATATGAGGGGTATATTCCGTGTAGTACACAGCCTTCTTTTCTGTTATCATACTTGCAGAAGCTTCGAAAACATAATTGGGCGAGTCGAAGCTATCTCGATATCTGCGCGTCAGCGGAACCAACAATGTATTCTCGATGTCGGCACCACAGCAGTGCATAATTTTTCGGAGGATTCAAGTATCGTGGTAGGGACCAAGAAGGGTGAAATCCGCGCTTACTCTCAGAATCAAGAAGGAAATATTTCTATCATGGATAGTTTTGGTTCGAGGATAGATCAATGTAATAAAATCGATGCCACCCAAAATGGTATGGATAGCTGGATTGAACTAAATTCGCTTGATTACAAGACCAAATATCCGATATATTCGATCGTAGCCATGTCCCACAAGAGAAAGAATTCATCAGCAGAGAAGATGGACGAAAAATTTATATTTTGTGGAAGTGGCGACCGGTGGATATCGGTCTGGAAAATAGCTACTGATGATGATGTTGGCACTCCCCAAGTTATAACCAGAAGGTTGAAGTTTGTGCAGAAGCTAGGTCCTCATACTGGATGGGTCAAAGCCCTTGTATATGATGACGAGAGCCAATTGCTTCATTCGATTGGGTGTAATTGCATCGAAAGTTGGAATTGTTCAAGACTGGACAGCGATCACCTCCAAGATGACAACGAAGACAAATTGCTACCAATTTTCCACAGCATCAAGCGCACCATAGAAAACTGTCCTGCTGTGGGAACTACGTTATCCAGTGACTTGCTATGCCTTTGTCTCGTTCCACCAACCGTTGATAGCGATGAGGGTTTGTCTCGATTACTCGTTTCGGGCGGCGTTGATGGCCGCATCCATGTGTGGACTTCTGATCAATATGTGAAGAGAAAAGAAGGCAACTCATATGTTGATGTACGAAACCCTTTGCATATCGCATTGGCACATGATGGTAGAGTCAATGCGATTGCCTTCTCTTCAGCAATGGATGTCATCTTCACAATAGGAAATGATGGAGTGCTGTCTTTGTTTCGTGTATCGTTTGGCAAAGGATTTGAATTGATTTCAAGGGTGGAAATTGAGGACAGTTCGAAAGAAACTCTCTTGAGGTTAACTGCGATGGAAATTGTCGTAGACAGTAGAGAACAAAACGAATGTTTGGTTGCTGTCGGCACTTCGGATGGTGAGCTGCATTTCGTTACTACCAGAATAGGGGATGATGGTAGTCTTGTGAGTCAGTTGCAAGATGACCACGTCAAAGTAGCACAAAATTCAATGATATACTCGATCTCTTGTAAGGAAGAGGAAGGCACGAAATCGGCTCCCCGAGTTTGGGTTGGCCATGCATCAGGTCTTGTTACATTCGATCTTCACTGACTATCCTCTCTCATTCGATTTGAAGCGTTTCGAAGCTTTCTAACCGTCTGAATGTTCTATATCAAAGTCAATAGAAAGTGATTTGCCGAGTATTTTCTTCTATTATCAGGTGCTAGCACACGATTTGAATGATACGGGCGTTGTTTCTAAATGCACGAATCGTTTTTCATTTTGGAGACCACAAATATCAKAATTGAACAGACTTGGAACTCTCAAATATTTTTGAGAGATGCTGAGAGTTTTACACCGTCATAACAGAAAGATGCAAAGAACAATCCCGCCTGCAGAATAAGTATTTGGCTATTACACTGAGTCTTGCGTGTTGTTCCCAAAATAACAATCACCGATATCCACGCTTATCCCTGCGGTTTGGACCACTCGACTTCGCCCGACGCTTTTTGTTCTTGTTATCATTCCCTTTCTGGTGATTTCTCCCCCTACCACGCTTCTCTCTCTGCTCTCGACGTTCTCGCTCAAGTTCTTCTGCACTAAATTATTAGAAAGAATTACAGGCATTATTAGCTTAAARACATATTGTGTCCTCATTAATCAACAAAGCATGAAAGCAAATTCAGGACGTGTAACTTACATGGAATCGGCTTCAGCACGTTGTATCTCCTGCAGAGCTTGATCCGGATTGTTAATACAGTGGTAGAGAGTCGGTCGGTTACAATCGTAACCTGAGTGCCCCTGCGCCCCGCAGTTGAAACAGGACATACCCTGGAGACCATAAAACCATTTCAGTTCCTTAGTAAGAAAACGTCCACGTTTTCCAGAGTCCATGCAAATAGCATCCGATATGACGTATGGCGCCGGACCTTGCAAATGACATTGAAGTCGATGGTGACCAGATTGAAAGCAGGTGCCACACACCATTCGCCGAGGTAGTCCTCTTCTCATGGTACAATCCCTACTAATGTGACCCGGTTGGCCACAATTGAAGCAAACCTGCTTCTTTCGACACGACCTGAAGTCATGGTCTGTCATTCCGCAAAGCGGACACGGCTTCGGCTTTCTAGGATTGGGACAATCTGCTTCTCTGTGACCGACCTCGCCACATCTGAAGCAGACAGTCGATATATCCTTCGTGGATTGATTGTTCAGAAGAGATCCACCCGAGGGCTTACCACTGGTGTTCTTTTTCGACCTAGCTAGAGCAAGGGAGACACGAAGATCGCGCCCATGTAGTGACTTCAGACGTTCTTGGCACGATTTGGCCCCCTCTTCTGTATCGAACGTTACATAGGCAGTTCCAGAGTTATGGATACTGTCACTACTAGGATTGTCGCAAATCATGACGACTTCTGTCAAATCTCCAAAGCGTAAGCATGCACTCTGTAACATCTCTTCCGTGGTTCGATAGTTCAAGTTTGTTATCTTGACTTTGTGAGTGGATACATGCTCTTTCTTTTTTGGGGCACTTCTTTTTCCTTTAGTAGCCGCCACCTTTTTTGTGGTTCCTTTATCGTTGCCCTCCTCGTCCTCGTCGGCTATAGTATGATCAACTTCCTCCTTGTATTTGTGCTTTTCACGATTTCCAAAGGCTTTCAAAATTTCATCATTTAAAGGTATAATTGCAGGAGCTTCGACCAATCCCTTACGAGAAAAGGTGAAATGACAAGGAAAAGAGACATAAAACTACAGTTAGACAATTTTCCTTTGCTTAATTCTGGACATGATCCTTTCGAATGGTTCTATGCGCACGGATGCAACTTTGTACAATTTTACAATAAACAATGGATTCTTTTGGAAACAATATCAGCGAAACAAATTAATTTAGGCGTACCCTTTTTCGATTAGGATCAAACAGCCGAGCAGCAAATTTGCTGAGACGCTGTTTTGCATGTTCCAATAATGCTGGATCAACAGTTCTATTCGTTTCAATAGATCCAGGAATGTGCTCGTCCCCACCTTTAGTTTCGTCGCTTCGTGGTTTGCTGTCATTATTTAATCTCCTTCGCTTTGTCTCTTGTTCGGCTGCCGCCGAGGAATCAGACTCAAACATGGAATCGCCATCGCTTTCAGTGCTACGTCGCGGTTTCTTCGTCGTCATCTCGGTCTTGGTTGCTTTTCAATTTTCAGGTCAACACACAATTGCATGTATCTAGAAACTGTTTTCCGGTTGCTCTGAACTATGGTAGTCCTGGACTTTCGGGGGGAAGAAGAAGGGTGAGATTTATCAAGTTTTTGAGCTGGGTGAGGTTTCTCTATTTTTTTAGTATCGGTGTAGGGCACCATTGATACTTAACCGTACCGCACTGGTCTACTAACCTTCTTGGACACACGAGAGGGACGTCATCCACGGTCTAGAGCTATTCAAGGCAAGCCATTGGCAAAAACCAAAAACGGCCGTCAATTTTTTTGTTTTCCGATCTCCACTTCCCACTTCCCCTCTCGTCCCCAAATATTTCTATTTCTGGTCCTTACTACTGGGGATCTATCTAATATCATTGGTTACTACTAGTACACTAGTACTAGTACTACTACTATATTAAAATTTCAATTGTGCTCATTTCTGGATCACATCCATTAGAGTCAGAGGGAGGTCAAACGATGAAAAAATAGTTTTTGTCCTTTGGACAGTTTTGAACAGCCCAGTTTTAGTAGTAGTAGTAGTAGTAGCTAGCACTAGGAAGAGTGGTGGGGGGGGCATGACGACACAAAGGTACTACTACTAGTAGTAAGGTCTCCTACTAGACCACACAGTACAAGTATAATGTGTGTTCTATTTTGGCCACCAGCTATGCACTGAAATTTTGGTGGTTAGCTAGTTCTAGGCCTCTGATATACTACTAGCATCCTATCATGGGTTCCCAACAATGACACAGACATCTAAGTAATTATATCACCAATAAGAATGACTGCTGGGCCCTTACTAGTCCAGTAGGAGCTATTGTTAAAGGCAACAAGTGCTATACTGGCAAGTTATTGGCAATTCCCATACAAATGCTAGTAGAAAATTTTGGCTTATTTTTACAGGTAAATCCCATTATTTTAGTAACTGCTTTTAAAAAATGTCATTCAACTTCTGAAAAATTCTGGCGGAGAATGGTTCCTGGGGGTATTTAGCAACTGAACCCATTTCACCCATTGCTTTGCCTGATTTTTTCAGATATCAAATTCCATTATTTTAAAACTGGGCTCCTCCATATCAGTGTCCTCTGCATCAGTGTCCTCCATATCAGTGTCCTCTGTATCAGCAACGTCCTCCATAGTATCAGCAGTGTCCTCCATATCTGTAGTATCAGCATCCTCTGCATCAGCAGCATCCTCTGCATCAGCATAATCCATATCAGTTTACTTCTCCGTATCAACAACTTGTATCACTGTAYTCCTCCGCCATATCAGCGGCTCCTCCGTATCACCAGCATACTCTGTATCAGTGTACTTCCTATCAGTGGTGTACTCCTTATCAGTGTACTCCATATCAGTGTACTCCATATTGGTGTAGTCTGTATCAGCAACTCATATCAGCAGCTCCTCCTTATCAGCAACTTGTATCAGCAGTGATTCACTGTGTGCTCTGTATCAGCAGCTTCTCTGTACCAGCAAATCACCTTGCACTCCATATCAGCATACTCCATATCAGTATACTTATCCTTATCAGCATACTCCTCCATATCAGTGTCTCATAAATTGGTTGATTGTTGCTTTTTTGGAAGAACTGATATTAAAATTATCTTCTACTAGTACAAAATCATCCAGTGGATCAAAGATTACATTCATCATTGATAAGAACACTGGTGATTGACTTGAAGAAGTGGGAGTCCTTTGAGTATCCACAAATGCTACCCTTATGGTGTCATACCCCACTTCTGTGATAAAGATTATCCTGTCCATGATGAATATGCTCTCCTACTGCCATCACTGGCTGGTCAGTAGACATATTGGCTTGGCACTACACCCTTTCAGACTTGCTTGAGTATCCACAAAGAACGCAAATCATACATGAAGATCTGCATGCCAGTCCCTCAAGTACAAGACAATTAACAGGAGTTTTTTCTGAGTATGAAGCTTCTGCATGTTGGTCCCTTGAGTATGAATCATCTGCATGCCAGTCCCTTGTTGAGTATCAGCAAACACAATGACCATTCAATTGAGGAGTATCAAAGCCTCTGTACACCGGTTCCTTGAGTATCAGCAAATGCAATTACTGTTTGCTTGAGTATCGAAGCCTCTGCATGCCACCAGCTCCTTGCGTATCCACAAATTCAAAGTGCCTGCACGCCAGTCCCTTGAGTATCCACAAACGCAAAGCGTCCAAACACTAGCTCATTGAGTATCCAGAAACGCAAACGTGAATTGCTTGGGTATGAATGAACACTTGCCAATAACTCAAATGTGAATTGCTTGAGTATGGTATGAATGTACGCTTGCAGATAATGCAAATTTGCATCATTTCTGTGCTGTTTTGCATGTTCTTTTGCATATTGTTTTGCGCGCTATTCTAGTATGTATGGTGGAGGTTCAGCATTGGATGTACTTTCTCCAGTACTGAATTTGARCTAAAAAAATATGTATGTAGATTACATAGGATTTGTAATGTAGTACTGTAATGTACAGGGGGCATGTGCACATTCCAGGCAAACCAGCTAGCCGTGGAGGTTCGGAATTGCCATTAACTTGCCAGTAAGGGACTTGCCTTCAACTTTTTCCCCTCCTGTGTTGCCAACCGGAGAAATTAGGATTTTTTTCTTTGCTACTACTACTACTCTACTACTCTACTACTTGTCACACCCCTCTCAGCATCACTACTAGTATAAACAATATTATAGTAAGAATAGTTTTAACAAATAAATGTATTCATTTATAACGCATCACCAACTTGATGGTTGAAGTTACACCAATGCTCTTTACACCACCATGCAGCAACATTGCAACTTCTGCAACCATTCCTTGACATTTTAATACTAATCCATGGCAACTTCCTCAATCTCCTCACTGATGAGTTAGGATACCTATGCTTTGCTTCTTCTACACAGACAACACAATAGGTCCTCTTCACTCCTTCATACTTGCCACTGTGTATTTCTTCCTTTGGCTTTGAAGTCACCTTTCCATGAGCAATGGTGGTGCTGGTAATTTTGTCCACACAGAAGAAACAAATCCGACAATCATAAGGGTGGTATTTTCCATTCTTTGATAGCTTTGGCATCCACTCTTGCTTAGAACCTTCATCATATGGAGCTTTTCAGTCCAATCTTCAAATGTATACTGGTTGGGATCATTTGCTATCAGCTGAAGGATTCTTTGTTCATCAAACAAGAACAAGAAGAAATGCACCAACCCTTCCACCTTATTTGCACAGCCATCCAATGTATTCCTTACTACAGCACAGGTGGGATCTGGGGTTGCACCTCCTCCAGGTGATGTATACTACTGGACAGAGGGGGGAGGAGATAACCCCTCCTCTGCACTATCACCCAACAACTTCTTGCCATTCCATGTCACCATGACACTAATGCAAGCTTTGTTGACAGTATTCAACTGTTACCAGTCTCAACATCCTCAAATGAAACCCACCAAACCACTCTTCAGTGTTGGAGATAATCATGAATGATACTTCCAGCAGTACTAGTCTAGTAGTAGTAGTAGTAGTACTCGTATACTATAGAGCTGATCTCCTTTCCTCTTGGGTGGACTTGTGTCTTGTACTTGTTCAAAGAATTGCACAACATTCCTGACGCAAGGAGATTGATGCTGAGTGACATTGTTGTTCCATTCTTCTTCATGGTCATTGTTGTGTGCTTTTTCATCATCATCTACTGGTAGTAAAGACATGTGTGTACCACCAGGAAGAATTCTAATGGGACTCATGAGAACTGAGGAGTCCTGGAGAAGATTTTCCAATTCACCATCCTGCTCCAGATCAGATGAATCAGAGAGGTCACAGTCAAGGAGGAGTTCTTCAATTTTATTCTCAAAGGAGGGAGCATGATTGTTGTATTAGTAAGGGGCATCATCAGAAAGACTTATTCCAAGAGAACTGTTACTAGTAGTAACACCACTGAAAACACTGCTGTCATCTTAGGAGGGGCTGCTACTGTGACAAGGGTGCAGGCCACCACCACCACTGTTGTCAGATAGGTCTGCATCACTACTAGTAGTATGACCATAGTATGAATAATTGTCAACCATCAGAAAAAGAATCATCATCATCCATTGTGGTGATATGATTAGTTTATGTTGGTGGTAAATATGATGGTTTAGGTGATAGTTTTTATTCTGGGTTGGATTGTTTTATATTTTCTTGCTTGGATATTACAAGGAGAGAAATGAATGAGCAGAAAAGGTATTTTATACAAAGTAATTGTTTAAAACTCCTTTTTGGTATTTCAGTCTTATTTTGTATGGGATTTGTACTGCAGTTTACGCAGGTGAAAATCATGGAAACTCCCAAAAAAAATCCAAAAATGCACAATTTGGGCAGAGACAGGAAAAAGTTAATAGCTCTACTATGGTCCAGCAGTGGTCTAGAGTCCTTCTTATCAATAAATGCCACTAGGAGGAACTCCCACCAACTCCCCCATATGACTAGAATCCTGTTTAAATTTGCTTTCAATTCATGTGCCTACCATTCTCAAGCATCCAATGTGGATCAAGATATAGCTGTTCAAGTGAGTTGACCCTTATTAACATTCTACATGTTTTCTGCCAAGCTTCAATTTTGGGCTATCTTCTTCACCGTGTAATGACTCATGGGATTAGAATTTGACTTCTTCAGACCGATTGATGATGGACCGACGACCGTATCGTACCAGTACGTAGGATACCTACCGGTAATTGTAAGTACTAACTGGTATTCGTAATTCGTACACAGACATTATTCTGAAGGAAAGACCGATTTGTAAATTTGTAAAAATTCCAGGATACATACAAGCACCGTACCTGCAGGGTATGGTACGGTACCGGTAGGTATGAAGTTTTTGCATTGTTTCAACAAGTGGCGCAATAGTCTCAAGTTTCGGCATCGAAAGATTGGGATTCACTCATTCTCGATTTGAATGAAAATCACGATAGCAGCCAAACGCAAAAAAGGCCTCTCGAGTGACACAAACCTTCTTGAAGCTTTGAAGTTACCGACCAGGAACAAAGAACGCTTGCTAGTAACAAAAATTAAATTGTGATAAAATGAATTTTATAAAGGACCTGAGCATCGACAAGATCCAGAACCTGGCTGAAGATGCGTAAGTCGACATTTAAATTGTGCAGTTCCGGTCATCTCTGGTTGTATTTACGTACAAGTCAGTACTGAAAATGACTTTGGAATAATGGTCGGAATTATTTTTCGTAAAATTATGTTTATTGAACAAAGTAGTGGATTCTGCACATTGTAATTCGACTTGACTTACTGTTCATATGTTCTTTGGTAAATGTTCGATGGAATAATTCACGCCGATAAACAATTCCCCTCGGCCGCGTTTCAGCTTCAACCAGGCAAAACCAAAGACCGATGTCGAAGCCCGGGTTTACGAATGTTTGTCACACAAAAACTGGGGTGCCTCTGGATCGTTGATGAACGAGATCGCCCGCGATACGTATGACATGGAACGTTTTCAAGTCGTTACCAATCTAATGTGGGATGGAATGGAAAACCAGCGTCCCGCCGCTTGGAAGATTGTTTTCAAGGCTTTGAATTTATTAGATCATCTCGTGAAGAACGGAGCGGAACGGTGCGTCGACGATGCCCGAAACCACGGTCACATCCTGCGATCGCTCGGACAATTTAATTATTACGAAGGTACGATCGATCGGGGTTTGGGCGTCCGTGAAAAATCTAAACAAATTCTTGAGATGCTCAGTGACGACGAACGTGTTCGAGAAGAGCGACAGAAAGCCAGGAAATTGAGAGAAAAATTCGGAAAATTCAACAAAGGAGCGTCGGGAATAGGTGGTGGAGGAGGCTCCAGTGGAGGATCAGGATACGGAAACCAGGATTCTTGGAATACTAGTAGTGGCGGCGACGGGGGATATGGCGAGGGAGGAATATACGACAACGAAAAAGCATATTCGGGAAGATACGGAAACTCATCTTCGACAGCGGCTCCCACCTTCGCATCCATTCCTGGAGAGAAGAAGAAGTCGAAAAAGAAGAAGAAGAAACAACAGGCAGCACCTGCACCAGCACCGGAACCAGGTAAGAGACGACAATTGAAAAWTTTAAGGAAGCTGATTACGTGCGACAGTTGATGAGGGGCATGTTATAGGAGTGGTTGAAATTCAATATTTGCGATATCTCACGTTGGATTTTATCGAAAAATCGATGTCACAAACTGTATAGTCGGAGATTTGCTTGGATTTGATGACGCTCCGGCTCCTGCTGCGGATACGGGAGGGAGCAGTGACTTCGGTGCATTTCAAGCACCATCGGCTCCTGCACCGGCACCTGCTRCCACAAATGCATCCGACGATTTCGCAGCGTTCGATCAAATTCGATCGAAGAATGCACAGCAAGGACCCGATCCATTCGCAGCAGCACCTGTGCAACAATTCGATGCATTCGCAAACAACAACAGTGGAGTTGGCGTTAACAATAACACGATGAACAATAACATGATGAACAACAATATGATGAACAGTAACATGATGAACAACAACAATAACAACATGGCAGCTATGGGCAATGCATTCAACAACCTGAGCGTGAACACCGGTGCACCGACAGGAGGCGTTCAGCAGCCTTCGGCGTCACCTTCAAACGATGACGATTTTGGCGACTTCGCCGATTCAAAATTGTCTCCTTCCTTGTCTAAACCTGTGACGAAATCTTCCGATCCAATGGCGGGTTTGATTAACCTTGACAGTTTAACTAAAAATGCTTCGAAGAAGATGTCAATGAATTCACCTGTTGCGGTAGAAGCGGCCGCGGCCCAGTATCAACGGGATATGCAGAATGGTGTTCAAGGTCAAGCTCTGATGCAGGGGCAAGGTAAGAAACCAAAAAGTATCACATCTTCTTCTCGCATTGAATTGTTGAATATGTCTAACAAATCCACATGCTGTAAACAATCTGTGCAAAGCCCCAGGCGTCGTGTCTGTTTCTGCAGGAGGTAGTGATGCGATTAGCTCCATGATGGGACCTGTGCCCACGCAGCCGCAAAGGGGTTCGAACTTTTCTATGAGCACCCAAGCTGGTGATGGCAACCCTCAAATGCAGCATCAACAAAATTTCAATCAAGGGATGCAAAATCAAGGAATGCAGGTTGGTGGTATGAATTCTCAAATGCAGGGTGGAATGATGTACGGAAACCAAATGGGCGGCATGCAAGGAGGCATGAACAATACGAACATGAACCAAATGGGTATGATGAATCAAATGGGTGGACAGCAACAACAAATGAACCCCCAGATGATGGGTAGTATGGGCATGCAAGGAGGAATGAACCAAATGGGTGGAATGCAAGGAGGCATGAACCAAATGGGTGGCATGCAAGGAGGCATGAATCAGATGAATGGTATGCAAGGAGGCATGAACCAAATGAATGGTATGCAAGGCATGAACCAAATGGGTGGCATGCAAGGAGGTATGAACCAAATGGGAGGCCAGCAACAAATGAATTCTCAAATGATGGGCGGTATGGGTATGCAAGGTGGCATGCAGGGTGGCATGGGAGGAATGAGATGAGTCGTTCTTTCGTCGACATCAACCTGTGCCAGTGTGTTCTGACTTTAGGATTCTTATGCAATTGAATTACTATCTACCTAGTGCACTGTACTACACTTCGTACTAGATCAAATTCATACAATTTTTGTACTTTCGTCACTTTTCCGAGAGGTGATTCCGAAAGTCGACAAGCAAAGTACCTGCGCCTCTCCCTTGACRACAAAGCTTCATCTATCTGGAGTTATACCATAAATATTCTGAATCATCACCGTTCCTTCCCTCGGTTTCAGCTTTCCTTCTTTGTTGTTGCCGTTTTTGCTAACGTTGTACTGCCAAGATTGCAATCATATTATTTCTCATTTTTACATTAGTAAAGTCAGTCATTCCTCCTCGGGAAAATCTACGATGGTGGGAGTCTGAATACTGTTAAGATTCGTAGCATTCTTTTTTTGGTCTTCGTTGCTAATGTCAATTGCTTCCTTTTGGGGTAAATCTGCAATATTCGGAGAATGGATCTTTTGAATATCTCGAAAAGCTTCAGACACTGCTGCGGCAGTCTCAGCAGCAGATGGTGGTGGGTCCTTATTTGGCACTGACGATAGCGGGCTTTGTATTTTCTTCGACAAATTTCGGAGCAATTCTTTACCAGATTGCGATGATTGTTCAAAGGCCTTTAAAATTTCTGGACGCCGATCGCCTTCTGCTCTAGATGGTGTTTGCTGCTCTGTGCTCGCGGAGTTAGTCATCTTTAATGGACTTTGAATTCCCTTCATGGATAAACTTCGAAAGAATTCTTTCCCTCGGTTTCCATCGAATACAGGATCCTTCGGCTGTCCAGCACTTATTGTATCCATGTTGGAGAATTTCTGAAACAAATCGTTTGCGAATTTTTTCACAGATTTGTCGGCTCTGGGATCATCGCCATTATCATCGCTCTCTCCCACCGTTGAGTTTTTTGTGGTACGATTATTGCTGCCCATATCATTGACTACGCTGAGTTCCGCAAACTTTTTCTTCATTTTATCCATGGGACTTGGCTTGGCGTTATGTTGTTCTACACGCTTCACCATTTCACTAACCTCCTTTCGTTCTTCATCGGACAAAGATGAATTTCGTTTTGACACTTCTCGCAACAACTCTGTTACTCCATATTCGTCATTTTTCGCAAGAGGCGATCGCAAGTTCGAGAACAGATTTCGATCGCTCATGGTTATGATATTGATTGTTATCAACAGGAAGACTGACAATCTGCTGGTGTCTCTTGTGAAATATTGCAGCCAGTGGGGTCCGTCTCCACAGTAGAACAGAATTCTTGATTCTGTCCGAGTCACCGTTATGTGTACGGGGCCCTCTGGCAACGGCGACATTTTCTTTCAGAAAAAATAGACGTACCGTACGGTGACGTACGCTACTTACGAGTACGTACGTACTCGTACTCTACGAACATATGATAATAATATGTTATCGGGAATGACCCATTATGATACGTAGTACTTCTACGAAGTATGGTACTTACTGTACTCCCATGTATTCACTGTAACGGTAGGCCTCGAGTCTAACGATACACTAGACTAACAACAAGTAGAGCGGTCTACGTGCGTGAATTCCTAGTGCAATACCATACGTTACGATTTCATTATCGCTTAGTTGAAGGGAAAATAGAAAATAGCCCTCTTACGGTATTAGGACTTGGTAGCGGTTTGTATTTGACAAACTTACCACGAACCTTAGTTTAAGAAAGGAGTGTACACAGTAGTTACTGTGATCCTGAATCACGAGTAAAAAAAGAATGATGTATGATACAATTTAGTTTCGGAGAAGGATTCAGTTTCGGTACGTACGAGTACGTACCTAGTTCGGAAGACACATTCTGTCTTCGTGAAAATCCCAAATTGTTGGAATCTTGTGAAATTAGCGCGCAATTATGCAGGATTCCAAATTCCAAAAATGGGGGGAAAATATGTAAGTTGAGCCGGCCAGCTGTGCCTTCTGTACCTACTACTGAATGTGATTCCCGAAAACATACCTCGATATATGTTATCGGGAATGACCCAATGAATTGTTTTGATCCGAAAGGAGCTGTCTGGACGATCGGTCATAATATTATTTTCCCGAACCCTGAAGTGACTATATTCTCGCATTAAAAATAAAAATATTTCCACCTGGACCGACCGTCCCCAAAGGGAAAACGAAGTCTGTACGGTAGGGTACGTACGTACCTCGTAAAGGGGAAATGACCCCTGACGTCGTACTCATAGTAGTAAAAGCAGCCCAACAGATTGATGTAATCGGTTCGCACATGTGTCACTCGAATTTTTGGACAGAAAAATTACAAGTGACATTGAGATAGCCTCCCAATTCGTTCAGCATAACCTTTCGGATTGTACGGTACAAGCACGAGTAACTCGTACTTTTGACCTCATACTTTACTCGGAACTTTTTTCACAAGCCAAGGAAAAATGTTAAAAATGTACATCGTTGAGAGTTAGAGAGAGCGTAAAAAGATCATTACCAATTTTCAGTCACAGGTTATCAACACAATGGTCAAAACTCTGAAGCTCGATGCATCGTCGATAGAATACGCGATTCTTCCTACTCACGTAAAAGATGACGTGCCGGATAGAATATCAATCATGCTGATCCAGGAAGAAAACGAATATAGTTGCTTTGACTATTTAGCGGCTAACGAGGYTACACTGAAACAGGTCGCGAAACCGGTAGACGAAGATTGTCGGGTGAAGATGTGCGAATGGTGCTACCAGGTCGTTGATTTTTGCAAGTTTCGTCGCGAAACTGTGGGTATAGGAATGTCATACGTGGACCGGTATATGTGCTCAAGCAAAGGGAAGAAGGCACTCGGAGATCGGAAAGAGTATCAGCTGGTGGCAATGACATGCCTTTACATTGCAATCAAGTTACACGAACCTCTTGAAATGGAAACATCGCTCTTGGCAGATCTTAGTCGAGGGTGTTACACAGAAATGGAATTTGCTAACATGGAACAGGACATTCTCGAGGCCATAGATTGGAGAGTAAGCGGTCCAACGCCTCTGGCTTTTGTTCTACATTATTTGGCGTTTCTCCCGGAAATCGTCCCTTCTTCGGTAGTGGAAGCTATTTTCGACTACGCCCGCTATCAGACAGAACTAGGCATTGCCGATCACTGCTTTGTCAAATCAAAACCGTCAGTCGTTGGGATGGCCGCCCTCTTGAACGCATTAGAAGGCATGGATACAGATTTATTGCCGGAACGAGTTCAAGATCTATTGATAAGGACTATCGTCATATACACAAGTATAGATCTGGAAGAGGTTGAAAAAGTACAAATTCGCTTGAGCACAATCCTCTTGACCTCGTTGGACGAAAGCGATGCATGTAAATACGAAAGACTAGTAGAAGACACGGATGCAGACGAAGAAAGCATTAGTCTTTCAGAAGAAGATTATGCAGACGACGTGGAAAGCGAAGATTCAGAAAGCGACGAGGAAACCAGCGACGAAGACTGTGACGATGATGAAGGAGAAAAGCGCATTCCTCCCCCGTCAACGAGTCACAGAAGCCCAACTTCTGTGATGAAGAAGTCTAGGACGAGAACATAGAGGGCATAGAATATAATAACAAAGTTCCATAATTTACTTTGAACGACCATGGTAATGCCCACCCGGTGTTTCCCATCCGAGGTATGTTGTTTGTGAAATCGTTGTCACCCACATGCAATGTGGCGGCTTTCTCGAATTGTGATCCTCTATCACCTCTCTATTCGTTTGAGAAGTCATCCCTAGGCACAAACATAATTGTTTTCTTAAATTCAAAGTGCTCAATTTATTGATTTAGGATGACTCGCCCCTGACTTGCAAATAGAATTGTAGTATGATATATTGTACTGATTTGGGCATTAACATATATGGTAAGTGCAATTGTAAGAGGAGTAGTTTGTTCAAGAAATTCTTCAACCAGTACCAGACCTTTTTGTTGACCTTCTTCTGGGGCAACTAGCCAAAACATTGTTCCTTCCAAATCAATGGTTCTTGGTTTCCTACTATTGCCTCTTCTACCATAGTAGTTCACATGGATGCTAGATACAAATTTATTTTTTTCCCTTTTTGTTGACCAGCTTCTCATTGTTATTATTCCTCTTAAAAGCATTGGAATATGGGGATCATCCTCTCAATAATTAAGAACTCATTCCAAGGTGTGTGTGGCTGGCTTGTTGATAGTGAAAAAGCCCGTGACAGAACGTATGGTATTGTACCATACTGTCATGTTCTCCTACTATGTACTTCCAGGGCCCTCTGTTAGTTTTCGAGGAAGATAGGCAGTTGCCAACCACAATCAGGTTTTCCCATAGGTTTTCTCCCTGTTTAAAGAAAGAGAAACAAAGAGAGTATTGCCAAGACAATATTATCTTTGTTTCTCTTTGCATAAAAATTGAGAAATCAAAGAGAAACAAGAAGAGGCAACATTATCTTTATCTCTCTCTGTCAAGATTCTCTTTGTATGAATGGGAAGTGCCCCAGTCATTTCATCATGTCAAAACAAAGAGAATAGTGCCCAGATTATATTCTCTCTGTTTGAAGAATAAAGAGGAGAACAAACAATGCAAACATTGCTCAGGCGATATTGGGTGATTCCTGTTATTTTAGAAATGCTAAAATTGATAGACAGACAGGCCAAAAATCTGTTACATGTTGATAGATTTAGCATTTTTTGAATGGGCCATTGGACCCCTTCAAAAATGTGCTAGATCTATGAGGGAATGCATGAATAAAAATTTTGAATCCATTGTAAGATTCAACAGAAAGAGTGCCACCAGAATCTTGAGACTACTTGATGAAATTAAGACTTGTTAATTGACTGGTCTTGGTGATCAAGCAGGAGCCTTGTCTGGATGGTCATTGCTTATTCTTGCTGGAGATGCATCCACTGTTCTTGTTGATGGAGAATAAGTGCCAGTTGCTGCTGGAGGAGTAGCTCCATTGTCAACTGTTGCTGGAGGAGCATCCACCATCTCCTTATTGACACCATCTCTTGTGGAATCTACCCCTACTCCAAAGAAAAGATCATATCAACACCAGAAGAAATTGAGTGACCCAGATGCTGCTGTCTTCAATGAGTACATTAAAAAGCCAGGAACAAAGAGACAAAGAGAATTGYGAGATGTTGAAGGATGCTCTGGTGGGAACTGCAAAGGAAGCTTTTGGAGCTGATGTCTCCATGTTAAACCAGTGGCAATATAACAATGATCCTGCTCAGTGGCAACACTACATCAACAATAGCTAACACTCATCTTCCTTACCATTCTTACYATGGTACCATTCTTACTATGGTCCACCAACTGGTCCACCTGCACCTCTTCAAACCAGCAACAAACAGCCTTGAACTKGGGATGATTGCGATTGTGAAGATGTAAAAAATGTTCAGTTACAACATTATCTAATACAAATTAAAATTAATGAGCTGCATCTTACAGTATATTTAGCTAATGAGCAGTAGGATGAGATAACAAGCTGTAGGATCAGCTAACTTGGTTTTGTGTACCTGATGGATGAAGTGGGAGTGCATGTATCTACAGATAGCATTCATAGGCATCCTCTTGTCCCTTCTTCTCTTCTCTTCTGAGGTTAGTTTGCTTTTATAACTTTGCTGGGTTTGCTCCTGGTCATCATTCAACTGGATGTACCAGCACATTGTGATGACCTCCATAACTCCCATTGTTGTGATCTTTCTTCTTGCTAGTAGGAGGAAACTGTGGTCTAATAGTGTGTCTAATAGTAGTCGTTTGAGGAACATACATATTGTTGATACAAAATTACAAAAGTATTGAAAGTTTGTGTGTTCCTTTCACTACTACTAGTAGAGTAGTGATAGTGGCATTAAAAATTTCATGTTTTTCTTAGTACTAGTACTAGTATCAGTGGTGTGTGCGCCTTTTTTAAGTCTTAACAGTGTTTATGTTGAACTATTTCCTTAAGATTCCAGATTCCCCAAAAGACTGAAATGAAGCATGCCTTCCTTGCTGTCTGTCTGTTAAAATTTTGATTCCTGTTATTAGTAAAGAATTCTTGCTAAACCACTAGATTTAGCACATTTAGCAATTTATACTAATAACAGGAATCACCCTTTCTCTGTGTTTCTCCTTCTTATTCAAACAGTGGGAAACAAAGAGACGCAAGGAGAGGCAATGTTCTCTTAGTTTCTCTTGTTCCATATAACAACAAGAAACAATGAGAATATTGCCCTTCACACTCTCCTTGTTTTGAAGGGTGTACGGTAAACTATTTTATTTTGAAAATTTACTAATTGAGGTGCCAATAGTGGTATTACTTGAGTAATCCAATTTTTGCTTGGTCAAGCACATAAGTAAATGAAAAAATGAGGTATTTAAATAGGCTCAACGGACAAAAATGAAAGTGGTACTCCGGTACCGCCACATGGTACTTCCAGTACGATGTTCTACTGCTATCTATGAGTTGCTGATACGGAGGATGCTGATGTTGTGAAATAAAGATTGACAACCAGGGATAGGGATTACTGTATACCTCATACTACTGGATCCAACAGAGCAGGATGAAAGAACAAATACATAATCACGACCACATGTACTCATGCACTGCTGATACAGAGGCTCGCTGATACAGAGGACAATGCTGATACAGAGGAGGACGCCTGCTGATATGGAGGATGATGATGCAGAGGCTTGCTTGCTGATACAAGTCGCTGCTGATATGGAGGCTTGCTTGCTGATACAGAGGATGCTGATGTGGAGGGGGGATGCTGATGTGGAGGATGCTGATATGGAAGCTCCTAATATGGAGGATGCTGATACAGTGGATGCTGATGATCCAGGGAGGGATAAGAGCCCATTCCCCTATATCGGAGGAGGCAGTGCTTGTAGTTCAGTTGCTGAAACAACAAACAACACTGATATGGTTGATGCTGATACAGTGGATGCTGATATGAGTTGATATGGACCATACTGACAATATGGAGCATGCTGACAATACAGAGCATGCTGATACGGAGCATGCTGATAGTACAGAGCATGCTGATACAGAGCATGCTGATACAGAGCATGCTGATACAGAGCATGCTGATAAAGAGCATGCTGATACGACTTGCACTGATACAGAGGACAGCACTGGTGATACTGAGGATGCTGATATGCTGGACTGGACAACAACACTGATACAGAGAACACTGATACAGACTGGACAACAACACTGATATGGAGGATGCTGACAAACACAATGCTGACAAAGGACACTTACAATTCTTCTTCAAAGGAGGCCTATTCCCATGGTCAAAGTGCAAAGAAGCCTTTGAAAGTGAGCTAGTAGTAGTAGATTTAAATAATGAATATTCCAGCTGCAGCAGTGGTTTTGCGAGTGAAATCCAAAAAAAAAGCAGCACAGCACAGCAGAATGTAGTACAGATTCTACTGAATGATGCATTTTAAAAGTGGTACTTTGGTACCATCTTGTACTAAGCCTACATAAATCACGTAGGAATACAGGTTTTTTGTTGGTACCATCTTGTAGTACTAGGCCAACGTAAAGCATGTAGCGATACAGGTTTTTTGTTGTCCCCCTGGAAAAGCAACAAAACAGCAAAGTCTGTCTCTAGCAAGGGCCTCCCCCCCCCCCCCTGCTCAACCTCACAAGCATTGGATTACACAACTAACACCCCTCTCCTCTTGGTGTCYTCCTCCTCTGCAAGTGAGGACGAGCTGCTGAATTTTGCTATGAAGGCTCCTTCTTTTCCGAGGCCCGGGGCCTTGGAAAAGGAGCCTTCATAGCAAAATTCAGCAGCTCACTTGCCAAGGAGTCGTTTGGCAGGACGTGCTGTCCCTATCTAAAAAGAAAATCCTCAGCACACATGTCTTGAATTTTCTTTTAGATAGGGACAGCACGTGCCACCAAAATCAGAGGATGGGGTGTTACTTTTAGGACTCTCGAGAAAAATCAAGCCCGAGTAAAATCGTCACAAATTTTTGGGAAACATAACCTATCCAACAAAATAGCAGAACTACTTGAATGTTGGTGTACGGGTTTCAATAAAAACTCCCCCGAGTCGTGTCGCACGTCACACCGGACGTAACGCACGGAACGGTGCAGTAGTACTCGTACGCCTTGCCGCTTCCGTACATCACTGAATCACTAATCTCAGCTCTCCGCCGCTACTTTTCACACCGACCTTCTTTTGGACTCATAGACACTCCAGGTCACAAGTCGCAGGATCCTCGACCTGCCTCCAGAGTGTCAGTGATTGTCAGTGGTATATCAGAGAGAGAACAAGATAAAGAGAAAAATAAGCCGGGACGAAAGCGGCAAAAAAACCTTCAACCATAGGCCACAACTCTGACGATCATTGGACAAGACGAACACATCGAGTTTCCGCGAAAGACATCGGTGAACACAGGATCGAGGAAACAATACCAAAGCAGCCATGAAATCCAAAGTCCGTTTCGATGGCCTCGATGTCGCAGCAATGGTTTCGCACTGGAACCGAGTGGCTCTTGGACGACGCGTCATCAACATTTACAACGGGCCCAACGCCGATACCTATATTTTTAAGATGGACAAACTCACGTCTTCTACCGACGGCACGGGAACGAAGGAAGGCATCGACGACGACCAAAAAACAGCTTCTTCCAACATGCTCTTGTTGCTGGAGTCCGGTGTTAGATTTCATACCAGCCGTCAACCATACGAGAATCCCGGCATGCCGTCGCAATTCTGTGCCAAGCTTCGGAAACACCTGCGCGGGCTGCGCTTGGAACAGGTCACGCAGCTCGGGACTATGGATCGCGTCGTCCACTTGGTGTTCGGGAGCGGAGACACCCAGCGCCATTCGCTGATGCTGGAGCTGTACGCGAGGGGAAATCTCGTGCTGACGAACAGCGAATACACCATCTTGTCCCTGCTGCGAAGCCACGAATACAACAAAAAGAACGACGACAGTGACGCGAACACCACCAATGACGAAAAGAAGGAAGATTCAGCTGTTGTCGCAAGCAACGATACCATCCAGGTCAAGGTGGGSCATGCCTATCCTGTCACTTACGCTACTACCCTGACCGCATCCGATGGCGACAACCATGGCAGTGACTCGAACCCGGAAACGAAGGATCAAGACGACGAAAACGACGAAATCCTGTTGACAACCTCGGATCCGCTCTTGTGGTTTCAAAATTATCACGACGAAGAGCAAAAACGAACCGCTTCGGCAGCGGAGGCCGACGCGTCGAACACGAAGAAGAAAAATAAGGGCGGTGGCAACAAGAAAAAGAAAAACAATACCAGTCATTTTGCCTGGAAGATGCTGCTGACGAGGCCATCGTCGGGGGTCTCGCATTACGGCCCCTCCCTGCTCGAACACTGCCTGAGATGCGCAAACTTGTGGGGGACATCGGCCGTTGACACAGATCAAGCGGATGGAAAAGATAAAAGCAAATTTCCCCACGATTTGACTACCATCGAGGAATGGAAAGCATTGCAATCTGTGTTGCAATCGGAGGGAAGCCGCATCTTGAACGGCATCCAACACGGCGTTTCCAAGGGCTATATTCTCTACCAAGATAAAAAGAATAAGAACGGGGAATCGTCTTCTTCGCCAACATCTTCCTTCGATGATAAGGTCTTGCTGGAATTCCAGCCCCACCTGTTGAAACAGCACGAAACGATGCCGCGTTTGGAATACCCCAACTTCGATTTGGCCACGGACAACTTCTTTTCCCACCTAGATTTACAAAAACGCATCTTGCGCGCCGAGCAACAGCAGAGCCAAGCAGAATCGCGGCTCGAAAAGATTCGGCTCGATCAAGAAAAGCGTGTTGCCTCGTTGATAGAACAGCAAGAATCATTGCTGGAAGAAGCACAACTCGTCGAAATTCACGCAGACATGGTGGAAAAGGCCCTTCAAGTGGTTAACTCGGCGCTAGATAGCGGAATGGACTGGGAACAGCTGGAGGATCTAGTAGAGTTGGAAGCAAGGCAAAACAACAACCCCGTGGCCAAACTTATTTACAAGCTAGACCTGGAAAACGAACGAATGGTGTTGCGGCTCCTTCGAGAGGATGCCATGTACGACATCGATGGTGACGAAAACGACAATACCCGGTTCCAAAACGTGACTGTGTCATTGCTCGATACCGCACACGGAAACGCAAAAACGCTCTTTGCCAAATACCGAGCTAGCAAAGAAAAGTCAAAGAAGACCACGGAGGCTAATGCCAAAGCCTTGGAAGCAGCGGAAGAAACCGCAAAGCGGCAAATGTTGGAGGCCCAGAGCCGCGCCACCCACATCAATCTCCAAGCAAAACGCAAACCCATGTGGTTCGAAAAATTCAATTGGTTCATAACCACAGACAACTACCTCGTCCTCGGTGGTCGCGACGCCCAGCAAAACGAACAAATCGTGAAGCGCTACCTGCGACCGGGAGATGCGTACCTCCACGCAGACGTCCACGGAGCTGCCTCGTGCGTGTTGCGTGCGAAGCGAAAACGCGACCCCAAGACCGGAAAGACGTCCCCAATCCCACTCTCCAGCCAGGCTCTGCGCGAGGCAGGAAATTTCACGATATGTAGATCCTCGGCGTGGTCTTCTCGAATGGTCACATCTGCCTGGTGGGTGGAGTCTCACCAGGTATCCAAAACAGCACCGACCGGGGAGTACTTGACTGTAGGATCTTTCATGATACGAGGAAAAAAGAATTTTCTTCCACCGTCTCAGTTGGAAATGGGATTGGCTGTTCTCTTTAAGCTGGGTGACGACGACTCTATTCTTCGACACAAAGACGAGCGAAGGGACTTCGCACTGATGCAACAAGACGAAGCTGACGACGTCGACGACGACGACGATCTCTTCCGAGATGACGTAGGGACTAGCGAGTCAATGGTAGTGAAAAAGACCTCTAAGACGAAGGATTCAGGGTTGATTGAGGAAGAAGGCCCAACGAGAAACGGAAACTTAACGTTGGAAGATTCTTCGAGAGAAATTGAAACCAGCGAGGTGGCTCCAAACGTATCGCCAGATGCAGAAATATTTGATGATAAAATCGACGTTCAGAATGACGATGGAATATTAGCCAACGAAGAGAAAGAAATCAAACCGAAAAAGAAAGGTCTGTCTGTCAAAGAACGACGACTCATCAAGAAATACGGATCCCTTGAAGCCGCGTATGATGCTGAAAAGGAAAGGAAACGGGCCGAAGAAGAGAGAAAAATTGCTTCTCAGGGCTCAAAAGAAAAGCCATCGAATGAACCGAAACCAACAAATCACAAACGTGGGAAAAGAGCAAAACTCAAGCGGATGGCCAAGAAATATGCAGATCAAGATGACGAAGACAGGGAACTTGCACTTATCGCCTTGCATGCAGGTGAAAAACTGAAGAAGAAAGATATGAAAAAGGAACCACAAGTTAGCGAGAAAGGAAAAGAAGCCGCTGCAGAGACTATTGCCATCCTTAGAAAGGACTCTGCTGCTATCGCGGCGAAGCTTCCGCAAGAAGTACAAAATTCGTTGGCGAAGTGTGTTACTGTTGTCGATGCTGAAGATAATCAAATCATAAGATGGGACAAGCTTGATGGCGATGTTTTGGAACAGTTGAACTCATTCGAATCAGAAGATCAAAAGATTGCAGCTTCGAACCGACTGTTGAGTTTGAAAGAAACCTGCAGGATTGATAATTTTTCTGCTAGTCTCGCTGGAATCATTCGAACGATCCGCATTCATGGTCACGAGGGCCTCGGGAAAGGTTCTGAACGAAATTCAAACAATGAAGCTAGAAGGAAGAACAAGTCCGACAGAATTGCCGAGGAAGAATCGTGGAAAAATACTCTAGCCGAAGAAGGTATTCTTGATGGAAATATTGAAGTAGATGATACGATAGACGATACTGCTGAGCTTAGCAAACTTTCAGGAAAACCTGAAAAAGACGACTTACTACTCTACGCAGTCCCTGTATGTGCTCCTTACCAGTCTTTATCAAAATTCACGTACCGAGTCAAGCTGACTCCTGGCAATTTGAAGCGGGGTAAAGCTTCAAAACAATGCATTGCTGTGTTTCTAAAAGACGAAAAGTCGAAGACTGGACTTGAGCAAAGTCGTGACCTCATCAAAAAAGTAGCAGATAACGAGTGGGTACAAGCGATATGTGGAGACGTTAAAATATCTGCTGCAGGTGCTAGTAAAGCTATACAAAGATCGAAGGCGAAGTCCAAAGCATCGAAAAAGAACAAAAAGAAATAATACAAATTAAACTACAATATGGACATCGATAAATCTTGTCTGCACAGCGATTTGGAAACTCTGATCAACTCTTCCTAGTGAACATTGACATTCGAACCATTTACTCCGCAGCTAAACTCCAATCACAGCACCAGGACAATTGGTTTTCTGAACCATTACTACGATCAAGTTTTCCTCTCATAGCCATGGCTTCGATTGCGTTTGGGTCTTCAGAGACGTTGACTTTGACACCATTATGTTCCGACTCGACTCTCCGAGGCTGTTCGCCATTTCCTGGCTTTTCCGTATCGTCTACTTGTCTTTCCTTTTTTTGGTTTTCCATGGCTTCAAGGCGTTTCATGATGTCCTTGAGGACACTTTCCACTTCGATTGAGGGAGAACCTTCAAACTCTGGAGTTTCTTTTGCGTCAACATTTTGAATATCAACATCGTTTTGCGATTCTTTTCTTTGTTGGCAATTGAGCCAATCGATTTGAGTCATTAAGTCGAAATTTTCGTGTCTTTTTTCTTTCAGGGCGTTTTCAAGTTCTATTATTCGATCCTGCTGCTCTTTGATTCGAGATGCTTTCAATTTTATTTCCGCAGCACTTTCATCACTGTCGATCCTGTCAGATCTCGGTGTCGACTCAGATGTGGGATGCTCGATTTCATCAGAGGGTACCGACTTTAAAGACGTAATCTTATCGAGTTCGTTCTTCAGAATCTCGATCGTCTCGATTAATTCTGTCTCTTTTTCAATATGACCTTCTTGCTCTTTTTGAAGCGTTTTAATCCGTTCTTCCAAAGTTTCAATCTCTGTTTCCTTCTCCGCTATTTCTAGTTCTTTTAATGCATTCAATTGTTTCTGAGTGTCTACAGCCTGTCTGAGACTCAAAATTTTTTGAGCATCGCGCTGACTACCAATCTTCAAGACATCGAGTTCACCCTCTAATATTCGGACCCTTGAAAGCGCATTTTTGTATTGGGTCTTCTCACTTTCATTGCTACTGTCACTAAAATGAGAAGACTTCATGATAGGCGGCGGTGAATCGATAACAGTGTCATCTGACGTAGATTCTGCAACTTCTATAGGAGAAAATATTTCGGGGTCTGTTGCAGTGGTTGCCTTTTCCGTTTGTTCCGAGCCTTGATAACGTTGACGTGCCGACTGACCAAAAGCAAGGAATATCTCTGCAAGTTGCACCGGCGTCAGATTTAATGCTGCATTGCAGGAGGTAGGTTCTTCAGGTGGGTCTTCCATGATTATCGCAGGCTGCTTTCTCTGTTCAGCTTCGACATCATTGTTCTTTTTAAAGTTCCCATTTTTTCGTGTATTGGTCCACTGCGATTCCTTTCCGTCTAGTGGATCTGATCGAACTGGTGCAGATGACGATGATGACGATGATGACGATGATGGTGAAGAAGGGGTCTGGGTTTCATCGGAAGCGAATGATATCGGCGAGGTCAATAAAGAGATAGGTTGGGATGACATAAAGTGGTTCAGTGGTACTTCTACATTCTTTTCTGCTGCATCTTTCATGCTGAGATTCCAAGCGGGAATGGCAGTTGTTTGAGAGGATGTAGTTGAGCCAGTATCCGCGACTCCATTCAGGTTTCCATCTGGGCTCCGAGCTGCTTTGCGGGTAGGAGAAGTGATATTAGGAGACGATGCAAACATTGCTGCTTTGACGATACTGGTCATTGGGGAGTCAACATCTTTGCTCATATCGAACAAAGTTCGTCGCACAGAGTCACGTTTGGAAACTTCTTCCTCTTCTCCTTCTTCTTCCAAAGACTCGGGGGATGATGAATACGACAAAGCGGTCGTTGATGGGACAGAAAGATCTGGTGAATCGTCATGTTTGAGCTTGCTATATTCTTGGGGAACGCCACTCATAGTTTTTTCTATTCTATTTCCATTCATCATTTGCCAACTTTGTTTGACTAACCGCAAGTATTGTGGAAACTAAGTTTCAAATGCGATTGATTCCGTCTCTTTTCGACAGCCAATGTGACTTAACTTGAACGGCATTTCGATTCATTTTTTGTTCGTGCCACCCGCAAATGTACCGTCCCTCATTTTCGAAGAAAAGAAAGCGTAATCCTGTGAATTCCTCTTTTGCAAAAGATGAATAGATTTTGATTGGACCGAAACGCATGCAGGGTATGTAGGATGAGGCAAAACGCATTTTCGAATGAGTGGGATCTTTCGAAAYTATTCTGGTATTTTCCTTCTTAGCACGGTGGGATTCAAAATTGAAAAAGCGTTTGGTAACTCTTGCAGCTCAGGAAACAACAAACGCTTTTTGCTGTAGATGCGCTTCCGCACATCATGTACGTGATGTTTCAAAAGAACCGCAAACCATACTCCAGGTAGTGTTACCATACTGAGCTGTCTACATTCTCTCTCTGCGAGACCCAGAAAGGACGCCTCGGTGAAGGTCTCTAGATCTGGGTTTTAGTTTGTACCATGTCAATAAGGAGGCGGGGGAGGTTGAATCCTGATGATTACACGTGTAAGCAGTGCATTTGTGTACTATCGTTAATAACTACTGTACTGTACAAAGATTACTACATACCAGCACGAGCTACTACTAATAGCTATAGCTGCAGGCCTCCTTGCTCAAGTTTAAAAACTCTAGCTCAGCCAAAATGCTCCATTGCTTTGCTTGCTTAATGAGTATATCCATCTCCTCTTCTTCCTCCTTTCACATAGTATCGTATCATGATGCCAGAGGCAGAGTGCTGCTTCTGTCCTTCTTTGACCTCTTCCTTGCCTTGACTGTTGGGGGAACTATCTTGATTTAATGCTTGTTTTAATGGTTGAACAAATCAGAGTTGCTGGTGATACTAACTTCAGCAAATGCCTCTCCACTAAGAGTTGAGCTTTCAGTGCAACATGACCTGCTCTTGCTGCTGGCATCACCAAGAAGATTGCAATCACGACTACTAGTAGTCCTTGCCCTAGAAAAGGAGTATTCATCATTGTCATACCCTAGACCAACCAGGCCATCATCTTCAGGGCCAGCAACCCCAAGACCCAGAACTGGAGGACTAGGATTAAGCAGCAGCTGCTGATGCTGCTGATGCTGCTGATGCTGCTGCTGCTGCTGCTGCTGCTGCTGCTGCTGCTGCTGCTGCTGCTGCTGCTGATGATGATGATGATGATGATGATGATGATGATGATGATGATGATGATGATGATGAATTTGAATTTGAATTTGATTTTCTTTTTCTTTTTGCTCTGCAAGAAGCCTTGCTAAGTCTTGGTTTGATCTGATCATTTCAGCTCTCATTTCCCTGGCAAGCTCATTTGTCTCTGTCTTTTATTTATTGAGTTCACGCTTAAGTTTAAGTTTCAAACTCTTAACTGCATTATTGTGATGCTGCTTCATTAGTTTGGTTTGATCCTGTGCTTTCTTCCTCCTCCTTTGATACTTTGTTGTACTTGAACCAGTGAAACTGGAATCTGATGCAGAACTTCCCCCCATCAAAATATGATTGCCTTGGTGCTGTTGTCTTTCTCCTTTCCTCCATTCTTGTTGATAGTCAGCAGCGTCCCCGGCATCACCACCACCACCACCACCACCACCAGCAAGACCAAGGCTGTAGTTGTATCTCTGGATATTTTCAAATCTTGCTTTTGCTAAAGAAACATTATTCAGAGTGTTGTCTTCAGTTGATTCTTCAATAAGAAGTACTCTGTTTTGTGATGCCATGGTAGATTCAATCTCTCCCTCCTGTGTTGCTAAGACAAAGCAATAATAGAAAGTTGATCAAGCATCTGAGCAATTGATGATAGCTCCTTTCTCATTAGTGTACTAGTAGGCCTTCCTCCATTTCTTCTTTGGATTCCTGAATTCCCTTTCACATGCCTCTGGAAAGTTCAAAACATATCCCTTATACTCTTTCACATCACCTCCATCAAGACCCTTCCATCTACTCTTGCACTAGGTTCACTGTAAACTTAGAGCTTCATTCAAGGCATCCCTTACTCTGTCAAGGAGAGATAGTGATTGCTCAAGAGTGTATGTGTGATCAAATCTAGATTTGAACTTGTGGCATGTGTAGACAATTTTGGTTCCATTCCTTGTTAATTCTGGTGTACAGGTCTAAGGGTCCACTCCAGCTGGAAGATCAACACAAATGATAAGACAAGCAAGTTCTGGTCACTTTCAAGCCTCTTTTCCTGGCTTCAGGGTCAGATATCTTGACTCTGCCAATTGAAGGATCAAGCATTGGCTACCACACATAATCTTGTTGATCTGGTTGTTTTTCCTGGTTGCTCCAGGGATGGAAGTCTGGAAGGCATAATGCTGCTATCAGGATACGCGTCCTTGTTTGTTGTTGTGTCCTGTGCTGTTGGTGGGGCTCCAGCTGCTACTACAGTGAAAGAGTCATTGTTGTTGTCACTTTCTTCCTTTACAATATCTTCATAGAACTCACTTCAACCAGGCTCAAAACCTTCTTCTTGTTCAACAACGCCTTCAAGTAACTCAGGGCGGTCAGAAAAGCCTACTTTTTTTAGAAAGGCTTTGGAAAAGTGTGTGAATGCAAACAAGAAAGGATAAGTGAGAGATGGTATCACCAAGCAACAACCAGCAGCAATTGATCATGGACCTTTGTTGTTGCAATTCACTTTCCAAATGGAAGTCTTCTTGTACAGCTTCTTCCAGTTAAGTTTCAGGTTCCTGTCTTTCACACCGTATCAAAACTTCTGTCCAATTGCAACACCTGGTCCACCAGACTTGGGGTTAAAGAAATTCTTGAATGTATCAATATGCTCTGTTATTTCTCCAGATGGAATAGTAAAGACATACAATTCCTATCAAGATTGTGTTTATTGTGACCCAGAACAGAGTGGTGAGTACTAAAATCCTGCACTTCCTGTTGATATTTTTTGGAATCTTAAACTTCTTATTCCCCCTTCTTTCTTGCTGATGCTTGATCTGCTTTGAAAATCAATTCAACAATGATAAAGGCCAGACTTGAAAGCTTTACTATCATGATACTGTTGAGTTTAAAGTATTCAACAGACCCAATTCTGAGAAGACAAAACAGGCTTGGAGGGGGGATCCATTTGACCCAGTGATGTACAGCCAAAAATTCAAGGCTTCCAGGCTGAAATATGGCATCAGCACTTGCAATCAAACAGGAGAACTTGTATCATGCCATAGGCCATTCCCTACTTCTATATCTGACTTAACAATCTAGTACAGAACTTATGTTGCTCCAATGTTTTTACCTGAATAAAAGTGTGAAGCAGAGAGAGCTTATCATTTTCATCCTACAGTTCATGGCCCACTTGATTACTGTTGCAAGAGTGAAAAAGTAGCAAAGAGAAACGTTCAAAATAAGCATGAAAACGCTAATGGAAGACTCAAACAGTTCTGTTGCTTGTAGAACCAGTTTCGGCATGGCCATCATGAGCACAAGTATTTCTTCTACTATATGGCTGCTGTTGGAACCCAACTCACCATGTTCAAGCAATATGGAACTCATTATATTTCTTATTAAAATTGAAACATGTTCTAGTACATCCATTATTTGCAATCACATGCTGCTTGTGGCACTTGCGGCACTACTGCTACTTCTGATCTATCTTCTTGGTGCCTTCTTCATCCACTACTATCATGATGGTGCTGCTCCTTTTGTTGCTTGTCCTTCAAATGAGATACTTCTTGTCACCACCAGCAGTTCTTGGTGCTAATAAAAGTGCAGCTCCACCCAACATTACTGATGCTAATGCTGGTGCTGTTGCTACCAGCAGCAGTCTTGTGCAGTGTTGCCAAATCAAGGAAAATATCTGGTGGTGGTGGCAGGAGGTTGCACAAGAACAACACTCAGGAGGAGGACTGGCAGCAGCAGTCTTCCTCATTGTTGTCTTGTCAAAGGAACATGATAGAGCCATTACACCAGATATACACTTCCATAAATCTCATGATGTATTCATCCTTGTTAAAGAGTGCTGGATGATCAACATCCTCCAGTTTCAGTTTGATAAGTGATAGATGAACAAGGAAGATATCTCCAGATTTGTCATACTGAAGTCTGTAGTCCCAGATTGCACTACAACAAACAACTGCAGGATTAGGGGAATCTGTAGTAGGCTTTCTCATCACAGCTTTCTTCTTGTGCCTCCTCATCGTGGTCTGCAAGATCACCATATCACAACATGCTTGATCATTGTTGCTTCAGTACTACTACTAGTAGTACTACATCACATGTGACGTACTACTGGTACTCATCATGCTGCTCCTGCTTCTTGTTATTGCTGCTGTTGCTAGTATTTAAAGGTGCTCAGTTTGCGTTCCCCTGTTAAAATGCTGCTATGTAGTAGTAATATAGTCCTAGTAGTACTAGCAGTGCTGGTGGTGGTGTTACTACTAGCAGTAGGTAGTACTAGTAGTACTACTAGTATTACTATGTATTTGAACTCGCAAAGGTTTGTCTTTAAATTGTGAGAGTATTCTTGATATGATATTCATGCAAGCTTATATGCCATAGGCGTTCTAATATTAAATAATATTCCTTAGAGCTGTTAATATTCCATAGATCTGGGACTGACTAGCTGGCCAGCAGGCCAACACTGATAACAAGACGTACACAGCACATACCAAAAGTATGCATTACTTCCACATGTAATCATGAGCTTATGAATTACCCCCCTCCTCAATTCCCCTGCCTCCTCAATGGTGGATTCATTCAAAATATGGTATCAAAACCCTTGAAAAACCCTACAAGAAATACAGAACTGGTATCTGAATACATACTATTTGTATGTTTGTACCAGTACAGGTACATACTAACAGTAACACCTCAGCCTCTGATTTTAGTTGCATGGGTTGTCTCTATCCACCAGTAATAGAAAATTTGAGGCTTACTGTCAAGGATTTTCTATTTAGATCAGGACAACAGGTGCCACCAACTAAAATTCAGACTGTCTGTCCTTCATCCATTTTTCCTACTAATGCCCCAGTACTAGTAGCTGTGGTAGAAATATGCTACTACTACTACGTCCATCCAAAAATAATACATTGGTGTAGTACACTTTGCACCACTAGAATTGGATTAAGCGCAATATTGGGGCAATTGGAATGGTTCTTTTTGCACTCAACATATCTAATAGTAGTGGTATACACGACTTGTGTTAAGTGTGATAAGTTTATATTGTTGCTGCCCTCATTTGTGATAGCTGTTCAAACAGAGCCATTTTTGGCATACAATACCATCAGTTAGACTCTACTGGTCATTGTTTAAAGACACAAATTGCAGCTATAGAAAGCCAATACTGAGAGCTTTATCATGATATTATTATTATTGTACTTATTCATGAGAATGTTCCTGTACGGTCATTGTTGGTCACCAGAGGGAGCAAAAAGTGCTCTAACGCATGCAGTTTTCATGTGGGTTCTTTAATTTTGAGCTGGCAAGAGGAGCTTGTAGTACTTATTCTATGTATTCTAGAGGGTCATTGCATAGTACTAGACAATTATTTTGGGGAAAATAGAGTAGTGCAAAGTGTACTATTATTTTTGGACAGAGGTAGTAATTCAATAGGAAAATAGTGGAGCAAAAATCCATTTGATATCCAAGAAAATGGTGTATTCAGAATCCTCACAAAAAGCTTCTATATGAGGTAGTCAAACATGATTATTTTTTAGTCTTTTTGATAAAGTTATATTACTAGTTCAAAGTTGAATAGTTTTACTACTACTGCTAGTAGTAGCCAGCATTACTATGCAGTAAAAATGACATTTTTAAAAAAATCCTGGGGGGACTTCTTGAAACAAAAGAAGTAGAATATGAGTTTCTCTTTTTCCTCGCTTTCTGACAAGGGGGGAAAATCCACTGTGCACCCCTCTAAGACCTCTATGACAAGAGGGGTCTCTGTACCAGTACAGTTGTGTATGGTGCTGATCTTGGCTGACTTGTACTTGCACCTTCTTATAGTAGAAGAAGTGCCTTGTTGTTATCATACCATACCAGCATAGTACAACAACATACCGTTCAGGACTAAATACTAAACAGTCCAGTCCTCAGTGACAGGTTTTGTTTTAGGATTAAAGTGCTCAGGGTATGTATGGCACTTGTAATTGCATGTATCCTCCTTGACTTCTTCTTGTTCTTCTTAGTACTACTAGTACTACTACTACTAGGACTCGATTCCTGCAGTGTGCTCTGTAGATTTTGTACCTCCTGATTCGGACCACCAAGCAAATCACAACTACCCACTGAACCCATTATGTTCATTAAAATGTTAAGATAAATTGTACCAAAAACTGGGTCTTATTCTGATGTTTAGTTGCTTTTTTACACCACAATTATATTTGCTCTGTACATTGCTGTGATGCAGTTTGTTGCATGCATGCATTTAACACGTAAGGGACTAAACTCGTACTTTTTTGCAAATTTGTTTCAAATTTGCATTTCCGTCCTCGCATACTGTAAAGTACTGTAGTCGTCATTTTTCGCCCCACGATCCCCACTAGAGGACAAAAAGATTTTTGAACAGATGAACTTTGACCTTCGGCAACTCAAAGAAACGTTGGAAGGATCAAAATGGTGTTTGCGACGTTCTTTTCGAAGAACCGTCACATAACGAAAGATTATAGACGGCGAAGGAGGCAACTAAAAATCGCCCCTCTCCTGATTTTGCTCTTAATAAGTTCCATTGCAGTCAGTACTATATTCTCATTTATATACACATACGGGCTTGTTTCGACTTTGGATTTTGCTACCCCGATTCAAACAGATCAACCCAAGTCAAATTCATGGACAGAAAGAAGTGGAGATGTCTATTCTACGACGTCAATGGCAACATTGCAAAACATCAATGGCTGGGTTCGACTTAAACCGTCGTACGGGGGAACAGAGGACGGAGAGTCTGATTCTTTGACGAGAGGCAAGAGCTGTCGCTGGCAACCAACCAACTTTTATTATTACAAAAAATTGCTCTCCTGGATCTTTTTTTCTTCTAGGGCGTCGTTCTTCGGGACTTGGATTTGTCGTGATTGTGGAGAGGATCTATTTTCGGAATGGGAAAGCTGTCCGTTGTTGAAACCTCGAGGGAAATGCCAAGCCTTTGAATATCAGGGGTGGGAAGATCCAAAACCAAGATCAGCAAGTAGTTATGACCCCTTTACTAAGAGTTCTCTCCCGGTGAGACTGATCACGTCATATGGTGTCGGCAAGGTCCGCAAAGTGGAATACGAACAGCCACAATGCCTTTCACTATCAAAACCTTGCTTTGATATGAATCGATGCACAACTCACACCGTGGGTGCCAACGACACAGATACCAAGGAACAAAGCTTGATCAAACCGCTCCCGGTTTTTGCCTATCCAGGTCAAGCTCGAGTGGAATTGAAAGACGTATTCAATGGTGACGAACTTTCTACACTTAGCATCCGCATCGTAAAGGACCCTGGCATGGCTTGTTTGCTGATTGTTCACCAAGACGATCTGAAACTAGCCAAGCAATCACCTTCGTGGAATCTTGGGACAAATCACTACGTCTATGGCGTGACAAAACCGATAACCGAAAATTTGCATTACGATATGGCTGCGCTAGGATCTGTTGCATTGACGGAAGCACAAATCCGTCCCGGCTACGACATTCCTTTGCCACTAGCCGCTGTTTGGAAAGTTGGATACCTCGCAGGAGGAATACACAGACCGCGTAAATATTTGCTATCATTCAAAGGATCTATTCAAGATACGTTGCAGCCCTATTATCAACACCGATGGCTCGCAGCTGAATACTTGAATGATGAATCAGATGTGGTCATTGATGTTCAATGCAAGCACAAGACATTGTTTGGCGATWCTGTGACATACTCGCTGTATGATAATCCTTCGCAAAGCAATTTCGACGATTTGATGATCAACTCTACCTTTGCATTCTGTCCCGGTGGATCCCACGTCACTTCATTTCGATTGACCGAGGTGCTTTCTGCCGGAGCAATTCCGATTCTCCTTCCCGAAATTATACCACCTTTTTACCCAGAAGTCGATTGGTCCGACTGTGTGATTCGTGTCAGTCAGGCTCGTATCGTGGATCTCCCCCGCATTCTCCGAGCCATCTCACCGAAACAGATTCAAGAGCGACAACAGAACTGCCATCTCTTGTATCAAAGTTTCTTCGACGTCAGCGAGGGCGGTGCAAATAAGACGTATAAAGGTGAAGAAAAAGAAAAGCCTTCACCAGCACCTGGATCTTTGGCTTCGGCGCTTCAAGTGTGGCATCTTCGCATTAAAAAACAAAGCTTTTCAGATCAGCTTGAAAAAAATCTAATAAATCGAATGCTGTAACAAAGCAAACGAACGAATCATAGTTTCCCGTCACTACCTAATAGCGTATCTCAAAATTTCGGTAGAGACATCGTTTACTAGACTAAGTTCATGATAATTGTTGTTGAGAGCCACAAGAAGGATAGTTCACCTTTTTGTGGGGAAACTTGTTCGATCGTATTTAACGTACAAGCCATCGATTTCGATCCATTGTGTAAGTCATATCGACATAACCTTTCGGAACACCTCTACTCCCATACCACAGACGGCAACCAGGTAGCTAGATTCGTCAAAAGATTGGTGAACAGCAATGCAATTCACGTCTCCAAGATCCACGGGTAGTTTTGACGTGCATTCCAATATCATATCGTCGTCGTCATCAATTTTCCAAACGGAGAGCTGCTGACTGTACCCTACAGAGAGAAGGTATCTCTGATGATGAAACCTTACATGCGATACACCTTTGATGGCAGAAAAGCTGGCTTCCGGTATAACTTTCAGGTTAGGTTCCTGTACAAGCTGTAGGCAAGGATTGATCTCGCCCGTTTGTTGAACACTGATTCGGCTAACACACAATGCTTGATCATCACCTCCCGAAACAATTGATAAAATGGCACGAGTCGTGCTATTAACAGACGATAGAACTTGAACACTTATCGTATTCGTACCCATTTGATGTCCTTGATACCTTCCGATTGGACTCCATAAACTCTGAAAATCCTCCCAAGATTCTTGAAGTTGAGGAAGAGATGCTGGTAGATCAAACAAGTCTATTTCACCACCAGTCGTCCCCATCAGGATCAAAATCCTTTTACATACGACAAGCATTTTGATAGAAAGAATTGGCCTTTCACTCGTCGTTGGAACAAGAAGGCCACGCGGACTCCTGTTGTCTTGGTTGTTGTCTTCAGACACTAGGAACGCATGGGAGCAGCCTTCTGAATCTCCAGCTAGGACAAGGTGGAATCGACTATCATCATCAGAGAGTGGAAGAGCGCAGATCGAATTAATTCGATGATCAATCGAGGCTCCTTTCTTAGATGTTAGACCGTTTCCAATGAAGGTGATTTGTAGATCTCTTGTAGACTTAGTATCCGAACAATTTCTACGTTCCTTAACCAGAAAGAATTGCAAAGCGAGCTTACCACCACCAACGATCAACAATACTGATTTCTTGTCTATTTGGCTCACTGCGACGCAACGACAACATGACTCTTGCGGTGTCAACTGAACCGAATCTACAATTTCACCACCTTTCCATGACGATATTCTTGAACTGCAATCTTCACTGGCAGTCACTAGAAATATCAGATCTTTGCTCGCCAGGTTAAAAAATGTCGACTCAAAGATGGTTTCTCCATGTAGTTTGACCCCTGCTGTTAGCTTTTTAGGATTGTCTAAAAGCTTTGGTACAAACTGAGGGAAGGAATTTTGAACGTAAATAACATTTGATCCATCTTTCTGTGCCTGACACACTAGTAATTGATAGTCGAGGGATCTCCCAGCAATGTTGCACTCATCGATAATGAACCTACAGTCGAGGATCCGTTGTCGTCCTCCGGTGTCACATCGAATATATTCATATCCTGAATCCATATCCATCACTCGGTAGATATTTCCGTGGTATCCAGCCACAACGATTGGTCCTGAATACGATTCCTCACCAATTGATGATTTATCTGTGATGATTTTTGTGATCCCAGTCAGGGAAGGGGCAGAATAGCTCCAACCCCTTTGAAGAATATCTCCGTCCAAATAAGAAACGTGTAGGCAGCCATCATTGCCAGCAGATAGGATGGTATTTTTATTCAGCCATTTTATCGACGTAATATGCTGTTTTTGGTGTACCCTTGTGAGTACACAAATTGGATTCCAATGATTTTGTCCTCCACCGTTAAACTCATCATTGATGATTTGGTAATATGAAAGGTTCCCCCTGGAGTCTCCTATAATAATACGTTCATTCTCTTGGTCGTAGGCACAGCATTGGGGTATTCCTTTTGTTTCGACCTGAAGAACGCAATCGGGTTGCATGTCTGATGTAGTAAATATATCATCAAATTTCACTTTCCAAAATGCAACTGTGCGAACGTGGAACGAGATGAGACAGGAAGGGTTATAAAATGTCAAACCTTGTACTGCTCTGAGTTTACTTGCATGAAGTATGGTGTGACTCTTTATCTTCTCTTGCCGGGTTGATGYAATTATAATGTCTCCTCGAGCCGTGCCAATGGCTACTGCAGATAGCCTATCGAGTACAGCCAAACAGTTTCCATCATTGGCTTGAATTCCATAGCTTTCCCCAATTGATGGCTGCCACCATGGATCACAGGTCTGCCAGTTTTCATGATGAATATCGAAAGTGAACAAAGATCCCTGCCGTGTCGCAACCAATATTTTCGGAGTACTTTCCGATGATGCGTCTTTCCAACATTTCATACCGACAATAACTTGTGACTGTATCTTATTTTTCGTCTTTTTCTTCTTCTTTTTTGGTACGATGTCGGAGTCTTCATTTTTCTCCTTTCCTGGTGCTATGCTTTTGATGAGACAATTTGATTTGCCACTCATTAATGGTGGCCGATCGTCGGGAACAGCAACGCAATCAATTTTAAGACCGTCTCTACCCGTTACATAATCGTGTACATTGTAAATGGCCGAGATTCCATCTACTGCACCGATGATAAAATTCCCATCATCATCGGTTTTCCGTGTATCAACCGTCCAAAGAGATGTGGGGTGATGAATGCAGGCCAATGTTTCTCCGGATTCGGCTGACCAAACTCTAGCTGTTCCGTCCTCGGCTACAGATATCAACATAAAAGCTGTTGATGATGGGGATGATACAGACAATCCATTAGAAGCATATATCGTCGATATATTCCAAACTCTAGCCGAGTGACCCCATCCCGTCCATTTTTCCATCCATTGCCCATCGGCCTCATCCCATACCCATCTTCGAACGCTACGATCGTCGGAGGTCGAGGCAAGAGAAATATTGACACCGTCTTGAAACCATCTAACACTGTGGACCACCCCCGAGTGGCCTTGAAGTAAATGAGAACCTAGAGACCGATAGTTTGCGCTGTCAACGTTTTCAACTGATAAATTGGCTGAATTGTCTTCCTTCTCGCCTTTTTCGAGAATGTCCTCAATTGAAATGCATGATATCCATATTTTGTGAAAAGAAGTACCTGCTGCAATCCAAAGAGTATCAATTCTTTCGTTATCATCTCTCGTCTTATCAGTACATTTGCTTTGGTACTCTCGGTTGAGGAATATGAAATCCATTGATGTAACAACGGTGGCTGGATTCAGAAAGAAACGACGCAAACGAGTCGAGAGAATTGCATCGTCGGTATTACCAGTGGCAGAATTTTCTACATTCCATATTTCGATCATGTGGCGAGCAAAACCGACTACCAAACTTATTTTTGATTTGCTTGTCCCATGTGTTTTATTGTTGTCGTCGCCATATGACTGTTTGGGAAAGATCTTTACATTCCAAACCCAATCGTCCAACTCGAGGAAGGGCGCGCTCGAGGACATTGGATTTGGAACACTCTCYGTTGACGATTGGAAGGTATCCCATCGTCCAACTTTTATACCCATGAGATTACAGAATGCGAGCCGTTTTCCTCCATATACCACTGCATCCCATTGCGCACAGCCGTGTTTCTCGTCATTGAGAAAACTGATTCCGTGAATAGTCCCTCCCCCTCGTGGCCGTGCTTTGTCGTCAGGGAGAACTAGTAGCTGTTGTGGTTGATTCGCTTGGTCATTGTTATCATTGCAATTTCCTCCCGAGAGATTATTGTCGTTATCGTTATAGCGTGTCAAATATGGACCTTGTGCTACAAAGAAGAACTTTGACTGTTGCTGACCGCCTTTACCCGTTGGAGCCTTCGAGGGAGAAAATGCAACACATGTCACAGGCCCTCCAACGCGCGACGCTTTTGCGAGGAAGAAATCACCAGCTTTTGTTGTCGTCTCTTCCATTTCATTCAGTAAAGTTTCTGAAAATCACTCTATGTCTATCTCTCTGTCTTCGATACTGCGGTTACAATGCCGTTTCCCTTTTGAACACTTGCCAACAGCCCTCAGGGAAGACAGGAAGTAAAATGAAAGCTTTTTCGAGAACTTGAGAAAAATTTCAAATTTTATTGGTGGCAAAATCTTGATTTATGATGATTGACTCATACGATTGAACAGAAAGACTAAAGGGAGAGCCCATACGTTTCGAGTCAACATAATCAATCAATCAACTTCTACCGGTACTTGTTTGCATAATTCTTTATCACCTCCTTTCCCCCATTTATCCTGCAAGTTTAAGACTGAGCGTGTTACTACTACTACCAGTAGTACTACTGGGGTTCCAGAGGGAGGTAGTAGTATTTTTTATTTTTTAAAATTTGGAACTGCTTCTTTCAGCCATGATTTTATTATTTGGCAACCAAGAACTCTCTGCTATTTCATTATTTCTCCACCATGAACAAGCACCACTCCTCCCTCTACTAGTATGGTGCCCCAACAATGGGATATGCAACTTTGCAATGATATTGAGTATGAGTGTTCCTTTAGATATACACTCTGGTCAGTGGAGGCTGTCACCAACTCAAGGTACTAATTCACACTGTCTACATTCATGTAGTGTAATCTGCCAATACAACATTTGACAGATCTGCTACACCAACATTTTGTAGTTCCACCATTAGTACAACTACATTTTGAAGATTATCCCTTTGTACTAATGCATGCCCCCTCCTGTTCTTATTTGGCCTTCTTGTAGCCAATGTTGGAAGACATAGTGGTAGTGACACTGGAAAATGGAGTCAGATCAGCTGTGAGTATCTGTTGCATTTTGGGAATTTGCAATGCAAAATAATGACAATGTGCAATTTGTTGTCAATTGTACTGCACAAGGGAGTATTAAAAAGATCTTTTTTGAATTGTAGATACTTGACATATCTCCTTTAGAATCGATATATTTAATAAAAACTCTCATTGTAATAGCCTGACAAATAAAATTAGGTTTGTTAAGTTAAAGAAACCTTGGTGCCTATAGTAGCCTGACAAATGTTTTTGGGGTTCTTAAATTAAAAGGTTTGGTATGGGGTGTTAAGTGTAAACAAAATTGTTGCCTACAGCCTGACTAAAAGTTTTGGGATTATTTAAGTAGTATTAAAATTTTTTGGTATGAGGTTCAGTGAAAAAAATTGTTGCCTACAGCCTGACAAAAAGTTTTGGGGTTATAAGTTTACAGTTGGTTCTCTTTCAAAGATCCTAATTGATTCTACTATTTAAACAATGTTGAATTTAGTTGAAGTACAAATTTTCTTTAAGTAATTGGTTGACATTTCTTTAAGTACTCCTTCAAAGCCATCAATTGAATACTTGTTCAAGTGTGTTGAAGTATGAATTTTTCCTAAGTACTACTAGTACTAATTGTTTCATGGTACAGCAACACCAGAAGCATGGCTGGCTCCCGCCAAAACAATCTATTAATTCAAGACATCTTGGCTCTCCCTTTAGTCTTTCTGAATGATACAACTTCATTCAATCATTGTTTGCATTCACATATGGTATGTACAAGTGTAACAATTTTTCTATCTGTAAGACATAGGGACCCTGACAGGTTCTACTACACACAAAAAATAAGACACAACCTGCTCTCACCAAACAAATCCACCTCAACATGACCATAGGAATGACAATATCTACACAACCAAAGCATACTAAAACAAACCAAGGGTATAATTGCAAAGCGCTCACTCTTCTTAGTAAGGTTGCCAAATATCATTTTAATAGTGGAAGAACTCTTATTTTTAGCACCACTAATGTTCTTCTACTACTACCAATTAGGGTAGACAAAATCATGTAAGAATCTTTTGGATTCAGGGAATACAGCAAGAACACCAGGAAGGAAGCTCCCTTTGACTAATCCAAGTGGTTGACCATAAAGAGACGTATCTATTTAGTGGGTATAAATCATGATTATGATTGTGGATAATTTGGTTGCAAATYAATCTTCCATAGCATCGGCTTCCAGCCTATTTGTTGGGCCTTGCTCCTGCACATGATGCATGAAACTGCAAAGAATTGAAAGAACAAGGATAGGTATGCTTTAGAAGAACTGAAAGAAGTGATTGGATATTTAGTAGTATGCATTTGGGTATTCTTCTCAGGAATTGTAAAGTAATGTATGAATGTATTTGAAGAGAATTCAAACTATGATTTTAGCTCTACAGGCTAGAGAGAGAAAGTATTTTTTTCAAACTTAATATCAGTTTTTGTCTATTGATGCGCTGAACCAATGGACGTAACCAGTTCTTGTTGAATTCAGCTGCTCTTTCCATGCTTCCTCATCATGCTCGGACCATATAATGGTTGCCCTCGGATCGCGACAAGCGCCTCTCCGTTTGAACATATCTTTGGTTTTCTGTAATTCCCCTTGAATGGCAACCATAAGGACACATCTTGGAGGCATTTTTTCGACTAGTGCCGTCTAAAAAACATGTAGGAAATACAGTAATAGGAGAGCAACTTGTTAGCAACAGTAAAGTGGATAAGTATCGTTTTCCGGTGCGGGATATCAAAAACTCACCACGAGTGATTGAAAGATTTTAATGGACGAATCGGAACCAGAATTCGAGTTAGCTTTGCCTCTGAATTCTAGTCTTGACCAGATTAGATGGGCCTTGCGACTATTGGTCATCCATGCCAGCATTGCCTTTTTTACATCGCTCGCCACATCATAACTCAGAGCATGTGCGCCATTTGGATGTTTGGTAACGTGGGTTTCGAGCCACGAAGTCGGGCCGATGAATGCAGCAACACCATTTCTTACGAATCTTTGCTGAACCAGGGATTGCCGCTGGTCGTCTCCGAATCCGGGAACTTGCAAAGCATCTCCTTTCAGAGCCTTTAACAACGCAAGATCGAGGGTTGTCTGGGCATCTTCCTCGCTGCAATGAGATCCGCTCTGAATCTTTTTCTTCAACAAAGTGTACGATAAGTGACGCAACGAAAACTTGAATCCCTTGGTTTTGTTGGACGGGCGAAAGATCATGGAGGTGTCAACCACCCGGGGGTGAATGTAGTGCATCGCCCTGAGATCGTTCTCCAGAGAATGTCCGATGAGAATATCGTTTGGTGTCAGAAACGATGCCAGAGCAAATTGAACTTGCTCCAGTCTCGTGGAAATTGGTTCCAGCAATTTCGGTGTGATCCCGGAATGTTTTGTCAGGTAGTCGACAATGTTATTGGTGGGGCGCACGAGGCAGTCCAGCAATACAGTGGTCTTGGAACTGGTTTGTGGCCCAACAAATTCCTCGAACTGCAGAAGAGTGACTCGGGCTAGCTCCTTTCCGAGTTTCGTCTGGACCATTTCGCAATCCAATCCGAACACGCGAGCCGGATGATGATCTTCGTTGGCACCACCACCGTTACTGGGTTTGTTGCTGGGAGTTTCGATATAGGAGCTTTTGTCTTCTATATTTTGCTCTTCTATCCTCACTCCAAATGCTGTGACATAGTCTTTCGCTGTTTGCGATGGAATTTTGGCCGGTGGCTCGAGTTTTTCTGTTGTTGGCGCAGCATCGTTTTGATTACCTTGGGTGTCATTGGGTGAAGACATGGACTTTGGATACCCTTGCTCATCCATTTCCTCCGCTGAAAGCAACATCGCCTCCAGGCGTTCTATCAACTCTTTCTTTGAAGGGATTATCGTCTCTTCCTCGCTTTCTTTCTTTTTAGAGTCTTTTTTGGTATTGGAAAAGTACATCAAACTTTCCGACATAGATTTCGGCATGTAACCTTGAAACCACTTGGTGCCGACACCTACCTGGGAGTGGGGAAAGCAACGACGAGAACCGCTGTCGACGTCGGTGATTGAATTATCACCGTTGCAGCTTCCCTTGTCTTTTGTCGTATCGCTGCCGCTGTTGCTTCTCAACGATTTCAAAAACCGCGTGTACGGTTCGATCGTTTCGTCGGGAACGTTGATCTCCAATACGGCAACCTGCTCGCAGGCCCCGGGGTTGTGGATTGAGGCCCAGTGTGGGATCGAGACCGCATTATCTTTTGGCGTCGAAGATTGTCCACTTTGGGATTCGTTTGCGTTGCCCTCCTCGTCTCTGCGGCGTTTCTTTGACGACTTCGAGCCTTGCTGTGGCTTATTCTCATCCAGTTTTTGCTGGAGGAGCCAGCACAGTAGATCGCGGTGTGTCGCTGCCTCCACCGATTCTATCCCAACGCATTTTTTTCTTACACTGATCGATGTACCGATTGGCGRGAGAGAAAAATTCGACGGTGGCTGTGGCTCCGACGCCCGTTTGCCGCTGGCTTCGGTCTGCTGCTGTTGTTCGCCATCTTCCTTCTCCGATTTGAGTAGCTGCTCCTGGTATTCCTCGAACTCGGATCTCGTCAAGAGGCCCGAACGTTCACTTGCCACCACCACGAGACCCGCACGCTTTTTTAGCTTTTTGAACTTTTTCCGGTTCTTTCTCGCCATAAGCACTGCTGCATCCTGTGTCGGCCTGGTTTCTTCGGCGGCATCTCCTAGTGCTGCATAGTAATTTGTTTTTTTCACTGGATCGCTACCGTTCTCGGGATCGTCCGGAATGGAGGGCGAGCCAGCTGTAGTCTCGCCCATTGTGAAAGCAGTTTGTGCTATATTAAAACTCCGAGTGAAGTAAGAACATGTCCTACTGCTTTGACCACGTCAAAAAATATTGCATTTTTATCGTTCGCCCTCACATCAAAAGAAAATCATGCCACTCGCTGCTTTTTTGAGGTTTTTTCGAACTAAAAAATAACCTGTGGTGATGGCTGATTCCGTAGATGATTTTTTAGTTTTCATTCGGACGAGTCAATCCACTCCCGTCCACGTGGAATCCCACTTCAACGAGAAAAAAAAGATCTGCAGATGAAAAAAAATACGTTTCGGTACAAACTTACTCATTGCCGTATCACGTAGTACGAAGTATCATCCATCATCGCTTGCTTGCTCTTCCATACCGTACGGTACGTACCGTACCATCGGCGCAAGCCTCGTACCGTATCGCATTCCTCCTGTCCCTCTAGCGTTTGGCCAATCCGATAGRAAGAACCACCGCCTCTTCCTTGCCACCATTCGTGCCAGAAACCGAAACATTGTACTACTAATAATGAGAAACCAGAATCTGCTCCTTTCGTTGGCGTCGCTGCTATTGACCGGGTCTTCCGTCGATGCGTTTGCAACAATGAAGCCTAGAATTTCGCTTTCGAACACCGCCATCCGGGCCGAGGTCGACGGCATGCCCGAAGCAGATATCGCCGCGGGCGTCCCCGATACGGCGGCTCCGCAGGCAGCCGATGCCGTTTCCGAAGCAGTGGGTGCCGCGACATCACCAGCGGCTCCTGCCACCGTGGACACCGCGGCCAATATCATCACTCCCAACCAATTCGCACCGCCCGTTGCCCCTAAAATCATCGATCCCGACGCCCCGATGCCCCTTCCCGTGGCACCTTTGACCGATCTGGACACGATAGCACTGGTCGCTGGCCAAGAAAACTACGGCCTCGCGATCGTCCTGCTTGGAGAAGCGATCTGGTCCTTTTCCAAGGCACCTTCGGTGGACCACGGCCTCAAGACGCTCGTTCCGGCGGTCCTCGCTGCAGCCGCTCTATTCGTGGCCTCCGGGCCCATGATCACCAGCGGTGATGCCGGCAGCATCAGTACGGGGCTTTTCATTGCGACAGGGGTCAGCGTGTTTATGGGGGCCTGTTATGCGGCCCGTTTGTCAGCGCCCTTTTCGCCCTCTCCAAAGGAAATTCCGGCTCTGGGGCTTGTGGTGGCCTTTGCGGGGTTCTTCAGTTTCAGCCAGAATCTTGTCGTCGATGGGTTCGTTACGCTACCTTCGCTCCCGCACGTCGATCTTCCCTCTCTTCCTTCCATCAGCCTTCCGTTTTGAGCTGCTTGATGAATAGAATAGTGCGTCGAGGAGTCGCATTTTGGTCAACATCCAATGCAAGTAACACCAAAGCATCTGCATAATAATATTCTCAATGGGATAATGTAAATTCATCATTTAACGTGGTATGAAACTATTTCAATTCTCTATCTTACTCGAAGTTAGCACTTCCAATGGACTGATTCCGATAGACTCCCCACGAACCAAGGGGTCGAACACCGGCGAGGCTCTGCTACATTTACACCATGATCAATGTCATTCTTTCGTTGTGTCACAGATCAATCGGTTTGCCGGTTTTGAGCCAGGTGTCAAACTGGCTGGAAAATTTGAGCCGCGGAATAGCTTCCTTCTTGAAGCTCAGAAATCGTTCGACCTCCACTCCCATGACTTCACAAAAGGCTTTGTCGTCCGCCATCACCAAAACGTGCAGTGGCGGCGTCATCGGTGAAAGCCCGGGGGATGTTTCCTGCGGAAGCGGTGACGATGTCGATGGCATCGGCAGCGCCACGGAGGAAGGGTCCGTTGCAGATACAGCGGCATCTACACTTTTCTCTGAGAGTTTCTTCTGCTTGGTATGGGAGAGACAAAAGTGCCACCGGGGCAGCAATCGGTTGTAGAGAGATGCCGCAATGTATCTGCCCCGGATGCGGCCGGAAGCCGCTTGTTTCCCGTGGACGGTGTTCATTTGGTCGGAGGCACTGTCTACACCGCTGGCAACCGAGGACTTCGGTGAAACCAATTCCCAGTTCTCGTTCAGCGACGTGTATCCCGTCTTATTGAAGAACATCATGGTCGGTTGCAGGTTTGCTTCTACAGAAAGTGTAATGATGTTTGGATACTCGTACAGCATAGCATAAAACTCTTTCTTGATGGTTTCCTCCTCCGACAACAATCCCTGCCCACCGTTCATTCCCCAAACCCTAGCCAAGAAGTGAACKGTCGGCGATATGTTCTGGTCGAGATTGAGCGAGTAGATGGCGGGGCATCTTTTTGCAATCCTACCCGCCAGCGAAGGCCAAATCGAATCAAAGTAGTCCACCTTGGATTTAAGGTTTGCAATGCTGAGACCCAAGAGTTGCGGGTGGGTCAGTATGCACTTTGTGAGCATCGAGCGAGGGTCATCCTTGTCGTTCTCATCCTCGAAGAAGATTTCCGCYAGCAAAAAGTCTATGGTGGGCTGCAAGTTGTTCTCAACCGACAATCCTAGCACCGAGCCGTTAGAGGTCTGAACGACTTTCGCAAGTTGCGTCGGACTCAGGCCACAACTCTCTGCAAGAAATTGCACGCGTGGTTTCAGATTAGATTCGACCGACAAATTTAGCAAATACGGGTGGGCCGAAATGACCTTGCCGAGAACCTTCTTCCTTTTGTTTGAGTCTTCCTCGTGTGCAGCCTTGGTTTGTGCTCTTGTCACTTTTCCTGTTTTGGCCGTCGTCGCACCCGACTCTTTCTCCTGCAAAATGCCATCCAAAAAGTCTAGTACCGAATGCACTTTCGAGCCCAATAGACCAAACGCGAGCGGRGTGGATCTTTTCATTCGTCGGATCGCGCTAGGAGAGAGCCCCGTCCGACTCAAGAGTATCTCCTCTACATTTTGGTCTGTGCTTGTATTGAAATTGTTTTCGGTGCGGGTGTCGGAGTCATCATCGTCACCGCCCCGGTCCGACGGGGCCGCATCGGTGCTTTGGCTTACAGCAACGCTTTTCTTCTTGCGATTTGTTGTGTAACCTACACCGCTCGTCAGCAACAAGGCGGGATTGCGCTCCACCGCTTTTAGAAACAATTCCCTTCCCCACAACTGCAACAAAAAGTCGGCGGTCGGAATGAGAAAGGAATCGACTGGTTTCCGGAGGATCCGAGGAGATTCCTGAAGGATCCGTTTCGAAACGTGCGAAGGCAGTTCGAGCCGCTCGTCCAAAAAGTCCAAGACGCTGACGACCTGTTCGGAAAAATTACGGATATCGTTACCACGATTGCCATTTTCGTCGTGATTACTGTCTTGGAAGCTCCGACTGGCGTGGTACAAATAATTCCTTGTCTTTTTCCATTCTTTCGTTTTATCCATCTTGCCATCCTTGCAATCCGATGGCAGAAAAACGTCGTATCGTTCTTCCAACATCGACATAATGGTTCGAACTTGCGTGTTGGGACGTTTGATTCCCGTTTTCGAACCGGTTGTGGTGCGAGTGTTGTTGGCAGTAGGCAGGCTGGCCTTTCCGGCAGTCAACAAAACCAGTAGCTGCCTCCTCTCTCCCGACCTTAATGATGGCGTCCACGTGCAGTCGTAGGTTTTGCCGCGGAAATTTTTGTCATCTTTGGTGGGAAAGGAAGATTCCCGGGTTCCGATGCACGCCGATGAAGAAAATGCCATCGTCGTTGGAACAATTTTATCGTGGTTGCAGTCGTCAATAGAATATCTTTGCTTCACCAACAGCTGCACATGAGCAAACACGACAACAAACAAAATTGCCGAGGGTAGCAGAGGCAAAAATTTTAGTCGACCGTTCATTCTTCTTCTGTTTCGTTTGTTCTCCATTGCTCGATTAGTCTTGGTGGATTCTTGTTGAAGCGTTTTGCTGACGCTTATTTTGTTGGTCGTAGTACATCCCCAGCAGTCCCTTTCATCATAGACGCATCGTTGGCTGTTCTCCACTGCTTTAAAACTTGAAACTTGAATTCCAGTGAATGAATCAACGTTGATTTTCTTATGTAGAACGTTGTATGAGATCAACACTACAGGCGCGTTATGTAGGAGGTAGATGAAAAGATGAGCGGATGTCTATCGGAAGGTAGTTCTGGATGTAAGATGCTGAGATTCGGCTTGCGGAGGCCAAGAAGAACTTCAAATTAGTGCGGTTCATCAGTTGACTTCGAAGAAAACCAAAATCGACTCAACCGAATAGAATCTGGCCTGCCGTATGAAATGTTGCCCGGCCCCCGGCCCGACAATTTTTATCTTATGCTCATGATGTTCGTATTATACGTACGGTAAGTACGAACTATACTTCCCAAGATTCTCGCATACGTGCACGTTTGAAACAACGTCATCGTATCGTACTTATCTTGCCGTAGGTACGGTATTAAGAGTTCGTAAGTGAGTTATCTCGTACTTCTACTACTGCGCCAATCAAACCAGTCGACGGTTCGGGAAGTCACGATGCGAAAGCCGCTTGAAGACCACTAAATACCGGCAGTCCGGTTCAAAACGTGAGACGTGGAGATTTGCCTTGCACGTTCAGAACGCGCCATTCACGCCTTGGATGGACCTGTGATTCACCAAAAAAATTATCGTTCTGAATTTTCCAATATGCGTTCCGCACATGCAATTGCATTCCATCCGCACTCTCGACACAAACGGCCTCCCCCGAGTCTAATCCGACACTTAAAAATCCCAGCAAGCCATCAAACATGTCGACCGCTTCTGACGCTCCCCTTCCAAAATCCGTCATTTTTGGCACCGCCGGCCTCGGAGGATGCATGGGATGGGTGGTGGTCCATCCGTTCAACACTGCCGCTGTTCGCGCAAACCTCGCCAGTGCTAGCGGCCAAACGTTTTCGATTTCCAAAGCGATCAAGAAGGACGGCTTTAGGAGTTTCTACGATGGTCTATCGGCCGGTGTGGCACGACAGGTCTTTTACGCGACTTCCCGTTTTGGTTTGTTCGAGACCTTCCGCGACAAACTCCATGAATACCGCGGAAAGACGGATTTTGCCTCTCGGTGAGTAGTTTTTGTGTCCCCGTCGGAACGATTGTGTGCCGAGAGGAAAACCACAGCTATCGTATCACTCTGGAGTATTCTTAGAGGGATCGTGAATGGGGACTTACATTTCGTCGCAAATTATACACTGGAAATAACATTTTATTCTCACAATCATTTTTTTCATTTGAACTCTATAGTGTTGGAGTGGGTGCAGTTACCGGTGGAATCGCAGCCTACATTTCGTGTCCCATGGAAGTGTGCGTGATCCGAATGTCAAACGATTCGTCGCTGCCAGTCAAAGAAAGAAGAAATTACAAATCGCTCCCCGACACCTTCACGCGAATTTTGAAGGAGGAAGGAGTTAGCGCATTCTGGAGAGGGTCGAACCCGTTTGTAGCGCGTGCAATGATGGTGGGTGTCTTCCAGGTCGCCACCCTCGACCAGTTCAAGGATTTTTACGCAAAGGCCTTGGACCAAAAGCGAAACTCCATCTCGAACGTATTCTGTTCGGCAATGACCAGTGGATTAATTTATTCCTTGATTACCATGCCCCTGGAAGCCGCCAAGAATCGCATGGCCAGTCAAAAACCAGATCCTAAAACCGGTAAGCTCCCATATACTGGAACCCTCCAAACCGTAACAAAGGTTGCTTCGGATTCTGGCTTCTTGGCGCTTTACAACGGATTTGCCCCTTACTACATGCGATGCGGTGGACACACGGTGACCATGTTTATCTTCGTGCAAATGTTGAGAGATCAATACAAAGGCTTCATGATGTAAAACACCTTGAGAAATACCAACTAGTAACGGGGCGATGTCATGGTTCGCCGCTGTCATCAGTATTGCCACTGGCTCCCGTTTTGTGCTAGGCATCGTCTTGTGAACTATTTTTGATTTTGGAATTTTTCTGTCGGTTGTCGACTTGCACCTCCCCTGCATCTCAGTTGTTCTCTACTACAGCGGCCGATACAAGCCAATCGTTTTGAGATTACAATATCTAGGACGTGATGGATGTTGGTTTCAAGTGATGTCACATTGTTCGACTATCTAGAACAAAAAATAGTACGAAAAAAAAAAATGATGATACAGGGATAAAATTACAATGCTTGATCATAAAATAATGAATTATCGATTTTTTGCTTCCAAGTCTATGCCTATTTCCCTGTGATAGGATTGGGCATCCCATCTTCGAAGACGTGGTTGCGGACCACTGCTTCCAGCATGTCTCTGCTTCTGATCACCGCACCTAGCTTGATGCAGAGCATGTAGGCACCTGCTAGTTTTCTGTGGAGTGTGTAAACTTCTTCCGGAGGAGGACTAGTTTTGGATTCAGCAACGGCACCGTGGGCAGCAGCAGCAACACGGACAACAGAGAGGTGAGTGAAAACCGTGTGAGATTCGCAACGCACTGGAAAGAGAACATTTGTTCCTCGGTTCTGCAAGAAACGACAACACCAAAGCTACCGTATTTACTCACGTCAAGCGATGCCGCAAAAAGACCGAGGTGTGCTCGCCCATTCGCTCCGAGATCCGGGACCCCCGAAAGTCAAAGGGCTCGTCGATCCAGAACGGTTCACCGACTGTGAAGCCACTCAGTTTGTGGGCGTTCATCATGGCGTCGTTTTCGTCGCCCGTCAGGAAGCCCATCGCAAGGGATTGCTCGAACAGGGTGTCCTCGTCTCGGTTTGCCGAGGCCCACACGATGCGCAGGTAGCCGTCCACAAACGACTTGGGGAATTCACGGGTGGCGCCGAAATCGATCAGCGTCGTGGTTCCCGTRCCGACRTCGTAGAGAAAGTTTCCCCAGTTGGGGTCGGTCTGCATGAGCCTCCATTCGAAGAGTTCCTGCATCGTGAGGTAGAGTATGGTCCGACCGATGCGGTTGCGTTCTTCCTGGTCCAGGTGCGAGACCTTGTCGATGGTTCCACCCGGTGCGTACGCGGTGGTGATGACGAGTTCCGTGGTGAGGTCCTCAAAGACGTCGGGAACGACGAATTTGTTTTTCCGGAGGATTGGATCGGACCGGACCAGGTCCTGGAACGTCTCCTGGTTGGCCATTTCGTTGAGGTAGTTGCACTCGACCTTGAGCTCGTCCCTTCCAACCCGCATCACGTTCTCGATGAACAATCCCTTCGGGGCGAGGCCCGACATCTTGACCAGCATGTTGAGGTTTCCCAAATCGGATTCGATCGATTGGGCCACCCCCGGGTACTGGACCTTGACCACTACCGGCCGGAGGCTTCCGGTCTCCTTGTCCACCACCGTCGCGCGGTGGACCTGTCCGATGGACGCGGCCGCAAACGGGAGTTCCTCGAAGGACCGGAAGCGGCTGCGCCACGCCTCGTCGTCGGAGGTCCCGTCCCCGAGCTCGGACCGGAGCTGCTTCACCAGCTGGTGGTTCGGCATGGCGTCGGCGCCCTGGCGGACCTGCTTCAGGGCCCGCGTCAGGGCGGGGGGCAGCAGCGTCTCGTCCTGGATGCTGAGCATCTGTCCCATCTTTAGGGCGGCCCCGCGCATCCGGCAGAGGGTGGCCGCCAACCGGTCCGCGTTGGCGTCCGTGGTGACGGCGTTGCCACCGCCGCTGCTTCCGCCGCCGACGAGGCGGGAGGTGAGCTCACCGACGGTTCCCCACACAAGGCCCGCTCCCAGGGTGGCAAAACCAAAGGCCCGGCCGACCCTCGAGGAGGGCACGGCCTGTCCCTCTCTCAAAAAGCGCGTAGCTGGTTCCACTCCCTCGGCCGCATCGGTATTGTTGTTCGTTGCCGACGGATTGGCGTCCTCCACCGGAGGGGAGGGCGGGGCGGCAATGGCATCCTCTGCCAGGGGAGCCGTGGATACCGTGTTGTCGGCTGCGGTGTTTRGGCCGTGGTCTCCGGGCGGTCCGACACTGRAGGTCCCGTCCCCGGAAGCACTGCTCTCGCCTCCCCCCACCGGATTCGGCAACGGTGGTTCCGAAGCCGCCGCCATTGCTTCTGGCTGGTGGAACAGCCACGGATTGGGAACCTCCTCGCCGTTGCCACCGTTTGCCGTGCCRGCTTCCTCCCCTTGCGTCGTTCTCGCCGGGTACCCTCGCTGGCGCTTCTTGCGGAGCTGCGATTCGTAGGGCGCCGTCCCGCTCCGGACCGTCATCGCGGGGGAAGGGGACTCCCCGCCCGCCGCCGCGGCCTCGCCGGGGACCGCGTGCCGGAGGACCGACCAGGCGGCGGCCGAGAACTCGGTCTCTCCCACGGCCCTCGCGGCCCTGGAGGAGAGGTCGGCCCCGTGGCGGGAGATGCGCTGGGCGGCGATGCCGGTCTCTTCGGCGGATTGCCTGGCGACCGCCGACGCCACCATTCTGGCACCCTCGGCGACCCTCCTCCAGCTGCTCCCGCTCGATGCCATGGTGAAAAACTGAGCGGTTCTCTTCCGTTCTGGTTCAATTCAATTCAATCGAGAACAGTGAAAGGGAGATGGACGGATGGGCGGCGCAGCCAGCGATGCTGCGTGTCGATGGGTTCTTTGTATGTTTCGCCTGGCTTTTTTGCCGTGGCTCGGAGGTACTTGTAATTGTACTTTCCTGTATGAGAAAAAAATAAGCACCGTGCCGTTTCATTTTCGACCGAGAGAGGTTTTTGGTTTTTCTGGGTTTCCCTGAGTCACACAGTCGTGCCTACTCGGGACTGAAGCTGTTTTCAATCATGGAAGCATCCCATCGCTGGTGGGCGGACGGAATAGCGAGGGGATGTGGGAATGTGGTTCTTTAGTTCTACCAATTTTTTCCACGCAAGTTTCCATTGTACTATGGGTGATTGTTGACCGTGCGCAAAAAATCTCTTCGTGGAAAGATCCGATGGTCCGCGTCGCCGACAGGGACGGCGGAACGCACAGGATAGTAGTCGTAAAGGTATCGTATCGTACTTGCATTGATTGATGATAACCGAAAGCGTGTTGTTGCTACAGTACGCGTACGAAGTAGTTGCTCTCGCACGGATCACCTTCTGACCTACCGCTTGCGAGGAACTGTCAGTGATCGCCGGGATCCCGGAACTACAGGCAGAGAGTATCGGAGCAGTCCATCGAGTCCGAGTCCGTCCGGAGTGATCGTTTGCCCAAACAGTCTTGCGCTGCGCCGGGCGGGGATCGTCATCGCCATCGCCATCGTCATCGTCATCGCCATCTACATCTGAGGAGGCACCGGCAACCATGTCGGCGGCACAAGCGCTGCCAAAGGAAACTGGGGGWGCGACCGGTGGTGGCGAGGACGATGCAAACCTAGCGGCGGCTGCTCCTCCTTCTACCAATACGGCGGAAAGATCGTCTGCCGACGGGTCCGAATCACCGAACGCTGCAGCCATCCAATCCGAGCAGGCAAGCGAACACACAACAACGGAAACCGACACGAAAAACGGGGTGATGCAGTCCTTTCCCCCCTCCCACATCCTCGAAGACGGGCGTCTCATCTACCTGCCGCCTCCGAACGCCGCCGAGCGATTCCGGTTTTTCGAGCGATCGATTGCCCGGCACGGGCTGCTGCAGGCCGACATGGAGAAAAGCGACGACACCGACGAGASCAAAGCGGCCGCGAGCAAGGACGTCCGGGCCGTGCTGGGAGAGCACGGCGGCGGCGAAGCCGAAGAGGAGGACGGAGAGACCGACAACGACAAGACGGCTCCGAAGGTCCACCCCCTGGCCATTGCCTCGGCCCGGCTCCAGTCCAACGGCCTCAACGAGCTGAACCGGGCCATCAACCTCGCCACGCTGGTCAGCACGGGCGAGTTCTTTTCCTACACGAACATCGTGGACCCGTCCTTCGAGACCGACGCCACGGTCGCCGCCACGGCCAACGCCACGGCGTCCTCGGCCAAGCCCGGTGGCGAGGCCTCCTCCGCGGTGGCCGACTACGACGCCGCGGCCAGGGCCGCCACGGGCCAGCGCACCGAGRCCCTCTTCTCCCTCAAGCGCAAGCGGGCGCAGTTCGAGAGGGCCACCGAGGTCCTGGAGCGGCACGAGGCCAGGCTCTGGGCGGGCGTCAAGGCCCAGCACGTCATCGATCGGCGCCTCTTCCAGCTGCGGCAGCAGTGGAGGCTCGTGGCCCCGGAGCACGGGACGAGGGCCAAGCTGCACGCGGCGCGCACCAACGAGGTAGGAAGATGCCCCACGACGGAACGACCGYCGGTCTCTTCGTTTGCGTTTGCGTTGGTTTTTGCGTTGGTTTTTGTTTGATTTTCGTTTTGTTTCGTTCTGTTCCGTTGTTCACCGATCTCTGCTCTTGCTCCTGCGTTTTCACACACGCGTACCCTGCCACACCGCSATTCAGGTCATTGCGGTCGATGTCGATGTGTACGACCGGGATCGGGTGCACGGAGGCAACCAGGCRCTAATGGGCGGCAGCAACAAGTCCAGGACCGGGCTGGCGGGGCGATTGGCGAGCCGGGTGCCACGGTTTGCCACCATTGAGCTGCGAGACGATTTCAGGGTGCCGGAACGGACCGACGGGGAAGGAGACGGCGAGGAGAAAAAGGACGAAAGCCACAACGAAGCCAAAGACAACGACGATGTCAACAAGAAAGCAACGGACGAAGCTGGTGATTCGGCCTCTTCTTCCGACACAACTRTTGTTGCTGGAAACGAATCCAGCAAAGGAGACGCCGCAAAGGATCCCTCCGGCGACCAAGAAATGAAAGACGCGGAGAAAGACGGATCCAGGGACGAYGGGAACAGCAATGCCGACAAGGACGATGAAAAAGACGGTGGCAGTCCGGAAACGGCGGGCGGCGGAGATGCGGTGATGRAAGACGCAACAACGGAAACGGATGACAAGGGTCGGAACACGCCGGYATCGTCGCCTTCCGACAAAGAAATCGAGAAGGRCGAATACGYCGCGAGATGGACGAGGGCGGAACCCTTTGCGGTGGCCGATCCAACCCTGGGCAGGGTGATCGAAAACTTYGATCCGTCCAAGATTCCCATGCTAAATCTGCAGCTGGACATTCAGAAATCGTCCACTGGATTCTTGCAGTCCGCTTACTTGGAGCCCATGACGACACTTTCCAGTGCCAGGGACGGYGACGATGCCGCAAAGAGCGTTGGAGACAGCAACAGCAACGACAACAGCAACAGCARCARCAACAACAACAACAATAGCGACGAGGAACTGCTCATTTCCCTCCAGCATTCTCTCTTTTGCGCGAACCTCTTCGAGTCGATGAGAAGCGAGCTCGATCCCGACGCCAACGCCGGAAACCACGCCCCTCCGAGGGGAAACTCGTTTTCTGCACGGCGCCTCCCAAAGGCCCMGCAGAGCACGGYCTGGCTGGCCTCGGAAWGCGAGGAAAACTTTGTGGCACCGCCCTCCTTTCTGGTCGGCGGCGGCGCGGGCCGGKGCCTGGCCCCCCTCTCGGTGGTCCACTGCCACGAGGGCGAGGTCAAGGTGCAGCTGGACTCGGAGTACCAGCTGTGCCTGAAGCTCGTCGAGGCCAACCCCGAGCAGACCATCGCRCCGCAAAAGCCCGGGCATCGGGAACCCTCCCTCGCGCACGCGGACGGAGGAAAGAGCGGGAGCCAGTCCCCCTCCCGGCTGCACGCGTTCTGCCGCGCGCTGCTCCTGTACGCCCAGGACGTCTACCACAAGCACTCGCTGTACCTCCACGAGCGGGAAAAGAAGATGCGGGAGGACGAGGCCGCGAGGGGCAACCAACCGCKGGGGCTGGCCCGGATCAAGAAGGAGGACGCCCCGGAGAAGGCCCGGATCCTCCAGTCCTGCGTTAGTCTGGGATCCAAGATGCTCTTCGAGCAACGCATACGGAAGGCCCTGGCGAGTGTGTCTCGCTGGCTCGAAACCAACCACCGCGAGCGGCTCTCCGTCGAGTGGCTCTCCCTGTCGATCTTCGACCTGCACTCCAGGTTCACGATGGTCTGCCGCCGGCTCGTCGTCGACGGGATGATTTCCCGCGACGACCTGACGATCACCCGCATCGACGACGAGTCCGGGGACCACCGAAAGGTTCATTTYCGGACGGACAAGGAATTCGAGCTGTACCTCAAGCTCGAGCTCGAGCGGCAGTTGGCGGCCTAGAAACCATTGCGGAACCGCTGGCAATGGTGGCGATCATCGCAATCACAGTTATAATTACATTGATATCGATAATTAGACGACAGCACAGAAGAAATACATCTAGATTTCTCGGTGCTTTCTTTCCGATCCATCTCAACAGCGGAACCTTTTGGAAACTCAAGCACTAGACCAAACCACGGATGTGGATGCAGTTGGGGTGGCATCAAACCCAAGTGGAAACTTCCCAGACCTACTTTCACGGTGGTTGATTGACCCCACGGGTTGACGAAAAGGAGCGGAGGGTGGTCTTCTTGGTAGGCCGCCTGATCTGAATCGAGAGTGGTTATTAATTCCTCTGTGTTGTGTGCCTATAGCCAATCCTACCTTTAAAAAATCACAATACTACAACCGTACAATAAATACTCTCATCAACTCGCACTGGTATTACCGTGATGAAGATGTACGGTATTCATTTTGGAAAGTTTGATGTTTGATTTGAAACTAACCAAGTACGAGAAGGATCATCAAACGCGGACCGTCGTCACAACGTGTTACACCAAAAATCGATTCTTCCCACACCTCTTAGATTCCCGTCAACTCCGAATTTCATTTTAAATATCTACTGCGGTATGAATCGTACAAGTACCCGGTACGTACCGATAGCAGGAACATCGCCTATGTTAGTACTAGTTGCACGAGATACCAATCTGATCGAGTTCCTTCATGGTCACGTATCGTACCGTACGTACCGGTACGGGACGCATATTTCACCTATCCATACGTGAAGTGCTGTACTACCGTACACTTAGTATCCAATGTCCAATGCTTTTGAAGGGGTATCACTTAGCCCTTGACTGTACTGTACGGTACCGTACGGTACGGCGTACTTTACGGGCACTTAGTTGCTACTCGTACAAGAATGAACGAAAAACGAATCCCTCCACTCCGATTTTGGTTTTGATTCTAGAAACTCCTGAACCCTCGACCAAGAAACAACCCCCAGAACCTCTCTGCCCGGAACCCACGACGATCGAATCCTTCCTTTCCCCACCACAACAAAGGCATCCGACAACACCATGAGGCGGTCCCCGAACGAGGGCGAGGACCGAACGACCGGAAGGCCCGCCGCCGGGGGCGGCAACAGCGTCTCCGCTGCCCCTGCGCAACGGCCTTCCGGGAGGACCGACGGCCAGGGCCGGTACGCCACCGCTTCCGGAAGCCTTTCCTCTTCGGCCCCCGCGAGGCGTCCGAAGACCTCTCCGTCGTCTGCGTCTAGGTCCAAAAAGATTGCCCCGCGCCGCAGCGATGGCTTCTTTTCCTCGAGCAGTTCCAGCAGCGAAGAGGAAGACGAGGACGAGGACGACGAGGAGGATTCCCACGAAGAAGACGAGGACAGCGAGGACAGCAGCCTGGACCCGCGGCAGCGCCAGCGTGGCCGGAGCAGCGAATTCGACAAGGCGGTSCGGTCCGGTCAGGGACCGAGCCACTCGGAACTGCCACAGCAGACGAGGCAGCACAGCAAACCCCCGAACCAAAACGCATCCGYGGCGAGGGCGACTGCCTCCTTTCGAGGCGCGCAGGAGCGCCGGAACAAGGCRCAGCAGCAGCAGAAACAGCCCCAGCAATCGCCGCGCCGGGGMCCACCGCCCCCGTACGAGTACGATCCACACGGGGGAGACGACGGCAACACCGGGGGCGACTTCAGCAGCAGCARCAWCAACAACAACAGCAACGAYGCCGATCCACTGTCGTCGGGGGTGTTGCCCGATGCGCTCATGACGATGCGYCAAAAAATAGAATCTCTAACCCTCTTTGACTCCGACATGATGAGGCTGGTCAACGGTGTCAACCACCCCGCCTACTCCAGCGGCATCGTAGAAGATCCGATCGTKCAGGAAACCAGGGAATCGCTCAAGCGCTCCAGCCAGCAGAGCATCTCGGCGGCCGTCTTGGTCAGCCTTGCCCACAAGCGCTACGAGCGACGCCGGCTGGCAGCCATGGAGATCGAAAAGGTCGTCCGGTCCCTGGTACAGAAGGGCGACGAGCAGCTGGAGCGCGTCCGGGCGATCCTGCTGCTYCTGAGCGACGACTACGTTCGGTCGACCTCGGAAGACGCCCGCAAGGGCGGGGTGGTGGCCCTCGCCGCCTCGGCCATCGGGCTCAAGAAGGCCCCGGACAACAACACCATTGCCCACGAGTGCCGCGATCTGATTCTGGCCAGCGTCGTCCACGCCTGCCAAGACCAGAACCAGCGGGTCCGGTACTACGCCACGGAGTCGCTCTTCAACGTCATCAAGGTCATTCCCAGCCTGGCCGTCCAGCACTTTTTCATTCTCTTTGAAATACTGCGGTCCCTCTATGCCGACGTTGACGACGACGTCAAGAGCGGGGCCGAGCTCCTCGACAAGAAGCTCAAGGACGTCATCGTGGTGGCCATGAACACGGGCCAGTTCACCGCCGAAGCCTGCGTCCCCGTCTTTGCTCGGTTCGTCTACATGAACAACAAGGACACCAAACGGCTGACCCTTACCTGGCTGCAGGAGCTCACGGAGAAACTCATCGGGGCACCCATTCTCGAGTTCTTGCACCTCTTTCTGACGGGGATCTTTGACATGATCGCCGACCCCCAGCCGGCGATCAAGCAGTCCGCCCTGGCCTTTTTGCAGAGCGTCCTGCCAAAACTCCTGGACAACCACGTCGTGGAGGAGGCCATCGATGACTTCCAGACCGCGGGGATCAAGGTGGATTTCGACAAGATTCTCCAGTCCCTCGTCACCACGATGGAGCACCCCGATCCCTTTGTCCGAAAAATCGCCATGTACTGGATGTCCAGGATCGTCAAGGCGCACATTGGCGTCGAAAAAGGAAAACAGGGAAGGGACGCCGGTGTCTCGTCCTCCAAGAGCGAGGCCGACGACGACGTCTTTCAGGGGCTGGAAGACGAGAACAAAAAACAAAAGAAGCAGCAACAGCAGAAGAAAAAACAGGAAGGCTCGTCCAAGGGGGGCGACGACACGGCGGCACCGCTCAGCGCCGCTACGATTTCGGTTCGAAACGCCCTGCCGCACGTCCTGCCCGGAATATTGCTGAGGTACGTATGGTAGGAAGAGCAGCGATAATGCCCGGAATCCTTTCGGCAACCCGTACGGCATTGTTGCAAGGTGTCTTGCACACGACACGACGCTGTGCGACATGGCACGACGCTGCCCGCCACTCACGATTCGTTGTGTTCTTTTTTTGCCAGCATCGGGGACAACTCTCATCGCAAGGTCACGAGCAGGGAGTACTTCCTTCCGGACACGACCACCCATACCCTGGCGGACCAGACCAATGCGTGTTTGCAGCAGGCCGTGAGGAAAGACGGGAAGGCCTACGTTCAGCACCTGGACAGCTTCATCGTGGCGCTGCGGGAGGAACTGGACAGCCCGGGTGGCGTCAACGCGCGCAACCCGCCCGCCATCGAACGGCGGCCCTACCGAATGGACGTCAAGTACGACGGCAGCGGTGAGTTTTGAGTAGAAAGCCCGAGGTGGCTTTTCTTCTGTGTCGCTGTGTGTGTTCGAACATATGTGTATGCGTATTTGTGTGCCTTTCCGGCAGGACTGATGATCATCTCAACAATCTTGCCATATCCAATTCTCAATACGATCCATGCAGGCATCGAAAGCCAGGGATGGTTCCGTGCGTCCGATGACACGAAAGAAGCAAACGAGGATTCCATGATGATGTCTAGGTTGTGCGCCCTTCATTGGATCATTGTCCTCTACGAAAGCGTTGTTCCGGATGTCCTGAAGGCCGACGTAAGTTGTATGAAACCGAATGCTTTCTTGGAGCTCCCTTTTCGAGATTAACGTTTTAGCTGATCCATGTTTCTCGTTCGTATCGGATGTTTCAATGTCGTTTTGTGTCCACGCAGTATGCCCGTGAGTTCATAATACCCATAATTCATCAATTGGTGGACGATCCCCCCGAAAAGATCATCTACAAGAGTTTAGAGGTTTTGGCAAAGATAACCATCCCCGTAAAGGGCGAACACAGCGGCAAGCGATCTGCGAACAAATCGTTGTCGGGTCTTGCGCTATCGTCGCCGTCTTGGGTAGCTCCGACAGTCGGCGAGAATCGCGACGAATCCCCGTACCCCATGAACGATTCCAGCATAGGTTTCGCTCTGGACCTACTGGACAAGCAGCGCAGCCTCCTGAGGTCTCGGGATCGCGAGGTATTTTCGGCTCTCATCCAATTGTACAGTTGCAATCTACACTTGATCGGAGATCTGTCTAGGGTGATTTCATACATGTGTCGGTTGCAACCTCCCGAGTTTGTCTACGTGTCCTTTGCCGTTGAACTGGACAACTTTGTCAGAAGGCAAACACGAAACAAAAAACGAAAGGACGTTTCGCACCATCTAATGTCTCAAGATTATCAGTTTGTAAGCGCGTTCATCCAGCAGATGTGTTTGGTTCTCTTGAATTCAAAAGAGGCGAGCGAGCTAAGGAATGTTCTGAAAGACTGCATAGGCTACGGGAGGGAGGCGGAAGAGCGAGACCGCCGCAGGTCTCGTTTGTTTCACATCTTGCTGCATTCGTTCTCGCACAACTTGGTAGCCACAACATCGCTTTGCTTATGGGGTGGAGCCTGCCGCACTGCCTCCTTATTTCTCAAGAGGATCGATCCGCTCGACATCAGCCTTGTCTTCTTGCTCGAGCTGGACAAGCTCGTGGAGATGATCGAGCGACCTCTCTTTCGAAACCTGCACGTCCGGATGCTCGAGACAGACAAGAACCCCTTGGCTGAAGGAAGCGGGACGATGCTCTTTCAGGTACTGAAGAGCATTCTCATGCTACTTCCACAGAGCGCCTGCTACAACATTCTTCGGGACCGCCTTGTCAGCATGTCTCGCTTTCGACAATCGGTGATCGCCAACGATTCCCACGACGACGAACAAAACCTTTCCAAAGAGACCGAGGTGTTTGTCTCCCGCGTCCTGAGCGTCCGCCGGATGCACTGCAGAACAGTTTGGGAAACGATCCGAGCGGAAAGCCTTGAAAGCATACCATCGCGTGGTCCCAAATCCTCCGCCGAGACGAAGGACGAGGAAGGCCAAAGCCGACCAGAAGGGTCCGATCGCCGAGATTGGCTTGGCTATTCTTCCGTGGAGGAGGAGGCCACGGCAAAGGCAAAATACAAGCAACAAAACCTGAACATGGTGGCGGGATCGGAAGGGGTAGAAATCGAAGAAATCACGGGCAGCTACAAAGAATTCCCAACGTTTCCATCGGATGCATTCACGGAGCTCGCTCCAAACGACGAACCAGCTCCTGTCAGTTTCGAACAACAATCAAATCCGAACGCAGCCTCGACTGAAGATGCCAAAGAATCCAAAGAAGAAGAGCAAGATTGGAAGGCGTTTTGGTCGGCGTCGGATACAAAAGCATAGATAATGGAACAAAATAGTTTTCATTCCACCAGGGAAAGATTTTTGCATCAAAAGATTTAAAAGAGGATTTATAGAATCACTTAAATCGAATGCCTCTAAGGCGCAATCTTTCCTTCAGCCACGAAATCTAGAACAGACCGAAGCTTTGCTAATATATGTATTTCGTGTGCCGGCGAAGACACAAACTCCGACGACGGCATCAAATCGAGATGCATCATGATGCAATCAACGTTCGCCCCTAGCAATCGTGCACCTCGATCGACCTGTTCTCGTTCCAACATTCTTGCTTCGAGTCGTCCCAGAAATAGAGGAAATACTCCCACGCCATCCTGTTCGATTGAGGATCGTGAACCATTGCAAAAAATCCGGTGTCGAAGCTGGATCGTGAGATATTTGGCAACCATAAATACTAGGTGGGCACAATAACCCAGAGACGTGTTTACTTCTTCTTCTACGACTGTAGTAGTGTAAATATCTCCGGGCAGCTGTAGACCCCGAATGAAATAGCTTTCATTTTCTCCGGAGATTGTCAGCGCTACAGCTATCTCTCCGTGGGTTGCTTTAAAATCCGATGTGATTGGATAAATATCTCGCAAATCTCGAAACAATTTGATAGCTTGAGCCTCTTTCAAGAACTCTTCTCGTTCCCACTTCAAGGACTGCTTATTCAGTTCGGTCTTCAGTCTATCAATATCTCGCTCAACTCCYTGGATTTCCTCCACCAAACTAATCAAAGTCCGTTGTTCAGTTTGTAGGCAATCGAGATCTTCCTCGAGTCCCCGTTCCTCTTCTGCAATCAGTCGTAGTAAATCCAGCTTTTCTCGTCTTTTCTCTTCTTCAATTATATCTTGTTCACAACAACGAAATACAAAGTCGTCGTCGTCTTTTTGGTATTGTTGCTTACTAGTGGTGACAGGTCTTCGTGGGGGTGTCATTGGGTTTGAATCTTGCTCATGCTGGGGATGTGAAGGAGGTTGTTCATCATCTTGCGATTCCAGATTATTTGGTGTGCCGTCATTATCGTTATCGATATCATCAGGGCCATTCTGATTTATAGAATCATTGTCCTGATCAAGTAGAGACGTGATTGACCGACAACGTGGTCGTTGTGGGGTTTGCTTGACGTGATCGAGAGTAGCAAAGACGTCATCTTCAAATCGGTCAAAGTCCTCGACCGGTGGAGCCTCCAGTATCCCGTAGGTGTGACCAAACTTTTCCCATAGTACCTGGTAAATGTTCGGCGGACAGCGGATCGACCCGTCCGAAAAGTKTACCAGCATTGCATTGGGTGGTAAGGCTGGTGGTAATGAACTGCCATCATCGGCATCTTCTCCCTTTTTGGCACTGGCWGAACCAAGATCAATGCGTTCGAGGAATGAAGGGTGCAAATACGTTTCCAACAAACATTTTTCTTCCATTGGCACTGGTTGTTCTACTTCTTTTTCTTCCTCTGATTGCGCTGGTTCGGGTACAATCCAAAGCTTTACCTTCATCGATTTGTAGAGATCATTCTGGTTCCACCATTCACTGTGGTTATCGATACATATTCGTTCATCTAAATGTTCCCAAGAAGGATGAACCGATCGAACCTGGGGACTTTGTTCAGTATACACGATGGTCGTTTTTTGAACTATATCATTCGTGTCGATTCCCTCGCCGTTSTCTTCTTTGTCGAGCTGATCTTGTTTTATCGCTGTGATTTCAAGATTGACACGCGGGAGCAAATTGTTGTTGTGTTGGGGTTGGCGATTTAGCCACATAATGCCACGACCTTTGCTTGGAGAACCGACGGACGACTCATCGCTTTCGTTGCTGTCTGTATGGTAAATATCGTCGCTATAACTTGCGCTTTTTGTAATTGAAGAGGGCCGTTTGGTGGAGGGTACTGACGGCGGGATGAAGTTATGGAGGGTGATTGCGACCGGGATCGGAATCTTGGTATCGGCCGAATCGCTCCATTGACGCAAGCTATTGCGAGCATCGGGAAACATTGTTTTGTCGTCTAGGGTTSTATWTGTTTCTACTGYCGTAAGCCGATTATTCTTTTGTTTCTTGCCACAGTCATCGTCGACGCTAAAAGGAGTTCTTTCTCGAAGTTTGAGAAAAAACGAATCAAAAAGAAATTGTTCATGTTCAATCTCAAAATGGTCAAAAATGCTAATTTAAATAAATGCCGTAGAAGTGGTAGTATATGTTTTGTATTTATATTAYGTACCCTAATACTACGTACCCATAGCTTCGTTGCTTCTCGTGGTTCGGCGAGATTTTGTTCCACGTGGAATCTCTCAGTGATTTCTTTGCAGCATGCGTACTATTTTTCTTCCACATGCCCAACACAAGAAGTTACCATCACAAAAGAAAATGCTCGGGGCCCAAGTTYACTGAACCGTAAATACGAGTACCAGGTAACGATACCGTACGTACGGTCCACGCTATGTTGAACGAGAGCACACTCGTACTCGTACTTGTACTCGTACTTCGTCTTACCCTAGTCCATCATTCCGTATTTCTGTCGTCCTGATTCTCGAAGGAAATTACGTCGTGGTTTGCTCTCTCGAGTAATAACAGGGAGCCAAACACGGACATTGGTTYGTCAAAAAGGACAAGGGGAGATACACTGCCATCGGAGATAGCATTTTTACGTTGGACTGGTTTCCTTGACTATATTAACACAGGAATCAAAGTGTGAACTGCCGATTTTTTTGCGAGAAATTTCTGAAGCGAAAACGCGACAACAACTCGAACAGACGCACCAAAAAATAMAAAAAACTATGCGGATATCTTCCTTTGCTCTGAGGCTGCTTGCCACGGCTTCTATGACGGCGGCCGTGGCCGGATTCACGTCCCACTACCATCCCACGACGACGAACGCAGCCGAATCGCTTTCGCCGTTCGCCAGGACGGTGCTCGAGATGTCGAGCAGCGTCGACAGCGATACGGATGCATCCGCGACCGTACCGAATTTCAATGGAGTGGAGGTTGCCAAAACGGGTGGCAGAGGCACCACAACCGCTGCGCAGAAAGCCGTGGCCCAGGACCTAAGCCTGGGAGCGCCCCGTGGTCGTCCGACGGGGGGTCACTACATGACGAAGGGAGGCATCCAGGTTACGGCAAGTGTAGAGGGATTGGACTATACCAGAACCGGAGATAAAGCATCGTTGTCAAACCCAAACTCTTCGGAGGCAGTCATCGAGTCCTTGGTGCAAAGACTTGATTCGCACAAGGGGGTATTGCTGACTAGTTCCTATGAGTTCCCTGGTCGGTATGCCCGTTGGTCTCTTGGTTTTGTCGACCCGCCCCTGGAAGTATCCGGGAAAGGGGACAAGTGTACGATCAAAGCGCTCAACGATCGTGGAAAAGTTCTTCTTCCCGCCATCGAAAAGGCAATGCAAGAAATGAAACAAGAAGACATTTTGTCTAACGTGGACGTCATTGTGGAAGAGGCAGAATCAAACATGGTTCAAATCGATGTGACCATAGTGCCGCCACCTCCAGTAGGAACCTTCAGCGAAGAAGAACGTTCCAGACAGGTGGGTTTCTGTTTGCGAATTATCCAATTCTAGTGTCTTGGAGACAGCATTGATGTCTTGCATAACCGAAGAGAGTCGGYCATGTTTATCACAAACTTTTTTTTCCCTGAAATGTATTTTTCTCACCCTTGTCACAATTCTTGCACCACTTCTATGGTCGATCCTGTGAAAACAACAATAGCCATCGCTTTTTTCGGTCGTTCGTAAACTTGTAGACTTGTTTGGATACCAAGGTGGAGACGGCCAACTCGGACTGTACGGTGGCTTTGGTTATGATCTTACGTTTTCTTTCGAGCCGATCGATCTGAAGCAGGAGCGCGATCCCGAACAACGAGACTTGGTTCTTTTCTTGCCAGATAGTGTTTACGTGATCGATTCCGACAAGCGAGATGCTTGGCATGTTCAATACGAATTCAATGTTGACAACAAGTCGACGCAAGGGTTGCCCCGAGTTGGTTTGAGTGATGAGTTTCAGCCTTTTGATGAAGAGAAGACTGAGTTTGTCAAACGAGACACCGAAGAAGGGGCTTTTTCGAAGAGCGTCGAACGGGCAAAAGAAGAATTCAAGGTCGGAAACCTCTTCGAGGCCGTTTTGTCGCAGACCTTCCGTGAGAAACTTACACCAGAGAACAAGCCTTCAACTATYTTCCGACGATTGCGCAAACGTAACCCTGCACCCTACGGATTCTTTATCAACTTGGGTGAACAGGAATACTTGGTTGGGGCTAGTCCCGAAATGTTTGTCCGATGCGAAAGCATTCAAGAGAACGACTATGCTCCTGGCGCGATGCGTGTAGAGACGTGCCCCATTTCYGGTACCGTCGCACGCGGTGCCGATGCCCTGGAGGACGCGCTGCGGGTCAAATCACTCATGATGAACCAAAAGGAAGAAAGTGAGCTGACCATGTGTACGGACGTCGATCGCAACGACAAGTCGCGAATTTGCGAACCCGGATCCGTTCAAGTCATCGGACGCCGTCAGATCGAGATGTACAGTCGTCTAATCCACACAGTCGATCACGTCGAGGGTTACTTGCGACCGGAGTTCGACGCTCTGGATGCCTTCTTGTGCCACACCTGGGCGGTAACGGTGACCGGTGCACCAAAAACCTGGGCCATTCAGTTCGTGGAAGACATGGAAAACTCGCCCCGATGCTGGTATGGTGGTGCCGTCGGACTCGTTGGATTCGACGGCAGTCTAAACACTGGGCTCACCYTGCGTACGGTTCGCATCAAGGACGGAATCGCAGAAATCCGTGCGGGAGCAACTCTTCTCACCGACTCTACCCCTCTCGACGAAGAATTGGAGACCGAATTGAAGGCGTCGGCCATGATCGATGCAGTTGTTCGAACAGGCAGCGACAGCAGTGACGCCGCTAGTGACGCAGAAACACCCAAGCCTCCGGAAAATGTTGGGGAAGGCAAGTCTATTATTTTGATCGATCACGAGGATTCGTTTGTGCACACACTTGGTAACTACTTGCGTCAAACCGGTGCCACGGTCAAGACGTTACGAAGTGGACCTTCTGCCCTGGCTGCCATCGAGAATATGGTCGAGCAGGGGAWCAAACCCGATATGGTGGTCCTATCTCCGGGCCCGGGCAATCCTTCGGACTTTGGTTTATCGAATTCGATTGAGCTGTTGATCAAGCACGACATTCCAGCTTTTGGAGTATGCCTCGGACTTCAAGGAATGGTCGAGCATTTTGGCGGGAAACTAGGAGTCTTGGGCTACCCTATGCACGGAAAACCTTCGGACGTGACCCTGACCAAAGATGGTATGGGGGACAACAGCATTTTTGCGGGACTCCCCGAAACGTTCGAAGTGGCACGATATCACTCCCTGCATGGCATTCGTGAGGAATTGCCGGCGGAACTCAAGGTGACTGCTCTTACCGAGGACGGCATTGTGATGGGCATTCAACACGAGTCTCTTCCGATGGCAGCGGTCCAATTCCATCCGGAAAGTATTTTGACCAGTCCCGCCCACGGGATGGCGATTTTAAAGAATTTTATGCGGTTGCACGCTATGAAAGAGAATTAAGAAATAATCATACTACATACTAAAATAGCAACAAGTTTATGTCATTCTGCCAAAAAAGAAATCATTTGATTCGGCAAAGGAAGTGAACATGATCAATCGCAGGAATACTCTGTAAGTAGGGTGGATTTCTCCACTGGATGATWCCCAACGCTTTGATTTTTTCCGACTGCAATTCTTCTCGAGCTTCTTTTATTTCTTCTTCGGTGATGGGCTCTTTTATTTTCCACAAGACGTAATGCACGACGTTATCCTCCATGTAATACGGGAAATCGTTTTGTACCAGAACAATTTTAGGAGTGTCAACATCCTCCAAGCACGGGTGGGCCTTCAATTTCTGCTCCGATGGGATGCCATTGTTRGTCGTTTGGTCGTTTGGAATTTCACTGCCGTCTTCCTTCGCATTWGATGGCACCGCGTCGAAGCCRAACTTGGATATCAAAATGAAATCTCTTGACGAGTCGTATTGCTGCTTCATGTGGTGTCGAAARACCTCGTAGTGATGYTGTTGGTCCCGACTTCGTGAGAGTTTCGGGATGTCGTATTCTACCTCGATGATCTGAACCAGCTCKTCCCACGTTGCTTCCGATGTCCKGTATCCGTACGGGAACTCGGGTAAAGTAACTTCTACATCTGGGTTGGTGATGGTAACGAGCTCCTCGGGACCCTTGAGATTGACATTGCTGATGCGGCGCAACTTGGTGCTGGCKGGCATCGTTGCTCACAATATTTCTKATGTGAAGACGTCAAGGGAAGTAAGAATCTCTTGTCCGATCAAGAATTTGCAACCCTATTGCCTRATGCTCTATGCAGAAGGCACGAGGAACAATGCGACCAGGCAAAAAAATCAGAAGATTCATTTTCCGTTTCCAAGATTATTTASCCACCGTCATGTGTTGTAGTACGTACGTTGTACGGATACTAGTACCAGTGCGTTCCCGAGTGAAGTGCTTCTACGATACGTCTACCGTACGTRCATAGCGGTACGTACTGTACGACGTACGCAATGGAGCTTGTAAAAAATGACTCTATGCGTTTAAAATGACTGAGTCAGATACGCTAGGGTTACGGTTCAAACATGTTACTGTATCTTTTCTTCTTGTGAGATGATGCCCTGAAATGAAGTCCACGCCGAAGATGAGGCATCCGTACAAGCACCAGTGCCGGAAAGGACCCTCCCCAYCCGCAAACGCCAAACTCCTGCTTCCGATCCCGGACGGACAACCCAAAGAGGACGTTGGAGCAAGGCATCGAAAAGGACCACCGCCACTGGACACTGTTCGGAAGATAAATAGCATCGAAGAGCGACGAGGAACCAGCACTCCGTAGCCAGCCCGTGGGTGTTGGGCAACAGTTTCTTCCCTTGGCGTCCGTCCCGCGCATCGCAATGCCGACGCCGGGAGACGCCAGAACCGGTGCGGAGCCGCCGGTCCGGGACCGCGTCGAGGAGACCTTCGAGCTCTTGCAGAGCGCCAAGAAGCTGGAATCCGAGTCGAACTACTGGCTTGCAACAGAGAACTTTGTGAAAGCCCACGAGCTGCTGACGCTCCTGGCCGGGGAGGAGACCGCGGGGGCCGAACCATCGGGGGACGCGGAACGAATCTCGCACCTGTACGCCACCAAGGCAGAGGAATACAAGAARCATTCCCGGAAGTGCCTGATCCGGGCGATGGAACAAGACCAAAGCGGCGACGACCGGGTTCGGGAAGCCGACACCGAAAAGAATTTGCTCGGCGACGACGAGGCGCGGGCCCGAAACCACTCGTTCTCGGTGCTCTTCTCGCGCCCGGTGGCTGTTTCTGCTTCTGTTTCTGCTTCTGTTTCGGAAGGGCCGGCGGGAGGGGATCCTCTGCCGGCCACGAACGACCACGGCGCTTCCGGACCGCTTGGACCMCCGGAACGAGACACCCGTCCCCACATCGGGGACGAGGGAGACCTGGAGGCGAGACTGAGAGCCCTGAACCAATCCCTGCCGAGCGGGTACAAGTCGACGGACGAGCGCGTCTCGGACGTCAAAAAGGGCCTCGGCAAGCTGGGTCTGTCCCTGTACGCAGAGGAGCAGCCCTTTTCGAGGTTCGAGGACGAGGTCCCCAAGAGCGAGGACGAGCAGATCGACGACATTATTGCGCAGGCCGAGGACGARGCCGCCTTCGAACGGCGGTCCCGCGGCGGCGATACCGRCACCGTCCCGGCGTCCGGTGGCGGCAGAGCGGAAAGTTGCGAGCCTTGCGGCGACGATTGCTCGAGCAGCGAGGACGACGGCGACGGCGAGGAAGACCTCCTGCTGGACGAYGACCAGCTCGCSATGAAGACGATCCAGAAAAAAGTCGCGAGCGCCCAGGCGAAGCTGGCCGAGCTGGCGGCGCTCCTGGACCGGGCCCGTTCGAAAAAGGCAATGGACGAAGCCGACGAAGAAGAGGAGGTCTTCCGGAACGACTTTGACAGCGACGAGGACGASGACGAGGATTCCTGCCGTGATGTTCGGCAGCACGACGTTGCGTTTCTGATGATGACGGGGAAACGAAAACTGAAAAGTGCGCAGAGGGACATGCGAAAGGCAATGGCCGAGTGGGAAGAAATGTTACTATTGTAGTGGTCCTGTAGCGTCGGTATCCCATAGCTTCGAAAGGAACAGTCCGCGTGTGTGTGTGTGTGTGTGTTTTTTTTCTAGAAAAAATCTTTCGTTTTGTTCGTCAGCTACACGACACGCAGCGAATGCCGCCAATCACTATACTGTAGTACTACATTGATTCAAAACCGCCCAGCGATTTCCGGAAGAAAGACCGAACTCCGATCCAATCCGCTGCGGTGTTGCAGATTCGAGTTTTGGCCCGGGATTGCGATTCGTCGTTCCGGACAAATTGATCTTTCTCGGTTCTCKGTTCACAAGAKGCATTCCTGGCGGGTACGCCGTTCGGCAAAAGCCACCGGGTTTCTCGTGCACCGGTGGGGCATTCCCTTCCGAGGGGGCCGCCGGGTTTCCCCAACCACCGGTCTGGTTTGGTTTGGTTTGGTTTGGTTTGGTTTGGTTCCGTCCGCCCGGTCAGCACGAGGCCTGTTGTTCCCTCTCCCGGTCTTCCTTGAGCCTCCGCTGTTTCTTGAGAAAGCGCTCGAGGTTGGTCTTGTTGATCTCCTGGGTGCGCGCGCTGCTCTCGGCCAGGCGGACGCCCCCGCCCCATCCGCCGGCCCCCACCTTTTCCGGCCGGCCGGACGAGCCCTCGCTCTTGCTTCCGGAGGCTGCCGCCGCGAGCCTCTCCCCCGCCGCGGCTTCGGTCCGGTCGGCAAGGGGGGCCACCAGGGCGTACCCCAGGACCACCGGGATGGAGAARTAAAACGTCCCCATGACCACCTTTCCGGCGGTGGTCCGCGGGGAGAGGACCGGGTTCTTCCTCCAGTACGCGTGGACGGCGTTCTTGAGGCGCTCGTGGCCCGCTGCGAATCCCATGGGAAGGAAGCAAGCAAGCAGGTGGGTGGGTGCTTGTGGCGTTGCGAGGGCTGGGGGGAGGGCGGGGCGGCGCTGTGTTGTCTCGTCTTCTCTTGCGTGGGTCGTTCGCTGGAGCCCGGTCTGAGACTTCTCGAAGTGTGTGTCTCTTCCTGCTCCCCTAATGTAGTGCATCGGTGTCTCGCAGCAACTCGAAAGGAAGGGCAACGCAAACACAACGAGAAAAAAATAGGTTTTGTTTCTCTCGTGACGACGAGTTCTCTGAGTCGAGTCGGTCAAGAAAGAAACGAAGAACGAGCGAGGAACAACGAGAGACGTGTCTTCACCCCCGAAATATTTTGTTGTGCGAAATCAGCTCGCACCGAACSAACCGCACCATCCGATCCGTTGTACTGTACGTACCGTAGCCTACGTGTGCTTCATCACTTCATGCCGTTTGCTCCCAATTAGGGGGAATTGGTGTACGGAAGTTCCCCATTTTCCACTCTCCGCCATCTGCCGCATTCTTCTATGGTGTCTTTCCCAATGACGAGAGAAGCCAGAAGGAACGCGTAGAACGGGGAACGGGTTGACGCGCGTCTTCTTCAACTTCGAAAATGGGTCTGTTGGCAGTTCCTTCTTTCTCTTGCTTCTCCGATACCGATTTGGATTGATTCGTTTCCCCCTTCGCCTCGCCTCGCCTCTCCTCCGGGATACGAGTACGAAGTACCTGTACTACTCGTACCTGTTCCGGAGGAGGAACTGTTCGATCGATGCGAATGGAATGGAATGCCCTACGTTACGTTATTTCCAATAGAAACCCATCGAAGGATTGCGTGAACTACACGACCCGCACATCCGCAAACCTACCAACCAACGGACCAACGGACCAACGGACCAACGAAGCAACGGACCAACGAAGCAACGAAGCAACGAACCAACAAGTAGACGAACGAGCACTTCTGATAGCCACCGATCGTCTACTCGAAAGCAGCGTTCGGGGGCTTTCTTTTCTTCTCGGTAACGCGTGGCCCGGCACCGGATTGCCCCGCTCGCATCGAATCTAATCTCTACCGGCCGCCATGCARTCCTCCGTTGCGTCGAAACTCCCCCGGCTCCTGGCCCGGAGATCAATGGCGTCCCGCCGCCTTTCTCTCTCGCTCGGGGGGCCACCGAAGAGCAGGGGCACCTGCTTTTGTCCCGGGACCCAGGGCGTCGCGCAGAAGCTGCGGGAGCAACAGCAAGAGCAACCGCGGGAGCAACCCTGCCCACCGCCGCGCCGCATCCATTCCACCCTGGCGTCCAAGTCCTTCTGGAGGGGATTGCACCAGGCCGTTCGGCAGGGAAACGGAAACCACGCGGAGGAAATCGCCGAGGAGGTCCTCCGGGACTTTTATCGGCTGTCGGAACCCCGGCCCGTTTCGGCACCAAAAGCCCAAGCCCCCCACGACTACAGGGGATCTSTATCTCTGCCCCTGCCCGTCGGCCCGGGCTCCCACCTCCTGGACAGCCGGGTCTTTTCCCTGGTCCTGCGGGCCTGGCAGAACTCGGACCACGGGTCCCTCCACTCGGCGCTGCGGGCCCACAACCTGCTGGTCCAGATGGCCGCCCTGGCCGACCAGGACGTCCTCTGCGATCCTCCCACGCAGGGGGACTACCTGGCGGTCCTGGAGTGCTGGCACAGGGCCTCGGAGGAGGCCTCGGAGGACGGAAAGGCTGCCAGCTCCGATGCATGTGCCAATTCGGCTGCCCTCGCCGCGAAGCACGCCGAGGAGCTCTGGGGACAGATGGAGGAACGGCAGCGGATGGRCGCCATGGCCGGCAAGGAGGGAGGCTTTTCCATCGGCGAGGAGGCCTCCGAGCGCTTTGCCTCGCTCCTGGCGAGGGCGGGCAGGGCCTCCCGGGCCGAGCAGGTCGTTTGGGACGCGGTGGCCAAGCAAAAACAAAAACAGCTGCGGGACCGAGAAACACACCACCGGCGAGAAGGACACGAGCGGGCTCCGAGCTACTCCTTTCCCGACGCCGTCGATGCTAGCGGCGCGAACAAGAGCAACAACAACAATAGCAGCAGCAGCAACAACAGCARCAACAACAGCAAAACCCACACACAAAACCAAACCGAAAACGAAACCGAAAACCACCACGAGAACCAACCGATGGTGGGCCTGGACCTGTGCCACGCGGTTCTCCGAGCCCACATCGCGTCCAAGGAGTCCAGGGCCTCCGAAAGGGCCGAAGCATTTCTGCGGCAAATGGCAGCGGACCCCTCCCTGCCCGGTCCGACCGTCGATTCCTACAACCTAGTGCTGGAACGATGGATGCGTTCGTCCAGGGCCACCCGCAAACCCGGGCTCCTGGCGGACATTGCCGGCAGGGTCGAGGAACTCATCCACCACATGAAAGACGAGAGCCGGATACAGCCCGATCTTGTCTCGTACAAGAACGGCATCGACGCCCTGGCCCGTTCCGGCGAGGCCGTCCGGGCCGAGACCATGCTGGCCCACCTGGTGAAGGACTATCTCCTGCACTACGACGCGGACCTCAAGCCGGGCATCGAGCCCTTCCAGAGCGTCCTGTGGGCCTATTCCAAGGCGGCCACCGGGGGAAAGGGACACCGGCGCATCCCCGATGCGGCAGCGAGGGCCGAATCCATTCTCGGAAACATGAAGGAGCTGTCGGCGATGCTGGACACCTACCCGACCGTCTGGTCGTACAACACCGTCCTCAAGTGCCTGGCGCACTCGGGCAAGGCGGACGCGGGKGCCCGAGCCCTGGCCCTGTACGAAGACATAGCGGGAGCCTCGCCGGGATCGGAGCAGCCGACTGGCAGCGGCAACAACGACAATAACAACGACAATAACAACCACGAGGACGAAGACAAGCACCTATCGCCGCGCCCCATCGATCTCGGGCCCGACGCGGTGACCGTCAACACGGTCCTGAGCGTCCTGGCGAAAGGCCCGGACGCCGCGGTGCGAACGGAAGAGCAGCTGTGGGCGTTTTGCGAGGCACACGAGCAGGACCCGGCAAGCTGCCCCCGACCGGACGCGGTGGCCTTTTCGACGGCCATCCACGCCTGGAGCCGCTCGGCGGACGCGGATGCCCCGCACAGGGCCGAGGCACTCTTGCAAAAACTGATCGACCGCAACCAACACTCAGACACCCCGTGCCGCAAAAAGGACAGCCCCGACGTCGTCACCTACACCAACCTGATGCAGTGCTGGATCAAGTCCAAGAAACCGGAAGCCCCGGAAAAGTCGGAGTCCATCCTGAGGGAACTGCAGGCCATGGCCCTCGGCGGGGACAAACGCATGGCCCCGGACGCGGCCTGCTGGAACTCGGTGATTTCGGCCTGGGCCGCGGTGGGAAACGGGGACCGAGCGGAGGCCCTCTTTCTGGAAATGCTCGAGGCCTCGTCCAGGGACGGGGCCGCACGCGGAGCCTCGCCCACTTCCATCACACTGACCAACGTCCTCAAGGCGTGGGTCCGGGACCGATCGCCGGGGGCCTCCGACCGGGCCGTTGCCCTCCTGGAAAAGATGGAGGACTCCTACCGGTCCGGGGCCCTGGACGCGAAACCCAACACGGTGAACTACACGGTGGCGATGGACTGCCTGGCCTACGCCAAGACACCGGCTTCGGCCGAGCGGGYGGAGGCCATGCTCCGCAAGATGGAGGCCTCGGGCGACCCGGGGATGCGCCCCAGCCTGGTGAGCTACAACAGCGCCATCAAGGCCTGGTCGTATTCCGGGGATCCGGAGGCCGCGGGCAGGATCACGGGCCTGCTGCGGGAGCTCATCGATCGATCGGAAGACGATCCCGGCATGAGGCCCAGCGACAACACCTTTGGAACGATCCTCCGGTTCCTGGCCGAAAGCGACCTCCCGGACAAGAAACAGCGGGCAGTGGCCCTCAAAAACCTGATGGACATCTTCCTCGAAAGCGAGCCAAAGCCCTGGGTCAAGCACGAGCTCGAGCGGTGCCTCTCGGCCACCGGCACCGAAGGGTCCACTCCCCTTGGCGGAAGCAATGCCCGAAGCACCCCCGAGCGCGAGATCCCCCCCGGGGTCAAGGATCCCCAGCCGGAACCCCGTGGGATCGCTGCGCCCACCCGGGAGCGCAGAGCGAACAAGCGGTTCCAGAGCGAGATCCGCCACCGGAACCTAGCCAGCCGGCCCGTGTCCGGACCGAAGGAATCCCCGGACACCGGCCTGCGCGATGCTCTCGTGAGGGTCCGGCTCGTCCGCGACACCGCAGCGAGCGCGGGCGACCCGGGCTGCGGCGGTGACCCCCGTCCGGTCACCCTCGTGGTGGTGGACGGGGAGAGCGAGTACTCGTGCTTGCTGGCCGGTGGAGAAACCAACCCTGCCAAGGGGATCAAGGGCGGGCAGTTCCTAGACATTTCGTATTATTGGCACAAGGGCGATCCCGTGGTGGTGGAGGCGAGGGACGCCGTGACCGGGCACGGGATCAAGGTATGAACCCCCGTGGCGATGGGAGGCCAAGGAGGACACMACAATTTTGCGGCCTCCGGGAAACCCCTCTGGTTTCCTGCCCGAAGCTGTGGATCGATCGAGACAACCGAAGAACGAACGAGTCAGTCGAACGACCGCGATTGCACCAACCCGGGGCATCTGAAACGCAGGGTTTGTCCATACCACTTGCGATGGTTTGGATCCGGTCCCGCTGCAAGTCGGTGATGGATGGTGAGCGATTGGTGGCAGGCCAAGCCAACTCGAATCGAATCGAATCGAATCGAATCGAATCACGACGTTCTCCGTTCAAAGGTGGAGAAACCTCTGTTTGGTCTCGCAGGGGTAGTGCACGAATCGTCGGTGCCGCGCATGCATGAATCACCGAGATGCTAGACAGGACTGCATGCGCCCGCTTTTTTGAAGGCATTGCAATGCTATGTACATACCTGAGCTACAACACATACTGAATGCGGACGGCATGTCTCCGCTTGCGTTTCAAGGTGATTGGCAGAAAGCAAAACGTCGGCACGCGTGTGGCACATTTGTAATTTGTTATTCTCTAGTCGATGACGTCCTGAAGGATTTTTTTCGCATTCACATCCTCGGGATACGACCGTTAAAACGCGAGAAGAACCCCGAACCTATCCGTGGATCGAGCTAGCATCTTCGAGAAGACCGATGTGTATGGTCGTGTTACTAGAAAAGGATACCAAAATTTAAGTGAGCGGTTTTACTGTAAATATTTATTGATTTATTAATATTGAATGATACAATGTTTGGCTATCGAACAAATCTTCCTCACTGTCTCTGATTTGAACGACAATAATACGCTAGTCCGTTCTACAAGCAACAGACTGCCGCTATTCGGGAGTGGTGGTGTCGGTGGTAGCAATAGTATCATCTATATAAAAATTGAAGATTTACCAGATGCCGTACCTACTCAACACAAACTTCAAAAGGCAATCCTAAAACTGCAGCCTGTACCAAGAACACGATGTAGAGTAAGAACATAATTCCACCTAACACCTTCGTCAACTTCCACCCTTGACAATGAATAGAAATAATCACCAAGACAATCATGCCTACCAAAATAAGCAATGATACCACAAGTCCGTCCGAGCCAATCTGTCAAAGAAATGAACAAATTTGTCAGAAATTGTGAGGGCTTAATTGTGCTCGCCGACAAAAAGAGAAGTAATGAACGACAGCAATTTTTCACGTCCACAATCTCTTGACTTACTACTACAGGAGTACCCTTATTTGCTGCAGAGTATAAGATCCATGGAAGTGGTAGACCAACAAGAATATCGAAGATGTTGCTACCGACGGATGAGGATACAGCCATGTCTCCTTGCCCACGTCGTGCGACAATGACACTGGAAAGCAAATCAGGGACTGATGTTCCTGCTGCCAATACTGTCAAACCCATCAATTCGTCGGGAATTCCAAACGTGTTTCCGACAATTTCGGCCCAGTCGACCATGAAATAAGAGAAACCACCGATCCAAGCGATTGATAAAAAGAAAGATGCATAACACCATTTTTCATAGCCAGGTCTTTGGACATCGGGAACTGTAAACGTCAAAAGAAATACCAAAGGAAGGCAGATAATATACCACGCCCAATCTCGGGCACCTCCGTCTTTTGGAGGATACAAGTTGTCACAGACTCCTACCATATTTTCCTCGATCTTCTGTAATTGGTGCTCGTACATGATTGACTGCTTGTACCATTCGCTGAATTCATCAAACGTGATTTCGTCTGGAGATCCGTGCTTGTACATTTCAGAAAGAGCAGATTGGACATCTGTATCTGAAACGTGAGGATCGAGGGTGGAAAGCAGCGTCTTCAGCTCGTCTTTATCGAGTGTATTAGATTTGTCGACATCGATTTGATCAAAAACATGTCGAACCTGAGAAAGCATCCGTTCTTCAGATCTAAAGTACCACTCAGTAAATTCTTTGCGACTTATCTACAACCACGAAAAAAAGTGAAGGTAAATGTAAGCGTAGAAAGATGAACAATGAAGAAACTCGCAATCACGCTGGCACACGCAGGGTAGACTCGTATAACCGCTGAAATAAACTCACAACGCCATCTTTGTTAGCATCTAGCTGCACAAAAACTTCTTCCATTTCTTCATGGGTAGCATAACATTCCAACAAGTCAAATAGTTGTCTTAGTTCCTCTCGATCGATTTCTCCATTTCCATCCTTGTCAACCTGTTCAAAGACGTAGTCCGCATCCCCCATGATCTTAGAGACCATTCCGGCACCGGCCGTATCAGCCCACGAGTCAGCGTCTTTGAGAAGTTTCAGAATACCAGCTCGGAAGGTTCCCTGCCACAAAAAATGCGGGTGACTAGCAGTGGATTTATCGCTCCCTCGAAAGCTCGCCTGGCTAATATGGCTGGCAACGCTGTGGACACTACTCTTCGAAGATTGCTTTTGAAGGGAAGATCGCATGCCTCCAGCAGATTTGACGTCTTTTTCCTCATCGGCGCCTTCTTCCTTCTTGTCTTTGTTGTCTGTGTTACCGTTTTGGTCGCCACTGCCCCCGCTACCATTGCTTGCGGTGCGGCCATCGTCGCCGTCTTCGTCGTCCTCATCGGGGTACACAAGCACTTTTCCAGTGATTGCCTTGTACAGGTTTTTGTTCTGCCACATGAGCAAGCAATACCCAAGATACATCCCAAAAAGGACACAGGATTCCCAAAGTTGAATGTTATTCTTCGTGTGAAAGCCAGTGAAGACAGCAAGCACTACGAGTCCCAATGTATAGTAAGTTGTATCCCGAAAGAGTGGCCACCACGTCAAAGTTAAGACGTCCTTAGCGAGCAGGGAACACATCCCGATAACGAATAGAATATTAAAAACGGCAGACCCCACAATGGTACCGAAACCGATCTCGGATTGCCTAAAAGTACCGATGATTGAGGTCGCCAGTTCAGGAGCCGACCCGCCCGCCGCCATTAATGTTGCGCCTATACAAAATATTGATTATGTTGTAGCGAAAAGGTGAATGGATAGAAGCAGCGAAGAGCAAGAGGCTCGTTGAGAAGATGTTTGTGTCTTGTAACTAAAACATCGTATTGCATCGTATCGACCCGAATAGCAGCAGCACAACACGTATACATGTGTTTTTCTAATAGATACATATGCGTATTGACTTACCCGCAACGTCCATACTCATGTTCAACCGGCGAGGACCAGATAGTTCTTCCAAGGCCGGCACAAAGAATTCGTCGCAAATGATGGCGAGCGCAAGAAACATGTAAAGAATTCCAATTATGTAGAACACAGTCATCCACCATGAGTCGGCCTTCTTCAGATCGTCACAAGCAACAAGTGATTCACMGGGAATCGATTGGTCCAGGTTGGTGGCGTTGCTTGCATCTTGTAGCAATCGCATCAATTCATCGTCTGAATCGAAAGAAAAATCATCCTCCGAGAAAGCAGTGGAATAAGCATGATATGCACTGCAACCCAAAATCAGGGCTCCAAATGCCAGTGCTTGAACGGCGGCACGGAGCTGTCCTTTTCCGCGAAGTGTCACTCCGAATGGCGTTTCTATGACCAACGGTTGGCGACAGTTCCGCAAGCAATAATTTCGTTTCTGACAGACATTGTCACTGCCGAATTCAATTTCTGTTTTTTCTGACATTGTTTCTGCACTGGATTTGACCATCGCACAATTCCACTCCCAAAATTGTAACAAGGATAGAGAAGAAAGGTTTGGTTGGTTTTGATCAGTTCGGACCCGATGCGCTCGAAAAGCAAATGGTGCTAGGCAAAGAATTAGTGTCAGCGAGTCGCTGGTTACTATGTGCAGTTATTATTTTCTCAAGTGCTCTTATCAGTTTCGGTATCAAATTTGTTTCTCTTTTTGTTGCCGATGTCGATGTAAAGATGGTTTTTCAAATGCGACTTCACGAGATCGTTCCATTAGTCGTTTTTTTTAAAAGGGTGTTTTGTTAGCGGGAGACATATCAGCTTCGCTGCGAGAGCAAACTATCGCTGTAAATATCCTCGCAGAGCCTTTTTTCAATCTGAGTAAAAACAACGCGGTGCGGCACATTGTTGTCAGTAATCAAAGTTACGGTATTTTGTACGGAGAGAGACCGAAGGTCTTTTTCATAGATTTATTCAGTAGTACGCGTAATTTTATTTTTTATTTTTAAAGACGCGACCGCCCCCAGAAATATTGCGACCTGAAAGGTGGATTATTACTATTCAACGGCTGCGGTCTCGGCTTCAAACGTATGGCCAATCCAACATCGAAAGTGGTCATTCTTATCTTGAAGTAGTGACCCTCGCGGCATAGCTTATTTGAAAATTCCAAACGCTCTCAATGGTACCTTACGAGTGCGTTCGAAACAACATAGAAGCAAGGTGTTGACAAATCCATTGCGCTCTCTTTTAGGGGTCGCGCTTGCCGAACTCGACTCTGATATTACAGCATTTATACGAACCCTCACGTTATATGGATACCGGACGGTACGTACGACTATCGCTGCGTTAAGTTCCGTATTGTACGGTACGAGTGAAACATTCGACTAACCTTGGTACGGTACGGATGTCATCGAACTTCAGTCCTGCATTACGCACCCAAGACCAACTTCATGTGGAAGGGCTACTTATTTCTAGAACCTTCAGAACCAACGCACTCTAATGGTTCATTAGTATTTAGATGGGTGCGCAACGGCATCTGTACTGCGTACTTCTACTAGTAGAAAAATAGAAAACTCATATTCCCTGGCTTTTTTCAATCTCATTTTTTCTAGCACTACTACTAGTACTACTAGCTAGCACTACTAGTACTAGTACTACTAATGCATAAAAATAGTAAAACTTTCCAACTTGGTCAGCAGAAGCATGTCCTCAACAAGAGGAATATTACACCAGCAAAAATAATCATAGCAAGAATACAAAGCTCCTCCTCCTACTACAACTGCAATGCCAGGTGGTGCAATGTCCTTCTTCTTGGCAAGCCTACTAGTACTACTAACTGCACCATTTTGGGCTGCACAGCAGTTTAGTGCGGGAGACCCCCTCCTTTTGGACATGTTCATACTAGTATTGGTAGGTAAAGGGATTGTTGCAGATGACATACTGATGCTGAATAGTACTCCCGTTGGTGACCATGTCACAAAAAGTGTTTGGAACCCCTCATATCCTGCATATCCTTGGGACTTTTTTTTAAACATACATGCCCCCCCTTTTTAAAAATCACAGAAATGTTCCCACATGTTTCTGTTGGTTTTGGTCACACTTATGCCAACAGCAATCATGTTTGGTGGCCGCATCCATACCTTCATGTTATATTATCACCATGATACAGATTGCTCCACATTGTTGTATCACAATTCAAACGAGACAGAAAGTTCATTTGATGGGTACATGAAGCAAAAATATTCCAGGTCAAGAAAATTGTTGTTTCTGTCCCATCAACAGAAGAGGCAAGATGCTTATGCTTCTCACTAGTAGTGCCCAATATATTGATACTCAATGCCCAGGCATTAAATTTTTGTTAATCTAAATTACTAGCATTGCTGGTAGCACACCATATGTCAATTTTTCAGCACTACTTTTGCCATTCTGGCATCCAATCCACCTCACAAAATCCTCAAAACATGGAATGAGTGTAATTCCATCACATGAGGAAAATTAGGTAGCCCTATCCAACATACTACTACTAAATCATGAACTAAAACATTTGTTCAGCCAGGGAGCGGTGTTTTTTGCAYTATTTTGGCCATTCTGGCACAAAAAACATCTTAAGTCAATAATCCATAAAATATGGCCCACCATGCACCACCAGCCCTATTTAACATATATCATGAACTAAAACATTTGGTCAGCTTGCCAAGGAATCATTCCAAATATGGTGGATCAGGACTGGCTTTTTGCATTATTTTGGACATTTTGGCACACAATACATCCTGAGCCAAGAATCCAGAAATCATCATGATATTAGTGTGATTCCAGGAGTACATGAATTTGTAGCCCATGCACCCCCCCCTTCCAATAAATAACAACCAACAAACAATTGTTTGAATGGCTGGAGAACCTTACCAGAAAATATGTATGTGAGACTTTTTTGCACCATTTTGGCCATAATGGCACACATTCCACCCCCCAGAATGACCCTCCAAACATGAACTTAGTATGATTCTACCACATGAATCTGTGGCCTACTATGCACCCCCTTCCAACATGCAACATGATATTGTAACTTACAAGCAATTGGTCAAATGGGTCCTACTGGTACTACTAGCAGGACTTGTTGTTCTTACTACTAGTACTACTATGATTGTTGTTTCTTCTAGTACTACTAGTAGTACTATTACTAGTAGTACTAGTGGTACTACTACTACTAGTACTAGTAGTAGTAGTAGTAGTAGTAGTAACATGATTAACAATGACTTCAATACCTAACATCTTCTTGCTAGGTTCTCCTCTGCTAACCAAAATGACTCTAAATTTGCAAAATTCATGGGTTATTTGTGGATTATTTCACACATTTTGAAATCATGTCGTGTCTAAAACTTGGGTTATTTTTCACCAAAAATAATTTTTCTAGGGGAGGAATTCAAATTCAAAAAGGGGGTTGCGCGCGTGGGTTCCGGAGGGGCCAGAAACCCGTTTGGTGAGTGGATGGTTCGAAAAAGGCTCATTGCGCTAAGGCGAAAAGGCCTAGCTTGTTTCTTGCGTGACTCGACTCATTTGTGATATTAAAAGTATGAAGTATTTCCTTTTATCATTTTCTAGTAGAAGTACGTACGGTAGCTCCCCTGCGGTACTCAGCCGAAACCGCTAGAAACGCTACAGAAGCGAAAATAGACGATTCCGAGCAGCAGGTGATTGAAGGACATCTTTCATCAGTGATAATTTATTGATGCCGTCCTTCTTTAATGTAGGGTGACACAAGGTTGAGCACATCTCACAAACAACAACAGTTCAAAAAAATGGTAGACCCCATCCCCGAAAAAGTTAAGAACTCCCTCAGCGAGCTTACTCCCGCTCAGCAGGTTATCCTACGCGGGTACATCGGAAGCTTGAGGGCGGCGTTGAACGACAAGGACGGGGAAATCCGTGCGTTGAAAGACGACGACCCAAACGCTCATTACCACGGAGATCACAGGTGCACMGAGGACCAGTAAGTATTCTTGCTTTGTGTGATGTATAGCATATTGGTGGGCACCGGGCATTGGTCTCTTGTTAGTAAAGGATCGCTTTTACACTATCTTCAACTGATCATTTGATGTACTTTCTCTAAAATACGAAAATTCTGCATTTGCAAGTGGGGATAATGCACACGACGATGGACATGATCACGGAAAGTGCGATCACGATCACGGACATGGACACGACCATGGAAAAGAAAAGGAACACGAGCACGGGCATGATCATGGAAAGTGCAATCACGACCACGGTCATGGACACGACCACGGAAAAGAAAAAGAACACGACCACGGAAAGTGTGAGCACGAACACGGGCATGGACATGACCATGGAAAAGAAAAACCCAAGGAACACGGACACGATCACGGGCACGACCACGGAAAAGAAGAGTGTGGGGGACACGATCACGGAGGGTACGTACGGTTGGAAATATATTTTGCCTTGTTTTGAATGCAATTTTTGGACGGAAGGAAGCTTTTGTTTTATGAAAGCGACACAGGTCAGACTCACGGTGTGCTTCTTTCGTTTTTCTTCTCTCTTGTTTCGTAGCCATGAGCACGGCCATGATCACAAGCCCGAACCATCGAAAGAGAGTGGCCATGATCATAGCCATGGACATGGACAGTACGTATTCATTCAATCAGGGTTTGCTTTTTTTTTAAAATTATTTGCTGACGATACATTTGATGTTGTTCCGTCCTTGTCCTTGTCCTTATCCTTGTTCTTCATAGTGGATGCGATCACAAAGAGGCCGAACACGACCATCAGTAAGTAACAGTAATACTTCCGAACTGGACAGAGGTTTGTCCTTGTTTCGTTGTTTTGTCTGTTTTGAATCTTAATCGTAAATAAAATGTTCTAATTGAAATTTCTACTTTTCTTTCCGACGCAGTGACCATGGACACAATCACAACAAGGAAGAACCTGCAAATCCCATGGAGCTCGACTGGAATGTTTCGAAATAGACGACAGCAAAGTGCCAACCATATATTTGGATGACAATTAATGCTTCCTTGACCCCATTTATTTTCAATTCAGAGGTGATCAACAGTCTCCCGAGACCGGACATTCGATTCAATACTGTCTATGTCCTTCTACCTGTTTGGAATTGGTGAGGTCGACTGGATTGGGAAGGAGATGTTAAAACTTGTCAACTTCGAACTTGAGCTGGTCGTTTTTGTTGTTTGCTGAGATAAATAAAATATAAGCGATGAAGTTGGGAATGCTGAATCCAAAGTAGAGAACGAAGAGTCACGATAGAAATTTACAAGTTGCATAGTACCTTACGTTAATTCACCAGTGGGTTAGTGTTAGGATTGGGCTAGACTCCATGACGAGCGTTAAGCACTGCAATGTGGACTATCGAGACATGATATCGTATCTACCGTAGATATGTACCATACATACGTGTAGTAGTCGTCACAATGATTCGCCCGTCAAACATCGAAACTTTAGCGCGTTTATTGATGGTCGATACCAGTAGAGAATACAGAGAAGGCGACATTATTTTTGAAAACTGAAGCGTAGAACGACACGTAGATGCACAAAGGAGTGATTAAAAATTCAGCACGAAAACTTGTTGCACGAGAACAATGAGTAACCTCTCATAAAAATGAGAAAGGTTCAGAAAAATGAGAGGGAACGGAGAAGTGATCGAGTTGTAATAGAAAAGGGAACAAAAGGAAACGACATTTGCTTTTCTAGAATTATAATTCACTGGACGAAATACTCCTCGATTCGATTTTCTAGATTTGACTAGTTGTTGGGTTGTAACTCCGAAAAGAGGAAGTCGGCGAGAATGGAGAGCAAACAAGATGATGGGCGTGACGGTGAGCACCGAAGTACGCCCACGGAAGTTGTCATACCGGGAGAAAATGTCGTGGTTGACCATTGGATAGTGAGTTCAGGGTCTTTTGTTCGCAAAGGAGAAATAATCGCACGTGTCTGCAAACGAAGCGATAGCAGCACATGTGCCACTTCTGTGGGTGCAACGGCAGTTGTTGCCCCCAAACACAAACGACCTAGTCGACGCAAAAAGAAGCCAAAACAAGGAATCCTACCTGAGAAGGTTGRCAACCAAATCCAGCAACCAAGTAATGATTTGTCAACGTCATTGCAGACACCAAAATCAAAAGCCATGAGTTTAAAGGGACTACTGGCTGCTAAAAGTAATCAAAAGCACGAGGAGCTATCAACGAAAACCAAACCGATTGAAAATGAATTGGAATCAGCATCCCAAAAAACGAAATCCGTTGCTCCTTTGAGTTCCAATGTGGTAGTTGCTAAGAAGGAAAATAAACCCATTCATGCTCCAGCAACTGGGATTCTCCGAATTTTTTCCAATATCACACAATGCCAAGAACAAAATCGACAACGAAGACTCGTCATAGGGGTCATTGAGGAATGTCAGCATCCAACATATGTTGACGGAATGTGCGTTGTGTGTGGCGCGCGAAGGGTTTCGACGAAAGAAGATCAAAACCCTCAAACACTATCTAATAGCAAAAACTCAGAAAAGACATCTCAGGTGACGGTATCCGGAGGTGTAACGATGGTGGTATCTCAACGAGAAAGTGAGAGCATGGCTTTATTAGATTCTAAGCGACTCTTTGGGCAAAGACGACTCTCTCTTGTATTAGATTTAGATCATACTCTAGTGCATGCCACATCGGACATAAGAGCCAGGAAATATCTTACCTCTGATCCAAAAGCTGAACACCACGGTGATGTCCGAACCATTAGCTTGCCAATGTTCGAAGGCGCCGACCCTTCCAAGAAAAAAGGAATGGATCCTCAACACGCCCATTTACGGTCGCAGCATTTCGTCAAATTGAGACCCTACGTTAAAGAATTTTTGGAAGGGGTTCAAGATACGTACGAAGTTTCAGTATACACTGCGGGTACCCGTCAGTACGCAGAAGAGATCGCTATGGTCCTTTGTCGAAAACTGGCAGGTTCAACTATCGATTCGGATGAATTGGAACATTTGCGTTACAATGTTAAGATTGCCGAGAACGAACTTGCTAGAAGCTTGAAAGCTGAGAATAAACGAACAATGAATCAAGTTCTTCCAGTGAATGAAAATACCAGTGCAGATATTGTGGGGGACAAGACTAAGGAAGGGCCCCCAAGGAAGAAGAAAAAAGTTTCGTTTCAAACGAGCGAAGCTGTGGACAACAAAGGGGGCTCAGAAAATCACCAACCCATGACAAAAGAAAAGCTCGCATGTATGCGATCAGAATTGCTTTCTGCAGAAAATCTTGAGGCGAAAGCAAAAGATTTGAGACAAAAGCTCTTTGGTAGTCGCATTGTTTCTCGAACAGATGTGGGTGATTTGGGACGAGATGTCAAAAGTTTAAAACGGATATTTCCATGCGGGGGAACTATGACAGCGGTTGTCGATGATCGGGAAGACGTTTGGGCAAACGCAAAAGACAACAGCGATTCAACAATCAAAGGAGAACCGCCAGATAATTTACTTTTGGTTCGGGCATACCATTGGCAACCGTTTGTTGGCTTCGCAGATATAAATAATGCCGCCGGTGCAGACCTCTCTGGTTCTGCGCCCACGAAAAGTGATGAGCAATTACTCTGGACAAAGAACATCCTGGAGAACTTGCATCGACGATATTACAAACAGAGCTCTGAGGGCAGCCAAAAGACTGTTCCAGAAACGTTAAAAGAAATGCGAAAAGAGGTCCTTATGGGTTCAAACATGGTATTGAGCGGATTGGTACCTTTACACAAGCAATCTTTTGGTGCAAGCGCCGTAAGACCGCACTTCATTCGTTACGCTCAAAACTTGGGTGCGAAGGTAAGGAAGAAAACCAGTCGTGTGTAGGAATGTTTGCAATCTAGCAATTTACTTGAAATAAAAATATCTCACGACATTCCCATTCTTTATCACTTTGTGATGCAATTGTTACAACTTTAGATACAAGATGTAGTTGGCTGCAGGGTCACGCACGTTGTTGCTGCAAAAGATGGTACCGACAAAGCACTAGCAGCAAGAAAAATACCTGGGTGTAAGCTAGTAAAGTCAGCTTGGCTTATGGAATGCGTCTGGAGTATGACTCGGCGTAATGCAACTCCGTTTTTGATGCACACAGTAACACCGGGCGTGGCAAAAAATATTGTGCAACCTGTGCAGAAAATTCTGAGAGAATCCAATATTGACAATTCCAGTGAAGCAAGCACAAACAATAGTGACGACGATTACGATGTTTTTGCCGCAGAATTAGAAAAAGAACTATTGAATGCAAACTAGTGGGGTAAAATGGAGTTGTTCGAAGTTTCGATTCTTGGTCCTGATAAGAACAACGTACTTAATGCTGCTTCCGAAGAAGATAATCCAGTAACTTTTCGATTCAATTTAAAAATAGTAGACCGCGGAAAAAAATAACAATATCTTTTCATCTCGTAATCAATCTGACCCATAGTGCCCTTCATATCTTCAATAAAGACGAATGAAAAAACAGAAAGACAAAAATGATAGCTTGACAACACAAATGKTGCGATTGTACAGTGTACTCCCGCATATGAATGCCCACTTAAATTTTTAAGCTCTTCAAACTGAAATATAGTGTAGAATGAGTGTTCATCCATTATGAAACGCAAACACTGTCAAGATCTCATATTACTGGCTTGATTGATCAATTAACTTCGTCGTAATGTTATAAAACATCCTGCGAATGTTGAAACCGGCTTTTCCTGACGTTTCAATGTATTGGAGCTTTAAAGCATGAATTCGAATGCCAAGAAGCAAGCATGGTAAGGTCGATGGTCTGGGTGCAACAAGTGATGATTCAGAGAAATTCAAATGAAAAAACTGAGACTCACGATATTATTGTTCGGTGCTTCTTTTCTCTGCAACTCGTTAAGCTTTTCGTCTATTTCTTGCTGCGTAAAGCAACGTTGGCTAAGAGGTAAATCGCACTTGGTTCCGACGATGAAAATCCATACTTCGTCTTGTTCGCGAAGCTCTGAAACTTCAGTGACCCATTTCTCGATCGAATCGTATTGCCCACGAGTTGTGACGTCAAATGCTATGATGGCAATATGGCAATCTCGTATATAGGAAGGAATGCTCGATTTGAATCTTTCTTGGCCAGATGTATCCCATACTTGGAGACGAATATCTTTTTGACCGGGCGTGCATATTGTTTTGGTGAACAAATCGACACCGAGTGTCGCCTCGTACTCCTTCGAAAATTTGTCATCCACAGCACGGCGGATAATAGATGTCTTTCCGGATGATTCGTCGCCAAGAATCACCACTTTGAATTTTTCTGTCCCCACGTCTTTTGATGTTGGAGTTATCAACGATCGTGTACTCATGTTAAGCTGATCGGTTGTTTATTGTTTCGTTTGTGTGTTGGTGAAGTCTTAATCGGTCGGGCAGGTGTTGGCAAGCGATTTGCTTTAAAGACAATGAAAATAAGCTGAACGGAACTAAAGTACCAGTACGTACGTACTGTACCAAAGCGGGTGAAAAGAAGGAACAAAAAATTAAATGTTTTACAAGCTTGTCCCGGCCTCGTTGTGCGTGTCACCAGTACGAAGCTGTACGAGTACTCAGAAAGTCAGTCGAACACCTGCCTTTTTTGTCCAATACAATTCGGCACGTTTCCTAGTCGAAAATGGGACTAATTATGTCCCTTGTCTATCACTTGTGACCCCTTTCCATTTTTTTCGAACAAGAAATCGATCATCTTGACGTCCTCGAAATCAGGAAGAGAGGTGTTAAGAGGAACTGTTACGCAAACGACAAAAACAAGTGACAGTCAACCGTCCAGCGCTACGAAACTCTGCAAGTCCGCATTAAACAGGATTTTAATCAGAAATTAATCCATCACCATCATGTCGTCCTTTGGAAGTTGGTACGATGAACAAAAAGCGGCAGAAAACGGAGGCGCGTCGAATTCCAATTGGTTCTCTATCGATACAGATGAGGTCTTGCCCCTATTCAATGCCGAAAACCTTCAAGGATTTTCTTTTGAAAACATGAAGCAAACTATGGAGGGACAAATGCCAAAGAAGATTCTTGGAATGGGATACCAACAACGATTTAAGGTATGCTGACATAGCAAACATCAGATATGCCGAATATTTGTGGATGCCCTGTATGATTCTGTTTCAGTCCTGTCCGTGTGTATGTTTGTGTTTTTCGGCTCCAAGTCGGCAAGATTGTACCTGACTGACGTGATTCGCTTTATCTTTTTACAATCGTGAAATAATAAGGTGTTCTGCGCCCTTTTATTCCTGTCGGGTCTCTTTTTCGCATTGGCCTTTTTCGTTGGAGTTCCAATGCTGGCCTTGAAACCACAAAAGTTTGCTCTTAGTTTCACGTGCGGATCGATCACCTTTATGGGGAGCTTTGGAATCATGAAAGGCCCATACGAGCACCTTATCAGCATGTGCACTATGGAACGAATGCCGTTCACAATAATATATCTTGGAAGTATGATGACGACTCTGTATCTCACCTGTACCAAAGGCGGAATGAAGGGATACGCTCTAGTTCTAATATCTTCTGGTGAGTTCGATTCAGAAAACCGTGATTTAGAGATAACATGAAGTAGAGTGATGCTGGTCACAAAGCAATACGCGCGATTCAAATATCAGCTGTACGTCAATATCCTCTTCTGACCGTCACTTTCTGCCTCGCGCTACTCTTGATCCGTAACACAACGAACATTTTTTTCAGGAGTGCAACTTGTTTCATTGCTTTGGTATCTAGTGAGCTTTTTGCCGGGGGGAACGTTGGGCCTGCAAATGGTTGCCAGAGCTATTTGCACTATGTTAAAACCAGTATTTTCTGCTTGTTTTAGATTCCAGACAATGTGCATCGCAAGTTGTGTCAAGTATTGTGCGCGATCTTCATCGTGACAAGGAAAATCGAAATGAAGCTGGCAGATGACTACTGGATGAGGAAAAATTTCATTTTGAAGTTGCATTTGATACTGTGAACGTACTGTTTAAAGCGCCAAAAAGATGTACTTTGGGCGAGTTGCATGTTGAACAACACACCTGTCGAAGAGCATTCAGTATTGCTACCACTAGTCTTATTCGGATCAAAAAGTGGATGGGTGGGTGGGAACGAATAAAAATAATTCGAGGCATATGGTATTGCTCGATGCATGGATGCAACGAACAAATGTCGCCTCTGTATCTAAGAACAGATGCATTCATGTTTCAAGACACAAAAGTGAATTTTAAATTTTTCCTGTTTTCGTTCTACAACTTTCATAGTACCTGGAGATAAAATGATCGCTTTGCATTTCAAAACGTCCAATCGCACAGTTAATTCACCCAGACTGATTGAAGCAATTACTGGATTTCCTTCTTCAACTGAAATGTCACAAACGTAGACGCAGAAATAGACTACATCGTAGTCTGACGAAGTCAAGAAAATGTCCGAAGGGATGAAACAAAATGTTGATTTTCGCGTAATCATCCCGAATTCCACATCTACCAAAAAGGACTCGGCGGTAAAATCATATACGCAATTTCAGTGGTTTCGAGCAGACAAGAGCTAGATCAGTTTCACAGGTAATAGACGAAACTATCCGTCTGATTCGTTCGCCACGACTGGATGTTATTGTTTTCCAAAATAAGCTTCTTGGTACACTTTGGAAAATTCTTATTCCCAATACGAGAATGAATGCTTTCAATTGGTACTAGATTAGATTGTTCGCATTGGCGATGATTTTAATTTACAAAGAAATTATTTTTCTAGAAAATGTGCGATGTGTAGCAGAGTTTGAAAAGTTGTGACCGCATCAGGTTTGTGATCATTTATTTCTCTGCAGCAGCTAGTTGTTCTCGCATAGCATCGATGGTTTCTTTGTAAGCTTCGACAGTACGAGGTTCCTTGAGGATAGCAGATCCGGCAACCATCATGTCAACTCCAGCCTCGGCGACTTCCTTGATGTTGTCAACCTTGACTCCTCCATCAATTTCCAAACGGCAGTCGAGATTGTTGTCGTCGATCAATTTTCGGGCTTCTCGGGCCTTATCGAGGACGGCAGGGATGAAGGCTTGTCCTCCGAATCCAGGGTTGACAGACATGAGAAGGATGATGTCAAGCTTGTCCATGACGTACTTCGCAGCATCGAGAGAAGTAGCAGGGTTGAAAACAAGTCCAGCCTTGCAGCCTCCGTTCTTGATCAACTGAAGGGATCGGTCAACATGCGAGGTGGCCTCAGGGTGGAAGGTGATATAAGAAGCTCCGGCTGAGATGAACTCATTAATAGATTCGTCGACAGGGGAGACCATGAGATGGACATCAATGGGGGCAGTAACACCGTGATCACGAAGGGCCTTGCAAACCATAGGTCCAATAGTCAAGTTAGGGACGTAGTGGTTGTCCATGACGTCGAAGTGGACAACATCAGCTCCGGCTTCCAACACATTGTCGACTTCTTCACCAAGTCTGGCGAAATCAGCAGAAAGGATCGAAGGAGCGATCAAATAGTCCTTGTCTCCCCAAACATTCAAGGCAGTAGTGGAACGAGTGGTAGCCGCAGGCTGAATTTTTCAGATTATGAGATATTCGTCGATCGTGTTGAGAACGGACAGAGCATGGTAAGAGAGATGCTGCAACACATGTTTCAGGCAATGGCCAAACAGTTTGTTTCCCGCTGCAATGACTTTTATTACTTGAAAAACTTACGGCGAAGGCACTAGAAGTGGCGACGGTGGCGGCAAGGGTCAAGAGACTGAACTTCATTTTTAAATTTTTGTTCTTTGATCAAAAGATGGAAATGTTGTTATGTCATCGTCACGCATATTGGCGGGTCGAAAGGAAGTTGAGAAATTACCCTCAGCGCTCGCAAAGTATTTTCTATCCCGCTGTCGTCCTCAGATCGAAGTCGTCACCCTTTCTGAAAARATGGAATACCATACGTACCGTACGGTACAAGAAGAGACATGATTCTACATCGTTGCGCGTAATGAACAAGGTGTTCTCAGCGCTGACGCCGCTGACGTACTTTCGTGCAGTCTACGTTTAGTCACGAATTGTGAATCACGACGACAATTCGAATCTTTTTGACAAACTTCAGTCTCTCGAATCTAGCCGGCGATGATGATACCAACAAATTCGTACCAAACCGGTAAATCTATGAGAAACAGTAAGGATAGAAATGAACACAAGAGTTCTAGAAGTATTTGCTAAATTTTTGTCGTTCGATTGCAATGAAAAGAAGAGAATCGATGATTGTCATTTATTATTAGTCGTACCTCGATTTTCTATCGGGTGTCAGGGCCTTGTATTCGCTCACATCAACTTCACTAAATTTTATGTTTGCATGAGTTTTCAATTTCCTTTGGAGATAACGCTGACGTTCCATGGAGGCCCAAAATGGTATTTTATCAAACTCGTAATATGGCACACGAACCACTGTCCAACCCTGTTGTTTCAGTAACCGGTATTTGAGGACAGTGTGACCAAGAGCACGGGGAGTATTTGGACGAGGTGGCAGACCACTGGGTTCTTGTGGTTCAGTGCGGACCCGAGTGAAGTGGTTTGGACCATCGAATTCAATTGCGACCGACACATGGTCTGTTGCATTCGGTGCCGCCTCCGATGAGGTATCTTTGTCCATATCAGTTTCATGAACCCACATCGCATCAGGCTGAAGGATGATTGCCACATCAATGTCCTCCTCGTGCTCGTTGATGTGGCTAACCCCCATCAACTCAAGCGTAGAGCTAAGAGATTTATGCCTAGCGCTACTTAACTTGAAACGGGCTTTTTCAAGAGACCACTTTTCTTTCAAATATGATGCAAACCACTCAGGAACCCGTCTTACTGCTTCAGGGCAATCTTTCTGTAACATGAAATAAGCTTGCCATAGTTGATGAGCATGCTCGAGCTGCATACTTTTGTTTTCTTTGCAGTGGCGAGCAGCTTCCTCAAAAATGAGGTCAATCAATAAAATTGCCTCAGTCGAATCGTATTTTTCCAATATCACCAACGACCATACAATGTTCGCTTGCTCCTGGGGCCCTATTTTGGATTTCTCAAAAGAACCACTGTTATTACGCAACGTGTCAAGAAAGAATAAAGGAGCATCTTCGGTGAATTCAGCAAACTCATTTCCCTCTTTCTCCGTCAAGTATAGGCGTGCCTGAGCCCAGAGTAAAATACTAGTCTCCCATGGATGGAAGGTTCGGCGATCCTCTCCCATGGGTACGATTCTATTTGAGGTTGTTTTCTTCGTTGATAGCGACGTTGTTAGAGACGATGCATTGTAGTTCGAAGACGCTCCTTCCATCAGACGATGAATACCTTCTGAATATATTGCATGAAGTAAAGGCCTTTCATCAATCCGTGCATGTGCCAACGCTACTGAGGTTTGAACGAGATCTGCACACGACCATCTTTGCAGCGGGCGTCCCCTAGCAAAACTTGAACCTTTCTTTGCTCCCAACTGAAGATTCGTGGTCAGCGATTCTACTAAGAAGACCAAATCATCTGCTAATCGGAAATTATCTGATTGTAAGGTCCCCAAAGACCACAACAGTTGTGTGATATCTCGAACTAAGAACCTCTGGTAGTTGCCATTGTTCGCAATAGTGCCATCCTCCTTCAGACGCTCTGAGGCCTCTTGGGCAACGCTTTTCAATAGCATTTCTGATTCGGGACTTCTGCATCTACCATGAGAAGCAAAAGCCCACCCAACATTTGCAAGTTCGCTCCACGTGCAATCCTCTAATAATTTTGACTCATCCAAATCATTATTATTGACACTTTGACACAGAGCGTATCCCATAGCATCAAATAACAAACCAGTTTCTGAAACATCTTTGCTCCCGTCATCACTGTCATCGCTTCCGAGATTGTTCGAAGCAGCAGAATCTTTGTTAAGTGTTCCCAATTGCTCGGTTTTCCAGTCTGCAACAATCGAATCTTGAGTCTTGACTGATCCCATTTGCGGAGGTCCTGGCCATCCAGGAGGAATTTCTCGAGGTCTCAATTTTCCGTACGCCCAACAAGCCATACATATCTCTCCTAACTTAATCTTTGGCTGTTGAAATGTGCTCTTGATTGCAGTGCTGTCATCATTGTCTTCATTGAAGAGAATCGTAGTTAATTGTTTCGCAATCTCGTCGATGGTTTCTTCAAGGCGCCTCTGTGGGGAATCCGAATCTTCGTTCTTCCCTTGTGACAAGAGTAGATCTTGGTCGCGATCGACATGTTTGGCAATCGCCCAAACCACGTTGCACAATTGGCGAGGAGTAAATAATCCTTCGGCTCGATGGACTACCACCAATCCGTGCAAAATATCAAACGTTTCCTGGAGACTATTGCGAAATTCAATATTTTTCCCCACATGGCCTACCCTCTGGTATCCCAGGGCCTTCGCGCTGTAGGTCAAGGCGCATACGAGATTGACAGAATTACAAAACTCGGGCGGAGTTTGTAAGAGTGTGTCCAAAACAAGTTTGGCACGAGAGTGAGAGTCATTGTGAGTCGATGGCATTACTTCATTAAATGCCTTCTGAATTCGACCCTGGGTCCGTTTAGACGACTTGTAGCCAGCTCTCCACGCTACACCCGCTGGGCTTGTATCACGAACTTTTTTATTTCTGTTGCTTTTTTTGGTTGTAGCTGCACTCCTGGCTGACTCCTCATTTATACTTTTCTTCGTCTTTGTCTTGACAACTTTAATACTTTTTTCGGGCTTGTCTTGGTCTACCGTATTCAACGAAGCGCGACCTTCAAAAATATCAGATAATTTCGGTATGGATCCGTGGAGTTTTAATGAATCGGAGTCATTATCTCCCCTTCCTACATCTGATGAAATAGCTTTCGGGACTGAGTTCTTTCTAGTCGGAATAGTGCGTATCTTTTTCTTGTTTGATCGTCGTTTCCGTACTTTCCGCTGACTACTCTTGTTATTAACACCGACAGATTTAATGTCTTCTGGCATGGAAGGAAATGATGATGACAAATCGTTGTCATCTTTGGACGCCGCTACAATTGCCGCCAATCTACTTCTTACTCGCTTGGATTGAAAGGCACTGATGTCAAGATTATTTGTGAAACCGGTAGTTCCAGCAGTTGTCGTCGTTGGTACAAGGGCATCGACTATCGCAGTCGATGATGACGTCGCTGCCATCATTGTCGTCAGGACGAGGAATGCAGCAGGCGTGAGCATCGTCTTTTTTTTTCTTTCGCAATTCATAGCTTTACAGCGGTTGGTTTTCGTCGTCGTCGTCGTCGTCGTCTTCGTCTATTTTGKGTAGGGGAACGTTGGAAGAGAATTCGTTGTCTTCGATGCACCGAAGACTGTTTCTCTTTCTTTTGGTTTCTGTGTAAGGTCGTAGTTGATCAAGGAGGTAAATTGTCGGGTAGAATTTAAACGCCAATGAAAAACTTTTGTGCCTTGCTTGGAGTTGTGAAAAGGATACAGAGCATGAATTGTATTCCGATACAAAACCAAAGGATACTCTGCTATTACCTGAGAAGAATATTTGCGGAGTTGATGTTGGATGTGTTCTGAGAGAAAAAGAAATCTGGAATACCGTACGATGGCGGTAATGACGTTGTTCCCACCACAGAAGGGTGTTTTGGGGGTTGCGAATCGAATAACGTTTTGTGCGACAAAACTTCACCAACAAGCTGCCGATCTTGCGAATTCAACTTGTCGGTCTTTTCGTATTCTACTTCCCCCCAATCTCCTCCCCCAATACAAGGAATAAACAACTGAGAACTACTAGTACTTCTACCACCAATACTACAAGTACTAGTAGTATGACAACTAGTTCTTTCTTGGAAGATCACCAGCAGCAGTAATGGAAGAATCAGTATCAGTGGTATTAGTGGTAGTAGTACTAGTAGTACTAGTAGTAGTACTAGTAGTACTAGTAGTAGTACTAGTAGTACTAGTAGTAAAAAAAAAAAAAAATCTAAATATTAGTATTTTTAACCTCGTGAACTAGAAGAGGCACTATATGGCCAGAACCACCGCTTTCGTTAGAAAGAATGCTCCTAGCTGCTCCAAGGGGCGGCACTTCCCTCCAAGAAGGAGTGTGAGTGGAAGTGCGACCAGGGGTTTGTTTCACTGCTGGAATTAAAAGTATTGACTGAGCTTGGTGGTTTGAAGTAAACTGGAAGAATTGACAGGAGGAGCCAAAGAAGTCTCTGGCACGACAAGTTGTTTGTGTCGCTTCTTTTTGGAGTAGGCGTCAAAGACCAGTGAATCTTGTGTGACGCTCTCTGGTGGTTGCTTACTAGTAGTATGTGGCAATGATGTAAAGTACTGGGTAATTGGGAGGGTGTTCTTGGAGACAGAGGCAAGTGTTGCGTAGTAGTAGGAGGAGGAGGAGGAGGAGGAGGAGGAGGAGGAGTGCAAGAAGTACTACTAGTAGTACTAGTAGTAGTAGTATCAGCACCACCACCTAGTAGTACTAGTAGTACTAGTAATACTAGCTTAGCACTGCAAAGAAGAAGAACTGTACGTACCGTACTCCAATGTTGTACAGACTAGCTTACGTACCATACCTGCCGTAACGTAAAAGTACGTACGTACCCTACCGTAATTCTTTTCCAAATTGTCATTTTCCATCTGACCAGCGGCGTACAGACTTCCAGGTGTTGAGCAATTGCGTAGTATCGAAACCAGAACTCAATGATGATGCACCGCGTGTAGTTTGAGTAATAGCCGTACCGGTACTACCGTACTGTACTAACTGTGATGTATGATATTGTCCGGTGAGTGCTTGTATCGTAAGAAACCGTACGTTACGGTAAGTACGGTASGGTACGTACTTGTTCCTATTGAGATTTTGCATCATAATTGGGGGTCCGGTCCGTCAGTCCTACTATGTACGGTACGTACCTGTACAGGAATCAAAATCAAAATGACAAGCCAATTTTTTGGATTTTGTTGCTGCACGTCCCCTTTGTCAACGTGACGGATTGTCGAAGTGTTCAGAAGTGTCGGTAGAAGCCATCAAAGTATTTGAAGAAGACGAGGTACAGAAGGCAATCGAACCTCCAGCGAGAAAAGAGTTCTAATAAATTCCAGAACTGAAGGTGCAATTATTCACTACGATGATGATGCGAATTACAACAGTCGTGGGCCTGTCTACGGCATGGTTTCTTTGTTATGTTGCTAACATCGGTTCCAGTGTGAGCGCTACGAGGGCTTTTCACGGACAATCGCACTCTTTTGGGGTTCTTTCCTCGTCAATGGGAAAGATAATTCATCCTCCTTTTCTACGGGCATGTACTTCACGAGCTCTTCTGAATACCAGAGGAGGAGCGGATGATTCTGATGACGAGGAAGAATATTCAGAAGAAGATTCGTATGACGAGGAAGACGAATCAGACGACGAGGATCTTTTCGATGGATTCGATTTGGATGAACACAGCAGCGATGATTTTAAGGAAGACAACAAGTTTGACCAAATTGTTGAAGAATACCACAGGACTCCCCCCATAACGAAGGCGTACTTGACATCGTCGTTCGCTGTTACAGCTTTGGGCTATGTTATGACGAACAATGAATTCCCACCTATTCTGACTCTAGATTGGAACAAAGTTTTCAAGGGTGGTCAGATCTGGAGACCTTTCACAGCTTTTTTGAACCTCGGTTCCCTTGGTCTCATTGGATATCCGATGACTATTCACTTTGTACACCAGTACATGAGTTTCCTTGAACGACTCGCACACAACAAACCCTACGACTTTTGGATTATGATACTTTTCGGTATGACATCAATGCTTGTTGGATATCCTATCATGAAAATGAGCCCTCGATTTTTGGGGCACAATCTGTCAACATTCTTAGTTTACATCTGGAGTCGTATGTTTGAGGGAGTTGACGTTGGCGTGTTCGAATTCATACACATCAAAGCAGAACTCTTACCGTGGTTCCTTTTGGCGCAGGTAAGAAGATCAGCTCGGATTTCTTTTTGAATTTTTGCGTAAAATCATCAAAACCTGATTCTTTCMTTTTTTCTCGTTATGTAGACATTTCTGCTCGAGGGAGAGCCTCCAACACTAGATTTTCTCGGAATCGTTTTCGGGCATGTCTACTACCATTTCAGAAAAGTTGGAATGTTAAGTGCTCCCCAATGGCTGATAGACTGGTATGACAATAGTCCAAAGGCCGAGATACTTCGAAAGAAGTACAAGACGATATCTTCTGATTTTGGAGTATGATGTAGCAATAAGATTATAATCTTGTTGTTTAGAGCTTCGCTTGACTTCTCTACGACAAATCAACTGCGGGTTTTTCTTTTAGTAGATAGCAATGGAGAGAAAATGATGTTACAGTCGTCGTTGTTTAAACAAAGGAGTCTCCAATTCAGATGTTTGCAGGGATATCATTCCGCTTACAGTCACCGATTCGTCAGTCATATACCGACTTGAAGGAGACATTGACAGTAGGATGATTTGGTCTATGGACAGGTCTGCTTCTCCCCAAATTTAAAATCAAATTGAGGGCTACAAATGGAATGGAAAAATGAGGTCGCGGTCGTTTTTGTTTCGAGAAAGGAATCTCTAGTCTACTAAGATAATTACAGGGATATCATTCCGCTGACAGTTACCGATTCGCCAGTTATATACCCACTCCTGGGAGATAATAAAAACGATACAACGTTTGCTACTTCGGACGTTGATCCAAATCTCTTCATAGGGATTTGATTCATAACGCGATCTTTGACATGTGCAGGAATTGCTTGTGCCATGGGCGTTTCTATGAAACCAGGAACGACGCTATTCACACGAACATTTCGAATCGCAACCTCCTTTGCCAGAGCTCGACTCATTCCCAATACACCCCCTTTGCTTGCTGCGTAGTTCACTTGACCTAAATTTCCAAACTCGCTCACTACAGAACCAATATTTACAATCGAGGCGTCAGAACGAGGACCGCATTTGTTGCTATCGTATTCTTTTGGGAAGAACTGGTCGGCTCGTCTCTGGTTGAGAAATTCTCTACACGTTAAAAAAGTCCCCTTTAGATTCACGTCCAATACATCGTTCCACTCGTCCATCTCCATTTGCGATACCCAATTATCCCGTGTTATTCCGGCACAGTTCACCAAGAGTGTAGCCACAGGGACATTGGTTTGCTGACTATGTGAAAAATTGGAACAGCTTGCAAACTTGTCGGCTTGGTGGATGAGATCTCGTACTTGTTTTGGGTCCGCGACATCACATTTCATCAAATGAAAATTAGATTCATCTGTTATAAAATCATTTGCTACTCGTTCAATCGCGTTATCATTATGATCTGCCAAGACAACACGGCAACCCACAGATACTAGAGATTTTGCGACTTCAATGGTGTTCCGTATATATATAGAATGTGTATTTGCGAAATAGAATTAAGATGTTGTCGTTCTAGAATAACGGAGAATTTCAAAAGTTCTGCTCCATTTTCTAGCCACCCACTTACCAGCCTCTCCTATACCACTTCCAGCGCCTAGGAAGGACGAAGCAATAAATAAACGAAGGCATGTATAAGAAGAAGATAAGATGACGCAAATATAAATTTGTGTCCGCAAATATAAATTTGTGTCCGCAAAGTTTAGGCTAGAACTTTTTTCTCTTCCTCCGAAGGTCGAGCGCAACACACCTGTTATGATGCAAGTTTTATGCGCGAGTTGAAGCCAGGATGAACTCATGATGCTATTGATGTGATACGTTCCTGTTGACTTCTACCGGTAGAATTATTTGATTCCTGAAATCAATCATCATCTCAAACAATTGCAAAATTGCAAAAAGTCAAGAGAGGGAACACAGACACAACTTTCCTTTCAAAACTCAACGAAGTTTTTATTTTTCGAACAAATTTTTGTTCGTTGATGGGTTCGTATGATGCCACGATGCCATACGGTTCGTACGTACTTCGTACCGTGCTAAGTAGAACAGCACGTACCCGTAGTCAGGGGTCTAAATTTATGACCCCTGCCCGTAGTTGCGTATGGTACTACGAACTGCGGACAGTAAAATCTAAAATCATCATCTTTTGATGGCACGATTGAATTTTTTATCGTACAGACTGGACAGAATCAACGACTGGAAAAATCAGCCATGCGTGTTTTCCTATCGCTAAACGCATGTTCCGTAAACTCTGGGAACACGAAGATTTTTCTTGGTACGGTACCCGTACTCCGGAGAACAGAGAACCTGATTTCCGAATCATTCTATCGTAGTATCGTTTGAATGAAACAGTGTCTACTGTTGACGCCACATGGTCGTGAAAGTAGCTACCAAGGATTCAGACTCTCGCAGATTCTAACCTTTGTGTGGAAATAATCCGTTTCGAATCGAACGAGGGAGCAATACACCATGATGACAGAAAATAAGATAGATGGCAAAGTTGATGCCAATTTGAGTGGAGGTATCTCTCAGTTTGCAAAAGGAGCTTTCACCAGTGAAAATTTTGAAGCTGCGGGTCGTTATACAAAGGAAAAGGTTGCGGAACTGAAGGCGCAGGCGCAAGAAGGAGATCGGTCTTTGCGTTTTCTAGCATTTGTTGGCGGGATTGGCTGCATCGTCGTTGGCATGATCGAGTTGACTTCGAGAATTGTACGTCTTCAACTGGTTGATGCTATCATTGACGTGTATATAATCATGCTTGGGACGGTCGTTGTCATTTTGGAGGGCAAAGACATGTTCTTGTCAAGAAGATTGGTTCAAAATGTCAACAAGTACGCTCTATTTCTCAAGTTTCTTTGGGGTAGAGGCTTTCTTTTCTTTCTTTGCGGAACATTGCAATTGACTCAAATAGATCTTTTCAACTTAATTGCGGGTAAGTTCAAATCGAAGTGGAATCGAATATAACGGAACTGAATAGGTCGAACGGTAYGCGAATGAGTCAAAATTTGTTTCGACACTCCCGTAAAAGTGATCTGACACCTCGTCGACACGGTCTTGGTTCATTCTAGGTGGCTATATGTGCGCTGTTGGAATCCTTTACATTATTGTCGGTAACAACACAGCAAAGAAGCTCAAGGCCATCCGTAAATCCCTCTATTCTGAGGGAGCACTTCGAACAAAATTTCAAGCTGCGAACGTTGAAGGTGATGGACTCGACGTCAAACAATTTCGATTTCTCTGCGATGATCTGGGACTGGATTTTACTGCCCGAGAAACAGAAGCAGCTTACGGGCACATTCGAAAAATGGGGGCTGAAACCAACGACAAACTCAGCTATGACGATTTCAAAAGTTGGTGGGACAACGTCGAAGGAGGAGACGAAATACACGATTGTGCATTTAATTTTGTTTAGATGACATTCAATTGACATAAAAGTGCATCGTGTTCTTGCATACGATATGATTGCTTTTTTATTAATTCGTACAGGGGTACTTCCTATCTCATACTGCTTTAGACTTCAATTATTTTCAAACGAGGAACATCAAACTTGGTTCAATGCGTCACAAAATCTTCGACATCGTAAGAGTAATATCGCGTCACTCTTGCAGATGTTTCCGTGTCAGTTGAGAAATCGAATCACGTTTCCATACCGATAGTGAAAATCTGCTTATTTTGGTGAAGAGATCCATCGTATCTAGTCAAGTGGAATAGTGAAAAGTTCGGTATCGAAAACCATGTAAATCACTTGTAATGGCAATTTCAGTACATGTAATGGTAAAAATACATCAACAACTAGCAATGTCCTACTATGAAAGTTTAGTGACAACTAGTGCTCGGAAACACTTGTTGAAGCGCGTAATTCAATGCGTACTTGCATGAGATAAAGAAGCCTCACGGACATGCTATTGTCCCACCAGCCATTACTAGAACAGAGTTTCATCCAGAAAGAGGAACACTCTCACTAAGATTATTTGCTAGTATCAGCAGTAGGTGTACCTACTAGTAATCCAAAAGAATGAGACCCAGTTTACTCGGGGGTTTTGGCAGTTAAATAAAAAAGTGACCATCATGTAGAAAAAAGGAGTAGAATTTGTACCAAAGACAGAAAACATATGATGGAACGTACTAAAACACCAGCAATAAACAGACAACAATTATTTCCATCTAGAAATTTCCCTATAATTGAGAAATAGCAACAAATAAGAATCACAGTGTCACAAATCGCCCCTTTTGGTGAAGAAGAATTACCAATCAAAGAAAGTTCACCATTAAAAAAAATCTTAAATTTATGTTTAGCCTCGTGAACTAGAAGAGGCACTAGGAAGGCCAGAACCATTGCTGTCGTGAGAAAGAATGCTTCTAGCTGCTCCGAGGGGCGGCGCCTCCCTCCAAGGAGGTTTAATGGAGGCGTGACCAGGTTTTATGTACACTGATAGGCCATTGAAGGCCCAAGGCTAGACTCATAGGACATGTTTAAGTGAAGTATTGGTTCATAGTAGTTTGCATGGTACCGTTGGGTGCGGCAGAGACAAAGAATTTGTTGGCGACACAGGGGATTTGTGTCTTCTCTTCTTGGAGTATGCATCAAAGACTAGCCTATCTTGTGTGACGCTCTCTGGTGGTTGTTTACTATGAAGCAATGGTGGAAAATACTGAGTAATAGGGCGGGTGTTGGAAACTGAAGCATTTGTAGCTTGAGTGACACTCGCCAGAATCGGTTTCTTGGAGGCTCAATGATAATAAGAGAGCATGGAGGTAGGGGTTTGTAATAAGAATGCTTCCATGTCTGCTGGAAATAAGTGAGCATGGGAAGGACAGGTCTGAGATTTAAATGCAAATAAGGTCCGAACTTTCATCACCATGCGCCTTCAATACTTTACTTGTTTCTGTGAAAGTGTATGGCCATGGAGATCCTTATTTCTCTGTTCCCATAAAGATATATAGGAGGTAAGAAAGAACTCCACAAGGTAACCCCCTAATACAAGCAGGGAGTAAGAGCCKGAATGAAGATCAAGAYCGGTAAACCACTGGAGCRAAATGTGACCAGCAAACATATGGTGCCAACCAATCTCACTCTGAAAATGAATAACAGGATGAAGGGATGTAGGATATTTCTYRGGAGAAACKGTGCCAGTGTCTAACCATTCGGTAAGACATGTAGCGAGAGTATCAATGACAATTGGTTGGAATCCAAGTGTGGACATGTGTTGTCGTAGAGAGGAGATGGTCTGTCTCCGCCAGCTGATGCGTGATGGGTGGGAGCAACAAAAAAGGCTTTCGGAATCTTCAGGCGACTGGCAAAGACAACAGGTATCCTGTCATTGATAATTCCACTGTTTGAGAACTGTGGCGGTGGGCAGAATATTGTTGCAACATTTTGTGACCAAGACGTCCCTGGAAGTTCACCATTATGTTACTAGTAGTACTAATGAGAAATGTAGCTGGATGCATAAATTCTTCACTCTTACTCTTTACTAGCTATCAGATGCATGTAGTGGTCAGGCACCAGCAGAATGTCCATTGGGTCCCTTGCCTTTCAACTGGGAAAATCACATTAACATCCCAAAAATGGCTCTTCTGATCTTACCACCACTTGTGTAGCACAAATAGGAATCACACAACAATGATACAATTGGATAAGATCAGTGTGGAACAAAAGAAACCATTCAAATCAGACAAATATTCAACTTGTTTCAACAGTTCAGGTGAACTTGSTAGCTACTGTGATTTTGCCCACTTACGCAAGTATGTTGTTACTTCCTATGATTTGTTATCTGAACACAGCTGATTATGATAAGAACAGAGTACCAGCCTCCTTCCCAGGTGCTGTTGGAGTGGTTGAAGACCCAGACTACAGTGGCTGGGGGAGCATAAATCCTGACCTCAGGAAATACGAGGATGCTGAGAATGAAGAATTCTATTATTTTGTGGTGACCAGAATCTTGCCTGCCATCAATCCAGCAAAAAGCAACTTCAAGCAAAGAAAAGACAAAGATTTGCTCAGCAAGATCTTCTCAGTCACTGATGAGGCATTTGCTTTAATATTGATCTTCAATGGGCACCATGATGTTTGGAAGAGCCAAAAGCAGAGGAAGACAAATCCTGAGGTCTGCCGTAGGAAGAAAAGGTATTGTGATGCTGAGAGTGACAATAGGGATGGTTGGATGGAGGAAGAAGGAAGAAAGGACTTGTTCAATGAATTATTGTGAGAAAGTAGCAAAGCTATGCAAGGATCCCACTACAAAGAAGGAGTTAGAGACAAAGATGAGAGATAGATTCATGAAGGAGAGCAGTAATTACAAGAAAAGTACTAGTAGTAATGGACCAAAACAGAAAAAGCAGAGTAGTAGCTATTGATCCAGCACTTAGAGCTTCTCTGCTTGAGGATGGTTTGGGTGATACCAGCAGGGTCGTTGGATGAAGAGCAAACAGAAAAAGAAGAGGAGGATCTAGAATAACATTGGAAATCAATAGTAGTATATATTACATATTTTGAGAATCTATTTATTTTACTAATTGGACAAATTTGGACAACAATCCTACCATTTCCTTGTCATTATTACTGTTGTTGGAATTTCCAGTCATGTTCTTGAACCTGTTGCAAATATAAACTAAACATATGAGATTCCAAAGGAGCTGGTAGTAGAACAACTTGACTGTTTGGAACAGATCTTTTTCAATTGAAAAAATCAAGGATGACTCTTGTTTCCTTCACATTGGTCAGTTTCTTCTTCCTCAAGTCTTCATTAAGAAGGATCAGACTGTCCTTCTTTGCTGTACTAGGGTCCTTTGTCTCTTTGGGCAGTGCCATAGTGGTTGTTGATTCTGACAAGAGATAGAAGGATTATAAACTTCTTTTCAATGTTGTTCAGTGTGAATTGGAAAGATTACTTTTRTTGGGCTAAAAGGTGCAAATCTGGGAATCTTGGTTTTTGGTTTATGATTACTGGTTACTGTGTGAAGCAAAAAGAAGAACAAGGTGAAATTTGAGTTTTTCACTAGTACACTTCTTAGTTGCACTGACAGAATTGAAAGTTGGTAATGCAGTTGTTGAAAATTTTGAAAAGCTGGAATATCACACAATCTCCTTCCAAAATGTTTGTGCCTGAAAATGGTGTGACCTTATCACAACTGTGCACAACCCATTACATCTTTCTTGTGCCTGTTTGTAACCTATTGTGGTTGCTACTGTTGGTGGACACAGAACCAGCTTGGTGTGAACACAATGTGTCAGGTACACAAAAAATATTTAGGTGTGTATTCTGAAAACAAGGGTTGCTATATCATGTGATAGGTTGTTGGGGTCACTTTTTGTGACATAGTAGTATTTATTGAGGACATCCAGCAGCAACATATTTACATCATGTGGGATTTGAATTTGATTGTTGGTTCTTCAATGTCTTGGTGTGTGTGTCTGGTGGTGTACTGGTATTTGAAAATGTCAATGATTGTAGTGGTTGCACTACTTACTTCTGGGATTTATGTTTTCAAGATGGTTTTGACAGTGAGAAAATGTTGTTGTTGACAATGATGACATGTTGTTCAATGGAATGGAATTCTGAGGGATTGTTTGTATTGGTAGTACATACTACTATACATTACTATGTATGTGAGAAGTGGTTGAAGAAATGGTGTTGTGGATACTGCTTATGGTGCTGGTGCTCTTCTTGTTCTTTGCTAGTTGTGAATTGAGCTTCTTCTTCTTCCTTACTATTGTCACTAGAAGAAGAAAAAGGTCATGGTGTAGAAGAGAAAATTGTTCTACTTTGTTGCTATTTTCTGCATAATACTGTGAGAATATTCATCTGAAGTTTTGATACTGAGTTTCACAAGATGCTAAAATGCAACAGAGGATGTATTTTCTCCATTCATTTGACATGTGAAAACTACTAAATATGTACAGAAATCATAAATCATAGTACTTCCAAAGTTATGGGACATTCTTACATWCATATATCCATGTATGTTTTGGTGGTACTAAAAGACACAGCACCACCCGGTGGGCTGAAAGTACATATCTCCCCTCTTTTTGGAATTTGTAATCCCATAGCATTTGGCCACAAGATTCCTTGTGGCAGGAATAGTCAGATGTTCACAAAACAAGCCCCTCCTCTGAAGAAACAGTCCCTTTCACCACCCCTCACTTATTTGGCTACTATTGACCACAATACATATTGATGACAATGTCCCAAACAGTCTCTATCCTCACTATTTGCCTATCTATTCCTCCCTCACAGCAAAATGTTTGAATTGTGTGGGCAGCTTCCCTTGAAGACAAGGAGGAGGAGGACACAAGAAGACACACCAGAGGCTCTCCACATAGGACAGGCGTCAGAGGGATAGAAGGATGCCAAAAACTGCACTCATCATGATGAATGAATTGCCATTCATGTATTT